CGATCCGATCCGACCCGATCAGATCAGCCACGATCAAAGTCGATTGGGCCCACGTCCTTACGTGTATGTCATCTTGGTTTTCGGTGCTTGACTGGGTTTGGTGGCGGACGTGTTCAAGACGAAACGGTTGTGTACCTTTCGGGCAATGTTTGTAGAGTTTCCACATGGTTGCGTACGGTACTGAGGGAAAGCAATAGATTACGCCGTTCTGGAGTTGTTTTCGACCAATTTCGTGTTGTCCCGTTCGCGTTCTCGAGACTGCTTTTCTCAGGACCGAAATACCCTGTTTCAGCAAGAACTGGGTAGTTCCCTTTGACTTGCAATAGAACCATGGCCTCCCAAGCGCAGACAGGCACAGGAGCAACGCTCGACCGTTGTCGCTTCGCACATCTGTCTATTGACACGACAACAGACGACCCGCGGCCGTGCTCGCCGCTAGTTGAGGAGATCGCGTCACATACAGCGCCATCCGACTTCCCTCCAGGCCACGGCAGACCCGATTCGAGTGAATGGGATTATTTAAGCGGAGTTTATCGCACTCTTATGTTCCTCGGGAAGCTCCTCTCCCCCCACAGCAGGGCGCAGCGGCACAGAAGGCGCGGGGATTCCACTGGTTCCGCCTCCCACTCTCCCCAAGCCGCCGCGCGCGTCGTGAGCCCCAAAGGCGCGCGCGAGTTCTCCGCAACTTATTCTCTCGGGAAATTTCTTGGTCGGGGGAGCTACGGAGTCGTGCGGGAGTGCATCAGCCGGCGCACGGGCCGTTCGTACGCTTGCAAGGTGATACGGAAAGATGAGATGCGCAATCGTCGTGCGGAAGAGGCGGCTATTCGGCGAGAAGTGAAGGTTCTCCAGCAGCTCGCCGGACACCCGCACGTGGTCTCCCTCGTGGACGTATACGAGGACAGGGCGGCGATTTTTGTCGTTATGGAGAAGTGTAACGGCGGCGAGCTGTACGAACTGCTGTGCGAAATTACCGCAGGCGGCCGCGCGAATCAAAGTGCAGACAATTCAGGTTACTTCAGGGATAACGATGCTCACAGCTTATCTTCATACTCGTCCTCTGAAGACGGCGAGCCGGGGGGGACGTTCGGGGAGAGAGAGTCTCTGAGCTCGCCCCGAGATTGCGGAGGGATGGAGGAGGAACAGGCCGCAGCAATGTTCGAGCAGATTGTACACGCGGTATCTGCGTGTCACTTGAATGGGGTTCTACACCGCGACTTGAAGCTTGAGAATATACTGCTGTGTTTTCCAGAATCTCCTAAAGACAGAGTCTCCAGCAAACTCTGTTGCTTTCCACTCGTCAAGCTTGCGGATTTTGGCTCTGCAGTCTCGCTCTCCTCTGGAGAGCTTGCAACTGGTGTAGCTGGCAGCAGGCTATACCAAGCACCAGAAGTCCTTCAGCAGTGTAAATATGGGTTCAAAGCCGACATGTGGTCTCTGGGGGTTATTCTTTTCTCTCTCCTCTCGGGCTCTCTTCCGTTCATGGCTGACAATAGACGGTCCCAGACCCGCCTAGCGAAGAAAGGTGTGGGAAAGATGGATTCAAGTGCTTGGGAGGGAGTCTCAAAAGAAGCCAAGGACCTGGTTACAAGGCTACTGGCCGTGGAGCCCAGTCATAGGCCGTCTGCTGAAGAGGTGCTGAGGGATCCGTGGATTGTCCAATACAGGAGGAGACAAGGCACCTGAATAAAACGGCCAGTTTGGAGCATATTTGCAGTGTGCATTTCTGATTGACATATTATCAATAAATAGAAAAGTTTCTCCACAGATTCTTCCATGAATTGTAGCCTGTAGGCTTAGGTGGAGCTAACAACCAATAGCATTACCGTATTTGGATTTGTTGAACTAGCTCATCTAGGCTACCGGTATAATACGCTGACACTACCATCTTATCGAACTAGGACACTAGCTGAATGCTGGCTGGGCCCTAACCAAAGCAACCTAGATCCACACACTACGCTATCCCAAAAGCATAGCAATCCTTGCCTTCCTTGCCTTCTTACAGCCACAAATGCCCCCAGTACCGTTGATTGAAGCTGTTGGTTAGCTACTACTTCAGCTCCCGAGCTAAACACTACTTTTCGAATAAACACAACCTTTGGAACCCAATAGGCTTCAAACCAGAAGGGTACAAAACGGCATACATTTTTGTAGACGCTGCATCAGAATCCTAGTCCGCACCTGTTAAAGGGCAGTGCATGCTGCTGAGGAATCTAGAAACTTCGAGTCCTGGGAAGGACAATTTGAGGCGACTTGCCCGACTTAGGCGTACCCAAAAACGAACCCAGAACATGTTTCCGCTTCATAATAATCTCCATCTCGCTCCGACTCCTTTCCAGTTGCAGCCTCGGCACCATGGATATAAGATCCTCCATCTGCTGCATCAAGCTATCGTTCATTGATACACTCCGAACCTCATGCGGCTTCCCATCACCTCCTCTGCTATCTCCAATGCCAGGACTAATAATATCATCGTTGGCGCTGCTGGCACAAGTCGCGTTGTCCTGGCCCCATCTGTGGTCCGTCAGATCATTCGGCAGCTGAATCGCGAGGCCATGGCTTACGTCAGATGAGTCCTGATTTGCAGATGCTTCGAAAGATATAGACGAAGGAGGGTCCGAGTCTTCAAGCGATTGCGAAGGGGAGACTCGTTCTTGATCAGATGCTGGTGCGGCAATTTGGCGGTTTTTCAAGTCAAAAACGGACCCGTCTGTTGGCATGGCAGACGCAATGTGGTCAAATATCGTGATCCGTCCTGAAACGTCAGCCGAAGACATCTGCTTATCCGAAGAACTGTCTTCCAACAAGCCTTTTCCCACTCCGTCAGACTTGATAGCCGCTTTCCCTACACCACTGATTTGGCTAGAAGAGGCTGTCGCTGCGACTTTCCCCGAACTAGTGGGTGCGCCAGCGTGCACACGACCTCGGTTTGCCAATGAACAAACCCGGCCGGAGGTGAAAGAAATGCCTGACCCTGGAGCAAACGAATCGTCTACTGATGGCTGTGCTTCCGCACCTGCGAACCGCACTCGTTTCCTGCTAGGAGCTGACGACGTTGTGCCATCTTCAGAAGTCGCCTTGCCTTTTCCTTTCTGTCTCTCTAAGGAAGAAGCCATTGATACAGCTCCAGCTCAGTGGGGACCTGGAACCCCCCCTCAAGCTTCTATTAGTCACTACGATTAGTAAACCCTACAAGTGTATCTAAATACCTTACGGCTTGAGCACCAGCCCATGTGTAATTTGCTGATTGGCTGCCATTTTAGGAAAAAGGGTTTCGAGCGCACAGGCTGGAAGTGAAGTGACCTTCCTACCACCTGTGGAGTGGGACGGTGGAGCAGGATGGTGGGTGGGGAGGAGAGGTGTGTGGAGCGAGGTGGAGGGAGGGGAGGGAAGGGAAGGGAAGGGAAGGGAAGGGAAGGGGAGGGAGGTGGAAGGAAAGAAGGCTGAAACGGGGAAGGAAGGTGTTGGTGAGGTGGGCGGAGTAAGATTGAGAGGAAGGATGGGGGGTGGGTTGAGGGGGTGGGGGCCGCGGACGTTCGGATAGGGCAAGGAGGTGCAGTGCTGGTGTGAATAGCAAGGGGGGACCACATGTCCTGCCTGCACCTGGCGGAACGGAAAATGTGCGCGCAAGTAGGAAGGGTGATCCAGGGGGAACAGGAGGAAGAAAGCGGTGCTATGGCGCAAGTAGAGTCCGACTTGATTGGTCTAGCATATTTCCCGCAAATGCTGCTTGCTGGTGTCCAGCGCGCAATTCTGCCGCACCCCATTGACAGCTAACAGCGGATGAGCAATGACGTGCTGCCACGACTGCACGTTTTCAGCATTTCTAGGGGTCCCGGAACTCCCTTGGGAATTTCAGCACTTGTACACTGCCTAGCGTTACGAGGTTTCGGCACAGGGTACGGGAGGCAGCTGGAAAGCCATTTTATGTGTGCCACCTGGAGGCACAAACCTGCTTGCGACGTTTCACGAAAATATGTTACGGCCTGGTGCATTACTTCGCTGTGTGAACCATGAATCGCGATCAAGGACATGAATTTCAGCCCACCAACACCACACCAGCACAGTTCTGCACTGTATTGTACTGTATATCGCCCCTCTAGGGTACAGTTCTGCTCCTCCCCCGCTTCAACTCCCCGGTTCCACCACCTTCCTTCCCCCACAACCACCAGCTTCACCCTCACAGGTTCCCTCCCTCCCACCACGTTCAACCCATGTTTCCCAGCGGCGAACGGCGCCCCCATGTTTTCCAGCTTTCTTTCCCCTTATCTATCCTGTCCTTGGCTCGAGGAGGACAGCCATTTCTTTCAGCTTCGGTTATCCCCTTTGTCTCAACCAAAACTGCAACTTCTCGTCGCATGTTGTAGCTGGAGTAAGGCGAGCTTCCATCCCTCTTAGAGTTTGCATCGTGTTTGCTAGTGTGTCCCCGTCCGCAAGTCCGTTGCGTCGCAAGTGTTCCAGCTTTACCGCAGTTGACTCAACGTATCACATGAAGCTCGCGCCGCGATAAGCAGGAGTCTGTATTGGTGACTGGAGCGAAACGGATGTAGGTCTTCGTCTTCCAGGAACGAGGACAATGGGAGATTCGTCTGGGGATGATGCTCCTACAAGCCTCTACATTAATCCAGAAGCACCTGCTGAAAGCCCTTCACAACCATCAGCAAATAGCTCTCTTCCATCGTCATCAACCCCTGCTGAACGTCGATGCGCCGTTTGTTCATGCAAGCTTCCAACCTCGTCACTCCGCTCCGCAAAATCCCTTCCCGCGCCGAAGCACTTTAAATTCGATTTACGAGAGCGCGACGACGACGATGATGACGACGACGACGACAACAACGCGCCATCTGAGCGAGGAATGAGCCGAGGGGAGGAACAGCAGGCCATTGGTGCATCATCGCCGTCCGATTCGCCTAATATTGTTCCACGTCGCATTTCTCAAGTTTCCGGATCGCCTCTTCTTTGCAGCCATTGTGCTCCACGAAAATCTCGACAAGTTCACTTCGCGGACCTAGACGAAAAGTTTTCGAGACTGACTGTGAAGACTAGGGTTTCTAAGCCTTCTTCTTTTTCCAGCGGAATAGAATTCGATGACCCCGACCCCGATTTTCTAAACATCCGGGACAAAAGATTGAAGAGCGAATCTGGAGCCCCCCTTATCCGTACGAGGTCATCCAGCTCAGCAGGGAGCTTGGGCTATGACTCAGAATCAACAGGTGCTTTATCAGCAGATAGAGCACGGCGAGACGAGAGTTCCTATGCTGACAGCTTTTCAGAAGGGTGGGAGGGACCCAGCAGCTGTAGCGATTTCAGCGGCGGTGCTTTCAGTCGGTCCAGCAGTGTAGGAAGCGGAGTAGAGGGAATGGGGGAAGGAGGGAAAACGGTGCAGGAGCGGCGGGGTAAGAGCAAGCTAAAATCGGTGACCCTGGACCTTACACGGGCCAACAGCGAGTCACTAAATGAGAAGCGGGAGCAGGTGTTGGGCACGTCTTGTGGGACGCCAAAGCTGGAAAAGAGTGAGACCCTCTGATCAAGTAAATGCTGCATGGGCAGAGGGATGAGTGGTTTGGTTGTGAATGTATGGTTGATAGGCCTTATCTTAGGATTGTAAGATGCTGTTTACATCAATACAGGATACAATAGTCTGCTGAGGGATTTTTTGATAATATTTCAATTGGCTTATTGATTTGTCTTATGATCAACCTGGTAAGGTGCAGTAGATGTGCACGCAGATCAGCCCATCTGTCAAGCTCGTAGAGATGTGTCTATGGTACAAAGGAGTGAAAATACACATGGTACAAACGGTAATAGGTGTCTTTTTAGTGGGAAGATGCATGCTTTAGGCAAAAACGAACCAATGGGACGTCAGGCCTGAGGATTTTCTTGTGGATGTGCAAATTTTGAGAGGAATCTGCAGCGAACGTAATAGAGTGCACCGTGTAGGGAGTGCTGCACGTCCATCTCATCATTAGCACCTCACAATTGCAGAGGGTGCAGCTTCTTTGGCCCATACATCACCCATACCCTAGTCATAATCACCAGGTCATCTTCGGCATCATCTTGGAGAGCATAATCCAGCAATTGTTCGCCACCTGTAAGTGTAGATCGCATACACCCATCCTATCGTTACAGTGCCACCCCTCCTCAGTAACCTCCCTTCCGGATAACTTTCCGTTCTTCACTTGCTGCGCCACCGCCACCCCCCCGCTTCCCCCAACGCCTGTGCCTGCCGCGCAAGCAGCAGCGCCTGAACTCCCCTGGGATTCCGCTACAAGAAACTTCAGCACCCATGGATGCTTTAGAAGCTCCGTTGCAGACGGCCGCTCATTAAGATTCACAGCCAGCATTCGACGGACGAGATCCTTTGCGTCGTCTGAGATCGACGGCCAGGGATCACCGGAGAAGTCAACGTGACCATTCAGGATCTTCCGCTCGAGAACCGCCTTCTTTGGCGAATAAAAGGGCCACCGAGCTGAGAGCATGGAATAGAGAATAATACCTAGGCTCCAAATGTCCGCCTTCTCGTTGGACCGACCCTTCATTATCATCTCTGGCGATTTGTACGGCAGGCTTCCAACCGCGCCGCTCACGTACGACCCTCTGCGACGGCGCGTCGCCAGAGTGAAGTCGTTCAGTCGCACGAAGGGGCCCTGAAAATTGAACGCGAAAAAGGCTGGGGTTGACGAAGGGAGGGCTGCGTCGGGAACGTCGTCTGCAGCTACCGCTTCTGCTGTTTCGGCGGCGGCAGCGGCGGCGGCGGAGGAGGCGGAGGCGGAGGTGGACGCAGCGGAGGGAGAGGCGGAAGAATCGGGGAGCGCGGAGCTTGATTCAGAAAGCGTTTCCGAATCTGGACTCTGTATGCGCGAGGCGGAAGGTGCTGCGGACGGCGAGGGGGAAGGGAGGGGAGGGCTGGGGGAAGAGCCACCGAGGGAGGGCGAGCTGGATGGGGCCGGGAAAGCGGCGGTGCTTCTGCTGAAAGGAGCGGGGGAAGGGGGATTGAACGAGGGGGAGGGGGAAGCGGAAGCGCTTGCATGCCGCGCGGGGGAGCTTTGCGGGGTGGAGAAGGCGGAGAGTGACGGGGAGAAGATGGAGAACGAGGAGGAGGAGGAGAAGGAGCTACAGGAGGAGAGCGCGGGCGACGCGTAGTTTAGGTCGTCCGCCGTCCCGTACGTCAGAAACACGTTCTCAGGCTTTAAGTTGCGATGCAGGATCCCATAGTCGTGACAGAAGGCGACAGCCGATGCGAGCTGCCGAAACATAATAGCCGCCTGCGGCTCGGGAATCGCGCCCATTTTGCTGATGTACTCAAGCAAGTCGCCACCTAAGCAGCGCTCCATGACCACGTAGATTGCACACGTGTCCTCAAACACGCCGACGAGCGACACCACGTTCAGGTGCGCGCCGGCCTGCTTCATGATCTCCAGCCGGCGCCGCAGGCCGTTTTTGTCGGCTTCTGTTCGCAGCGCGTTCTTGAGCATCACTTTGCAGGCCAGCCCTTGGCCCGTCTCCTTGTCTGTGCATTCTAAGACGGCGCCGCTGGATCCATTGGCGATGACGTCACCTAGGGAATACCGGTCCCGCGGGAACTTCGCAGCCCAGCTTATGACGCGCGGGAAATCCGTCGGCCGCTCCCACCATTGGAAGAAACCCATAGCGACACGAGATTAGCAATTAGAAACCTCGGACTCGGACTGTCTTAATACCAACACGACGCTTTGAAGACTATTGCTTTATTTTATTCCTGAAGCCAGCATACCGAAGCGCCAGGCAGCCGTTAGGTCGTCAATAAACTGCTAGGTGGAAAGGATAGTTTTACCTATGTGGAAGCGTGCACAGAAAGTCGAGAGGTTGGGCGGTCAGGGGAACAGGTTTCGCTGACTAGTGAAAGCGACAACCTAACGAGGATGGTCGCAAGCAAACAGTAGTGCCATAAAAAGCCTCACCTTGCCTTGCAACCAACGCCAACCCTACCAGAGAGTGGCCAAGGGGGTAGGGGAAGGGTGGGATCAGCTTGGTTGGAGGAGGAGCAGCGGTGTTGGGAAAATCTAGGAGGGAAGCGGCTGATGAGTTTGAGGAACGGGAAGTTAGAAGGGGATTGGAGAGTGTACGGTGTTGTGCGTTAAAGGAGAGAACGGGGATGGATTAATGGGTACAATAACCTCCTTGCCGCCATAATTGCGAGCTTCGCTTTGGGGTCCAACAGTTGGCTCGGGCGAGCGAAAACTCGGTTTCCCCTGGATTTCGCATGCGCGCTCGCACACGAGCAAACGAAACAGCGAGGCGAGAAAGGGACACGACGAATGCGGCGACCTCAACATCTCTAGCACCCTGGCGTCGCATCGCTATTTGTCAGATAGGATATCGTGTCGCATGTGCACCTGGTGACCGCAGAAATGCGTTTTGGATCCTATCTGGCACCGATTCGCAGGTCATTGGCGCAGCAGATGTTTCTTCCAGGACAAAGCGCTGCTGGTGTCAGAATGAAAAGACCTGTGGGAGAGACAAGTGGCACCGCCGCCACGCCATCACTCCCCAAGGTGACGTGACGTTGATATCCCTGCTTCGCACCATTGCCAACACATATCCCTGACAAAAAATGCAATTGCACCACTTGCTTCGAGCATCAGGAAGGAAGAACCATCTCGATATCAATACTAAGCCCCTAGTGTTCCGCTCACCAAAATTTATATGAGAAAACGAAATGCTTACAATGTCCCATGCACTTGTTGCTCCTGCTTACTTACAAGTAGGAGCTTAAGCCCTTGCGTGAAGATCTGAAGCATATATTTTATGAAAACAGGTTTTGGCGCACTTTCACGTTATGCCAAGTGTAGGGCAGATGCAAAGCATGGTACAATATATAGTTATAGGTATGGTTGCCAAGTCATGGTGCCTAACACATCCACTGTTGCCATGTGACCTAACAGCTTCCCTGGTTTTATTCCTTTCACCTGATTATGGCTGAACAGCCAGCATAGGTGGTCGCGGCAGCTTCAGTGGTAGGGGTGGGCGCTGGGAAGTAGACTGCTGCTTCCGATCCAGATGGATCACAGGCGACAGGGGGGGCAAGCCACGCGCCTCTCTCAGCTGGCTCAGTTGCTGCAGGCTGCGCTGCTCTGCTACAATTTCTGCTGTTGCTCCAGACCTTTCAGATGCAGTGGCTGCTACTGCAACTGCTACCAAGCTATTACCAGGATTCTTAGAGGTAGCTACGCCGCTCGTCGTGACGTTACCACTGGAGTTAGACCTACACGAAACCAGCGAGGAGCTGGTGCGACTACTGCGCCGCTTTCTTGCCACCACAACCGCTGTGGCTGGCACTCGATCACCCTGACGAATCTTGATCCCTTTCTGCTGCTCCTGCTGCTGCGGCTGGCCCTGCTGCTGCTGCTGCAGCTGCTGCTGCTGCTGTTGCAGCAGCTGTTCTTTCACATGGCCTTCACGCTGCAGCTCGAGTGGTTCTAGACCCTGATTGCCCCTCTGCGCCCGCCCTCTTTGCCTCCGCCGCATCCATTTCACCACCCACGGGTGCTGCAGCACACAGTGAATATCCAGCCGTTCATTCGGATCCACCACCAGCATCTGACGGATCAGATCCTTTGCATCCTCCGAGATCGACGGCCACGGATGCAACGTCAAATCCTCCTGCACCAGCTCTCGCTTTCCATCCGGGAATTCTGGCCACGTGGCAGAGAGGAGGGTGTGCAGGAGAACCCCCAGGGACCACACATCTGCCTGGTGATCGTACTTTCTCATTTCCACCATCTCAGGAGCCTCGTACGGTTCACTTCCAGCCAGGCCTATGATTGCCGAGCCTGGAGGCACCTCACACGCCATGCCGAAATCCGCGAGCCGAACCTCAGGCTCGGCAGGCCCAGCAAACAGGCTCGGATAAATCGTCTCTTCGGATTCTTCCCAATCATTCCCCTCGCCCTGCGGAGAAGCGGCTGCAGTACCCTCGCCAGTGAATTTCCGCGCGGCGGAATGACAGGCGCGCGGACTAATCTCCGCAGCGGAGTAAGCGCGCGGAATCGCGACCTGGGGCCGCGGGATCGCTGGCGCAGGAATGTCCGCGCACGAAGCCTTCGCGTCAGTGCAAGCGCCCGCTGGAAGCGACGCTGGGCATTCCGCAGTGACGACGCCCCGCGCAACAGCAGCAGCAGCACTAGCAGCGGAAATGGCGGCGGAAGCAGCAGCGGAAGCAGCGGCGGAAGCTTGAGCAGCAGCATCGGCATTGCTGCCAGACGGATCGCTACGGCTGTGAGGAAAGATGGACTCGCGCGCGGACTTCTGCAGCGCGTTTCGCGGCGAGTCCCACGGCGCGGATACCGGCGGGACGGAATTGCTGTTGGAATGGAGTGCCTTGGCGGCGGAAGGATGCGACGAAGCAACGGGAGAGGGAAGGGGAGAAGGAAGGGGAGACGAGGCGTCGAAGGCGTGGAATGGCGAGGAGGAACAGGAGTGCGAGGAGACGGAGGAGGAGGAGGAGGAGGAAGTGGAGGAGGGGGAGGTGGAGGAAGAGGAGCAGGAGGAGGAGGAGGAAGGGGAGAGCAACGCGAAGTCTTGAAACGAGGATGAGCAGGAGGATGAGGTGGGGATGGAGGGAGTGGAAGAAGTAGCGGGGCGAGTAAGGGGGGGAGGAGCAGGGGCTGTTTCGGCGGGAAGTGGAGTCGGGCAGAAGGACGGGCAGAATGTAGAGACTGGGTTACAAATGGGAGAGCACGACGAGTATGACGACGACGGTCCGCAAATCCCGTTCTTTGCGAAAATGCTGCGCCTATCAGAAGCTCGCTTAGACGCCGGCGACGAGGGCGGCGCTTGACCCGTTATAAGCACGTTCTCGGGTTTGATATCTCTGTGGACTATATCGTGAAGGTGGCACCATTCCACGGCGCGTGCGATTTGGACGAAAATTCCCGCCGCGGTTAGTTCGTCCACGCCGTGTTCAAATTGGTCAATCAAGTCAAACAAGTCGCCTCCAGTACACAGCTCCGTAATGAGATACACACCGGGCCGCGCGACGAGTTCTCGAATCGCGACAGATGCATCGTCCCACCCCGAACCAAACGCACCCGAACCACGCGATTTTGTTTCCAAACCAAGCCCCTCCAATGCGCCGCCGTCACCGTCGCAAATCGCATGCAGTCGCAGCACATTCGGGTGGCCCTGCAGGCGTCGTAGGACGGCGATTTCGCGGTGAAGCGCCAGCCGTTGCTCCGCCGTGAGATGAGTGGTGAGGATCTGCTTGCACGCGAGCGGCTCGCTGGTGGGGCCGTGGCGGTCCAAGCAGCGCCAGACGCGGCCGAACTTTCCCTCCCCTAGCAGATCCGTGAAGACGAAGCGGCGCGTGAGCTCGTGCACGGAGATAACCGGAACGGAATCGCTGCGCCGCGGCGCGTCTGCTGCTGTGACGGCTGGCAGTGATGGCATTTGGCGACGCGACGCAGAGGAACCCTCCGATGCGGCATTCTGGCGGCCCATCGCGGAAGCTTCGGCGCAGCTCATGAAGAACGTCCACGCAATACGTTACGGTTGTCGAAGGCGAATTCTATTTTTGAGAAACCAACAAGTCTTTCCGCGTTAAAGCGTCTCTTTATGGGGCGCCTGAAAAATCAAATGTAGACGCCCACGCGGAAGATTTGTGGTCGTCCGAGGCAAAATCGAGAGGACAAGAAAACTGCCTCCGCTTGAGGCGTTCGAGTTGTTAGAGGTTCCGAAGTAAACAGAACATTGAGCTAAAACGTATGCTATGGCTTCAAAGGATGTCGAGGAGAAAGTAGAGGCTCTGGACACCGAGGAGAGCAGGCGGTGGGAATGTTCGGACTGTGAAAGCTGTGCCAAGAGAGGAGGAGGAATTCATGGGTTTTACAGGCCTCGTGAAATCGCTGTCGATGAGCGAGCGGTTTCCGTGGGTACAAATCAAATGCGATTCCGCGACTGAGGGAAGGTGGGCACGGTAATCCACCAGGCTACCAATTGCTGATGCGGGCATTGCTGAGAGTCTGAGGAAGGGGAGGTTGCACCAGCCAAGTTGCTGCCAACGCCGTCAAGCAGAAGATACTTCGAGGCCAGCATTAGGCATCTGCTGATTAGCGTGCGCTGGAGGGGTGAGCCAGAGATGATGCAGAGCAGAGTCGGGTAAACTCAGTTTACCACCACGACGGTAAAGCAGCAGCCTCGCGTGGTGAGGAACGGTATCACGTGACAGTGCACGGATTCTTCGTTAGCGTTGGGGCTGCATCTACTGGGGGAGCGGGTGGGGTACAGTGCGGTGAATCAAGCGTTTCCCCGACCCGACCCGATGGAACTTCGTCGGGGTTCTGTTCCATCCATCTTCTCGAACAGCTGCTGCTGTGCATTTCGATTCGACTTCTGCGCTCCGGCGCGGATACAGTACATCAAAGAAATGGCGCGCATCTGCGAACCGCATCTCCTTCGAATGCTGTGGTGCGGTGTACGGCCTTTCGGCGATTGACTGTGCATTCACTGGGTGGGTCATCTTGTTTTTATGTGCGGGGTTGCGGCCACTTGAGGCAAAGTCGTTTCACTGTCCCTTGTCGTGATTGGCTAAATATGGGGCGCCGCTGGAAGAAAATGGTCCGCGAGCTGATTTGGTGGAGTGATGAGATGAGATGACCCAGTCACCAATAGCGGACTGCAACTGGTGTCCTTCGTGTCACGTACGTCAAGACACCATCGGATCAGGGATTCGGGATTGACGTGGCAAGTGCATCGCGGAAATACGGATGGAGGTGCAGCAGACGAAATCGACGGCTAATGTTGTGTGTCGTTAGGTGTGGAGCAACGGCATGCAGCCAGCCAGCACCGAAAAGAAACGGCCAGGTAGTCAGAGTCAGTCAATGCCGCCATGTCATCACACTACCATGTCAGAAACTTGACTGCTACACTGAAACATCCAAATACTGTTATAAGGTTTCAAAATCAATGAATATATTAAACATGCGTTCTTCACCACAAGCTTGGACTTGCATTCATCCACAAACTTGGCACTGGGCACAGAAAATGTGTGGTTTATTCTCATCTTCCGCTTCTCTACAAACTCCACTAGTTTCCATTCACACACATCTATATTGAAGGTCATGCTTTACTGGCTTCCAACACTACTTTCCACACCCCAAAAATTCAGATTTCCAGGTCTACTATGCCACTGGCAAAAGATAAACTAAATAGCAATGGTGTTATGGAAAACGGCTTTGTAACGTACAGTCAACAAGGTCCCAGGTGTCATGGATCAGGGTGTCATCTTTTTGCGAGCCGATCCACCAGCACCTTCACTTGGTCTGGTGCCAGGTATCTCGCCTGCAACGAAGGAGAGTGGAGTGGAGCGAAATCACCATCCACTTCAGAAAGCTCACTATGCTGACCCGCGATTGCAGTGCCAACCACGGTAGTTGCTTTATGGCAAGGAAGAACACACAACACATGGCAGAGAAAATGGATATTTCTGCTGGCAATCTCACTTATGCACAGTCATCGGCACTCTCACCTGTAGAAACATTCTGTCAGCCTCCGCTTGGTTGCCATTATCCTTGAGGAACAAGCCCTGCAAATCACACCACACCACACGCGCAAACAGGCATACGGCGCTGCTTATCCTGACAGACTGCAGCATTAATATCCACTGAATTGGCTGCAATGTTCAGTTCAGAAGCTGAGGCAGATGCAGACGTTTCCCGTTCAAAAGGCGCCTCAAAAGCCGTCCCTTGAGGGTCGACTTTCGAGTGGATTCAGAGGAGGATGAGCCAGATGCATGGCATGCCTTAGCAGCCACCATCCATCCACCACACACAAGATCTCCACACTAGCAAAGCTCAATTTCCTATGGATTGCCGTGTCGTGTACGCAAGCCGGACAACACATCAAAGCAGCATCATGGGATGCATCAAAGTCACTTTTGAGGTATCTCAAAAGCAGCACCGTGAGATGCTTCTGAGCCTACGCCGAAGCCGTCACATACCAACCTTGGCACGTATATACAGACAACACATGTAAATGCCAGAAAGTGACCCCATCCAGATCTTGGCATGTGTGTATATTTAAGCTTGACAAAAAGTCATCCCAAACAAAAAGTCATCCCTAACAAACCTTGACGAGGTAGCCCCGGAAAACGTCAGGCGGGCAGGAGGTGATGAGCCCATCAAAGACTGCAGCAGCATCCCTTGATTTGATGTTGTTGCGTAGACGGTTGACCTTTTGGTACTGCTATTGCGTCGACCCAGAAAGCCATCTCATACAAACCTTGGCCAGATATCCCCTGAAGTCATCATTGCGGGAGGCAATGAGCCTGCCGTACACTGCTGCAGCATCCCCAGGCCGTCCCCATGCCGCATATGCCTTCCCCAGCAGCATGCTTTCATGTTGTTGTAAAGACCCAAAAGTTCATCCCCACACAAACCTTGGCCAGGTAGCCCCTGAAGTCGTCAGGGCGGGAGGCAATGAGTCCATCATACACCGCTGCAGCATGCTTTGCTGTGGTGGCATTGGCACAGAAAGTCATTCGATACAAACTTACCCGTGTGACACACACACAAATAACGGACCTTGGCCAGGTAGCCTCGGAAGTCGTCAGGGCGGGAGGCAATGAGTCCATCATACACCGCAGCAGCATCCTTCAATGGTGCTGTGTTGACCTAAAAGCCATCTTATACAAACACACCTTGGCCAGGTAGCCTCGAAAGTCATCCGGGCGAGAGGCAATGAGTCCATCATACACCGCAGCCGCATCCCCCGGCCGCCCCCACGCCGCATACGCCTTCCCCAGAAGCAGCGCCACCTGCACCTCGTCCGCTACCCCCTCCTGCTCCGCCGCCTCCTCCCCTCCCACTGCTGCTGCTGCTGCTGCTGCTGCCACCCGCTGTCGCGCTGCCAGCAGCTCGTCCACTGCCTGGGGTGGGTGGAGTGGTAAGGGGGAAGTAGGAGGGAGGAGAAGAAATCTGAGGTGAGTCGGAACCTCCCACTGTTGCCATGCCATGCCATTCCATGCCATTCGTGCCATGCCATGCCATGCCATGCCATTCCATGCCATGCCATGCCTTGCCATGCCATGCCATGCCATGCCATCCCATCCCGTCCGTCCCGTCCCGTCCCATCCCATCCCATCCCATCCCATGCCATGCCATGCCATGCCATGCCATCCCATCCCATGCCATGCCATGCCATGCCATGCCATGCCATCCCATCCCATGCCATGCCATGCCATGCCATGCCATGCCATCCCATCCCATCCCATCCCATCCCATCCCATCCCATCCCATCCCATCCCATCCCATCCCATCCCACACCACACCACCACACAGCACCACACACACCTGCTGTGGCTTGTTGTCAGCCAGCAGAGCGCCTGTGAGCCCCTGCAGCACCTCTAGGGACTCCACAGGCGACACCTGGCGGAGGGAACAAGGTTGGAGGGAGGAAGAAAGGGGCGGGGTAGGAAGTGGTATAGAGGGGTTGGTTCTTCTGAGAGCGCCTGTGAGCCAGCTGCAACTCCAGAGATTCCACAGGCAACAGCTGGTTGGGGGGGAGAGGTCGAGGGCTGCGAAGGAAGGTAGTGTGAAAGAAGGTTGGTGGGGGGGAAAGAGAGGTTTGGTTCTTCTGAGAGCGCTTGTGAGCCCCTGCAGCACCTCCAAAGAGTCCACAGTCGACACCTGGTGGAGGGGACAGCAGAGGTTGGAGGGAGGGACGCAAGGGGCGGGGGTCGTGGCAGTAAACACGGGTCAGTTCTACAAGCGCCTGTGAGCCCCTGCAGCACCTCCAGCGACTCAACAGTCGACACCTGGTGGAGGCGAGTACAAAGAGCAGAGGAGCAAGTCGTGGGAACCAAGGGTCACTTCATTCAGCAGAGCGCCTGTCAGCCCCTGCAGCACCTCCAGCGACTCCACAGGCGACACCTGGTGGAACGAACGGGGGAAGAGAGGAGGGGAGGAGGGGAGGGGGGCAGATGTGTCGTGATGTGATGCGATGCAATGCGAATGCAGAAAATTCACCATGCAGCAGCACCAGGTGCTATGCGAATGCAGAAAATTCACCATGCAGCAGCACCAGGTGCTATGCGAATGCAGAAAATTCACCATGCAGCAGCACCAGGTGCTATGCGAATGCAGAAAATTCACCATGCAGCAGCACCAGGTGCTATGCGAATGCAGAAAATTCACCATGCAGCAGCACCAGGTGCTATGCGAATGCAGAAAATTCACCATGCAGCAGCACCAGGTGCTATGCGAATGCAGAAAATTCACCATGCAGCAGCACCAGGTGCTATGCGAATGCAGAAAATTCACCATGCAGCAGCACCAGGTGCTATGCGAATGCAGAAAATTCACCATGCAGCAGCACCAGGTGCTATGCGAATGCAGAAAATTCACCATGCAGCAGCACCAGGTGCTATGCGAATGCAGAAAATTCACCATGCAGCAGCACCAGGTGCTATGCGAATGCAGAAAATTCACCATGCAGCAGCACCAGGTGCTATGCGAACGCGCCTCACCTTGATTGCTCGCCTGTAAGCAGCAGCACTGGCGCCATACTCGCCCAGCTCAAATCGCACCTCCCCCAGAAGGCGCTGCACTTCAGGATCCTCCGGAGCAATCTGAGAAGCAACACAACAAAGGAGACGCGGAGGGTGTGTGTGGTGGGGTGAGTTCAAAATTGATCCTCCGTTTGCTGAGTTGTCAGCCAGACCATGTGAGTTCAGTCAGTGCGTACTGCCCCTGCTCGGTTTTTGAGGCATCTAGAAAAAATAAACACAGTAGAGGAGAAGAAAGATGGCAGGGAAAGATGAGGTGACTTCACAATGAAATTCTCCAGGCGCTCATCAGCTGCCAGCCCTAACTGCCCCTGATCAGTTTTTGAGGCGCCTAAAAAATTAACAGAAGGGAGAAGCAGAGGGCTGAGCGTGGTGAGGTGACTTCACAATGAAAGTCTCCAGGCGCTCATCAGCTCAGCTGCCAGCCAGCCCTTACTGCCCCTGCTAAGCATGCAGCACTGCAGCACACTCCCCACCGCACTGCCCATGCTGCCACTTCCTACCGTGCTGAACCCCTCACCCCCCACCCTTCAACCCTCACCCCTCACCCTTCAACCCTCACCCCTCACCCTTCACCCCTCACCCCTCACCCTTCACCCCTCACCCCTCACCCTTCACCCCTCACCCCTCACCCTTCACCCCTCACCCCTCACCCTTCACCCCTCACCCCTCACCCTTCACCCCTCACCCCTCACCCTTCAACCCTCACCCCTCACCCTTCAACCCTCACCCCTCACCCTTCAACACTCACCCCTCACCCTTCACCCCTCAGCCTCGCCCCTCACCTCCAGGGTCTCTGTTTTGACCACGTGCCTGGCTGAGCTGTTCCAGGCGCTGAGCTGCCTGCCCGTACTGCCCCAGCTCAGCATACAGCACTGCAGCTCCCTCCAGCGCCTTACTGCTGCCTATGCCGACCCTTCCCCTACCACCACGTATGCTACACCCCTAGGAGGCGGTTTCTCAAGGCACATGCCTGGCTGAGCTGCTCCAGGCGTTGAGCCGCCTGCCCGTACTGCCCCAGCTCCGCATACAGCACCGCAGCTCCCTCCAGCGCCTCCCTGTTGTCTGGTGTGGCCGCCAGCCGCCCCTCAAACTCCTTCAGCTGGTCCTGCGGGGATGAAGGGGGGGGGGGAGTTGGCAGGGGGGGGAAGGGTGAGCATACAGCACCGCAGCCCCCTCCAGCGCCTCCCGATTGTCTGGTGTGGCCGCCAGCCGCCCCTCAAACTCCTTCAACTGGTCCTGCGGGGATGATGGGGAGCAGAGGGGAGGAGGGGGAGCAGGGGAAGCAGGGGGAGCAGGAGGAACGGAGGTGATGGTTGAGCCGCCTGCCCGTACTGTCCCAGCTCTGCGTTCAGCACCGCAGCCCCCTCCAGCGCCTCTCTGTTGTCCGGTGTGGCCGCCAGCCGCCCCTCAAACTCCTTCAGCTGGTCCTGCACGGGTGATGGGGGGGGTCAGTGCGCACAGGGGAGCGTGGCAGACAGCGAGCGAGGGGGAAAGGGTGGGAGGGAGGGCGGAGAATGACGAGACAGCAAAGGAGCAAGTGAAACGGCTTCTGGACGATGCACTTCAGGAGGTAAAGAGGTGGTGAGAAGGGAAAAGGGACTATGCACAGAATATAATTCACTTAATCAAATCTAGCATGTGATTTGCGCAACACAGCCGAGAGGGCGGTAGAGCGGGAAGCAAGAGAGGGAGGGCTCACCTCTCGCTGCTTCCTCTGTGCATCGGTCATTGCAATGCCATTGAGTCAGCTCAAAACATGGGTATGTGTAAGGGGGAGAGCAGCAGGCGAGCAAGAGAGGGAGGGCTCACCTCTCGCTGCTTCCTCTGTGCATCGGTCATTTTGCCCACTGCAATGCCACTCGCATCCACCACCTGCTGCTGCCTGGCACATGGCGGATCCAGGATGGGTTGAGTGCGGTTCGACAAGGTTGGGAGGGGGATGAACACAATGGATGCGGTGGGTAGGATACATTAGAAACTGAGAACACGGTGGGAGGGCTTTGACTGAGAATGAGGGCAGATCTGCCTCATATCATGCAGGAAGGACCAGCCACATAACCCTTCTTCACCAATGGGTTTTCCAATGGATCAGTCACATACTTGGGGGGAGACGGGGCGGGGAGAATGTCTCCAAAGGCGAAGATGGCAGCAAAGACCGTGGCAGCAATGCCAATGCCAATCTGGACACACCGGGGGGGAGGATGGGGGAGATGGGGGAACCGAAGGGGGCAACAAAGATTGGTATGGGAGGAGGGCGTGGGTGGGAAGAATGTATCCAAAGGCGAAGATGGCAGCAAAGACCGTGGCAGCAATGCCAATGCCAATCTGGACACACCGGGGAGCGGGGGGAGGGAGGAGATCGAAGGAGGCAGCAGGAATAATGATTGGTATGCGAGGGAGGAGAGGAAAGGGGCGAGGAGAATGTCTCCGAAGGCGAAGATGGCAGCAAAGACCGTGGCAGCAATGCCAATGCCAATCTGCCGCGCACCGGGGTGGGGAACCCAAGCAAAGCTAAGATATATAAATATGTATATATATATTTATATATAAATTTTTGGCAAGACCAGAAGCATATGCATAGGCTACGTACATGGCAGTTTCATGCTCATCTCAGCGCAGTCAGCCAACGATCACCTTGGTGGATACTGCTGACATGACAGCACGACTCACCTTGGTGGGCAGGTCCTTCCTTGGTGAGAGCAGCAGTATCCACCAACGGCTCTGTCTCTGACTTGTCGTGGTCTATGGCTGCTGTGCTTGCACCTTGCTCCTGCTGCTCCCCTGCCCCTCAAAGTGCTTCCTCTGCCCTTGGGGGAGCATGCACCTGCTGCCCCGGCCACTGCACCACAGCGCGCCTCACCTTAGTGGGCAGGTCCTTGGTGATATCATCGGTATCCACCAGCGGTTCTGCCTGCGGGTTGCTGTATTCTACGGCTGCGAAATGGTGCTGCTCGCCTGACCCTGCTGGTCCCCTGCCCCTGGGGTTGCATGCACCCGCTGCCCCTGCCTGCCAGGCTGCCACTGCAGCAGCACAGCACGCCTCACCTTGGTGGGCAGGTCTTTAGTGAGTTCAGCCGTGTCCACCAGTGGCTCTGTCTGCGGGTAGTCGTAGTCGATGGCTGCTGCGTTGCTCCCCTGGCCCTTCTGCTCCAGCTGCTACTCCCCTGCCTCTCTAAATGCATTCCCTCCCCTTGCGATTGCAGCACAAGCACGTCTCACCTTGGTGGGCAGGTCCTTGGTGAGTTCAGCCGTATCCACCAGCGGCTCTGTCTGCGGGTTGTCGTAGTCGATGGCTGCTGTGCTTTGCACCGCCTTTGCCCGCTTCTTCTCCTCTGCTTGCCTGAGAACGGGGAGAAGAGAACAGTGGAGCACGGGCATAGAGAATGGGATGGAGTGCGTTTTCAATCATGTCATGCGTCTGGCAGTTGTTGTCATAGTCTATGACTGCTGTGCTGCTCAGCTCACCACTGCTGCCTGCTTTTTCTCCTTCCTCATCAACTCACCGTCGCACTTCTCTCAAGCGCTCCTCAAACAGCCGGTCATCGTCCGAGGCCGCACGGGAGGGCGCCATGTGAGAACGACTTTCCATACGACCCGAACATCTCGCACTCCCCCCCCCCCAACACCCTTCTTCCCCTTACCCGTCCTCATCAACTCACCGACGCACTTCCCTCTCCCCCCCACCTTTCCCATCTGCTCACCGTCGCACTTCCCTCAGCCGCTCCTCGAAGAGCCGGTCGTCGTCCGAGGCAGCACGGGAGGGCCTCTGCCACGCCTCTTGCGCCCCCGCCACATCTGGCGCCCACTCTGGCCATACAGGCATGGCATGGCAGGGCATGGCACAAGGAAACTGCAATGGGTTGGCCAGCTTGATTTTTGAGACTTTGCTGCAGGAATTAACGTTTTCTTACGGGGTTCAACTGAGGGCATAAAACTCATTGTGATTAGGTGGGCTGGAGGTTACCGTTTTCACTGACGCCTGGAATGGCCGCATCTTGCTTGGGAGCCCCACTGCCTTTGCTGGGACTCGGCTTCTGGAGATGCATTGTGGAATGACACGTGGGGTGAAAAGATGTATGCCGCGTGAGAATTCAGAATACGGCATGCGAGACGCTGCGTTGAGGTACGTGTGATGCTACAATAACGTATGTGCAATGCAATGGCACATGTGAGGGTTCCATACTTTGAATGCGAGAGGCCGTGCGACAGCACTTCACAAGCAGCACAACAGATGGCAGCGTGTGATGCGCGCCATGGCATGCCGTGACGCTGCACATGATGGCATGGCATACAATGTCCGTGCATGTCGTCACTGCATGGTTACCAGTGCATGATCAGTAATGCATGCATGGACATCAGCAGTAAATCTGCGAGAATCTCATGCCCGTATCCCCGTGAACCTCGAATACGTCCTATTCTGAAGCTCCCCAACAATGCGCCGAGCACGTTCAAAGTCGCTTCTGAGAGCTCTCAAACGCAACGCGTCGCATCGCACCCGGCTCTTGCTGTCGTCCGCCTTGCCAAACCCCTTCGCCCCGCCTGTGGCTGCCGTCACCAGCACCACTCTCCTTCGCCCGAAACCAGCCCCCGATCGCCCGGTCCTCGTGAACGGAATGCTGCGAGCCCTTGCTGGCGCTCGTTGAACTAGCGATGACGATGACGACGACACTGACGACGCGGATGGCACGGAGCTAGTCGCCGCTAGCATTGCAAGGGAGCTGCAGGAAACGGCCAAGGACTGCATTGCCGAGCCTATTAAACAGACCTTCGAAATGGAATCGGTTCAACAGATTCTGCTTTTGCTAACTGCGCTCCTGACGGACGTCGCGCTAACTGATGACCGTTGTAATGGAAACTCGCAATGGAGTGCAAGCTGGACTGGCCCAGTAGCAGCAGAGTACTAAACAGAATTGCAGTGAGGTGACGTGGACGTATCAAGTGCTTTCTTGCCTTTCTCCACCCTTGGGAATTGTGAACAGTTTGGATAAGGCGAATCTGCGAGCATGATCTTTTGCGAGCTTCGCGAAACACGAAGCCCCTGGGAGGGGGTGATGTGATGCGTGTGTGGCTCTTCATTAATGCATCATTTGCGAACAATGAATAATGTGCGACGACTGTTACGCAAACTAAACGACGTTCGCATTGAATGGTAACTTTTTGCGAACGCTGATGACTTCGCATAGCTTTCCCAACCCTCGGAAACACCTGGGGTAAACTGGAACGCCAACGCCAACTGCGGCAAGTCTTGGAACCTAAAAACAGAGTCAGCATTTTCTGTTAGTCCTACTCAGCAATTTCTCAGGCTCGACACCATTCCCGCAAGACCAGTCAGCAATCTTCTTAGTCTGCTGTCCCCCGAACATTGCCGCAAGGTTTTTGTTACTAACTGGTGTTCGTTCTAAGAGCGTGCTCTGGTTACTTCTCCAAATCCCGTACTAATTAGTCCGTTCGAGCTCGAGCTAGCGTTAGCGCATTGTTTCGCATACGCGGCTGCCACAGTGCTCTTTCTACGATGACAACGGAGGTCGCGGGTCGCAACATCGTAGTCGCAGTCGACGAGTCCGAGCAAAGCTTCTACGCCTTGCAGTGGTATGCACGCATGCTGCCTACCAAACTTTCGCTCCATGCTCCAAGTCCGCTGCGTGCTTATTTTAATATACATATATTTTTCGCTCTATGCCTTAAGGAGCGCTTTAGCCGGCAACGCGCTTTTTTCCTGCCACCAACGGTTTTCCAGTGTCCCCGCTTAGCGCACGTCCACGCCTTGTTCGATGCTCGCACTCCGCGCATTGTTCTGCAGGGCGTTTGACCACATTATTCGAAAGGACGCCGATAAGACGATACTCGTTACAGTGGAGACGCCCATTACCAGCACCGCAGGAGGTACATGGCGCGAACTAGTATTGTCCGCATTTTTCCGCAGTACCCTCCGTTGTGACATATTCTCACAGCACTTTCGAGCCGGGCCCTTTTCTCTCCTATAGTCGACGTCTCAGAAGTCATTCCTGTTACAATCACTCGAATTATTTTTCTCCTCCCCTCTCCCCTTTCTTCTCTCCCCTCCCCCCACCTCCCCCCCCCAACCCGCACCCCACACCCAACACCCCCCTTTCCCGCCCGTTTTGTTTTTCGCCGGCAGCATTCGCGATTCCCGAGGACAATGAGCTGAGCGTGGAGGAGGACAAGGAGCAGGAGACGAGGAGCGTCGCTGAGAGGGCCGAGGCCATCTGCAAGGACAACCAGGTGGGGTGTCGTCTCAACGGGGTGGGCTGGGTTATTAACAGGATAGTATGCTATCCTCTGAAAGAGGTGGGCTAGTTCGTGCCGTGAACAGGGTGGGCTGGGTTGAGAGCGGGGTGGGTTGTATTATGAACCGGGTGGTTGGCATGAAGTCCTTAAGAACTCCATTAATATAAGCGCAACAGTTAACGGCAAGACTCAAGCACACATTGGCCACAGCTAACGGCCGCACTGGCACTGTAGCGTATAGCTGCAGCTGTTAGCTATCCCGTTCCCCCCGCCTTTCCCCTCCCCCCTCCCATTTCCACCAGCTGTTAGCTATCCCGTCCCCCCCTCTCTTTCCCCTCCCCACCTCCCATTTCCACCCCCCTCCTTAATTTTTCTACATCCAAGAATGCTTACATTAAAGCTTGCTGGAGATGTGTTGCTGCTGCTGACGAGCGTGGCAAAGGTGTGGCAGGGCGACGCGAGGGAGGGGATCTGCCAGGCGCGAGGGGAGAATTTTGAGGGGTTGTTTTGAGACGAGTTTTGAGATGTCTCAGAACTGATTGGATCTGTGTTTGTGTGGGTGTCATTGTCAGGTGACAAGCGTGACCAAGGTGCATCAGGGCGAGGCGAGGGAGGCGATCTGGTTTTGAGACGTCTCGGAACTCTTGATTTCTGTTGTGTTGCTGTCAGGTGACAAGCGTGACCAAGGTGTATCAGGGCGAGGCGAGGGAGGCGATCTGCCAGGCGTGTGAGGAGAATGAGGCGAGCATGCTGGTCATCGGCAGCCATGGCCACGGGCCCGTCAAGAGAAGCTTCCTTGGCTCCGTCAGCGACTACTGCTCCAAATACGCTCGGTCAGTTGGGGCTGCATGCTGCGCTTCAGTTAGTTGGACCTTATGCTGTGCTTCCATGAACGTCTCGAAAGACCGGGAGCTTCCTCAGCTCTGTCAGCGACTACTGCTCCAAATACGCCCGGTCAGTGGGGCAGTGCTTTTGTGCTTTGAGACATGTCAACTCAGTAAATCAGAAGTTTCCTTGGTTCGGTCAAGAACTACTGCTCCAAATGCGCACTGTCAGTTGAACCTAGCTCTCTGAGTCTTCCACCCCACCCCAACCCCCCATCCCCCCGTGTGTGCTTTTGCCCTGTCCGTGCCCTTCCGCCCCTGTGTGTGCTTCAGCCCTGGTGTGGTTCTCCCCCCTCCTCTCCTCCTTTTACCATTGCATGTAGTCACTGCCATCCCATCCCCTCTCCATTTTCATCCTCTCCATTTTCATCCTCTCCATTTTCATCCTCTCCATTTTCATCCTCTCCATTTTCAATCCCTCACTTTCATCCCCCCTCTCATTTCTGCCATTCCAGTTCCTGGTCTGGCGTTTCTTCCTTAATCATCCATCTTCTGCTCCTTTTTCTCCTCCTACTCCCCTGCTTCACTGTCACTGATTTTTCCTCTGCCCTCAGGTGTCCTGTGGTTGTAATTCGACCTATAAGCTAACCTTCTGAATCTCACACATGCCACCAGTGTAATTCGAAATGATTTGTTTCTCTCATTATCTCCTTTGCCTAAAGCTATACTAAATACATTAGGACAGCTAGGGTCGATTCTATTCCATGGGAGTCTCTGCTCTGATTCACATCACTAGCCAATGTGCCCTTCCATATATGCAATGTCAACTTGCACAATATTCAAGTGATGTAGTATTCATCTTTCACTGACATTGAGGGTGAATCACGATTTTCCTGCTGACCCATTATATCTCGGGGTAACGAGGCACGTCATCTCGGGGATGAGTTCTCAGCACGCAACGCAACCATGGCCGACGGCACTGCGGTAGGATACACGATTCACCCGCAATTCGCAACATCCATTTTCCGCAAGTAATATCTGCGCTGGAAACGCCTCTGACGTCAACCCATGTGCGATTCATGCTGAGGGTGCAAATCAGTCGCGACTTTTGAGAGCTAGGAGCTGGTTCTCTCTGCAAGAAGAATGCTGCGGTTGGAGTACAGCGGAATACTCTGTCGCGGAGCATCGGAGCGACATTGCAGGACCAGCGGAATGGCTTTGGCGCAATCCGTTCGCGAAACGCGGAAATTTCATTCCGCTTTTGCGCTTCCTGCGCGCTCGCTTTCCGCTGGTGGTTTCCTGGCCTCTGGGCAGAGGAAGGTTCCAGGGAAGCCCGCTAGAGCGCCGCTAGCACGCGCGGCAGCAGGCGCTGACGGCTTGTTTGACGGCCAGCGGTTTGTGCTGACGCTAGAAGTGACGGAAGGCAAACAGGTAACGGTCACAATAACGGTCACGATGTCCATTTTCACCTCTTCTCTGCCTATTTGCCATTCAAAGCCCGTTATGGCATGACGTCATCATTGCCACCTCTCCCTTGCCACGTGGCAGGCTCAGGCGGCGGACGTCCTAGCTTCGGGCAGGTTCCGAGCCACAGTGCTGCCGGACCTGCCTGCTCCGGCCGGCTTCAGAGATTTCTTGCAGTTGCCCCTCTCTCTTCTTCCCCTCCTCTCCTCCTCCTCCTCCTCTCTTCCTCCTACCTCCTCCTTTTCCCCTCCTACTACCGCCTCTCCCAATTTTCCTGCCTCCTTTCCCAATTCTCCTGCTTGCGATGGGAGTGCTCTAGATGCCTCAACTCTCAGTCCTGCGATTTCAGCTGTAACCAGTCCTGATAACCAGCTATATGCTGGTAACCAGGCTGGTACAGGCAATACAGCGGGCAGCCAGGCCATTCTGAAGGATCCTGACAGCTCTGTTGCGGCTCAGGCGATTGCCCAGGTGCTGACGGTGGCGGCTCAGGTGAAAACAGCAGAGGCGGTGAGGCAGCAGATGGTGGAGAAGGCGGTTCAGGTGGCAGGGGGCAGGGAGGGCAGCACTCCAGGTGCTCTGCTGCTGCTGTCAGGAGGTACGTGTAACCGCTGTTAATGCTGTTGCGGCTGCTGCCGCCGCTGCCGCCGCTGTTGCTGCTGCTGCTGCTGCTGCTGCTGCTGCTGCTGCTGCTGCTGCTGCTGCTGCTGCTGCTGCTGCTGCTGCTGCTGCTGCTGCTGCTGCTGCTGCTGCTGCTGGTGGCAGCACTCCAGGTACTCTGCTGCTGCTTCCTCTTCTGCTTGTGCTGCCGCCGCCGCAGCCACTGCTACTGCTGTATCACCACATGCACACCTCCCAGCACATTTTGGTCCATTGCTATTCACACCACACGCGCGGTCGTGCCACCAACTCCCTTTCCCCACCCCTCCACCCACTTGTGACACGTCTCCCCCCATTCATTCTCATACCACCGCACAGCCCACCCGATGCGCTCCTGGCCGCTCGTAAATCGCTTCATGCCCACCAAGTCTCTCACCTTGCGCCCCCACCCCACTCCCAACCTTTCCCATTGCATCTCATTTGCATCCCAACCCCACAGCCCACCCCATGCGCTCCTGGCCGCTGGTGAATCGTCTCATGCCCACCAACTCACTCCACATGCTGCGAGACGCACACAGGCTCCGTTCCGCAGGCCGAATCCCGCGCTGTAAGTGCAGCATTGCATACTGTTGCATGAATGGTGAGGCTTGGGACGTCTCAGAAACCAGCTCGCTCCACATGCTGCGAGATGTTCACGGGCTCCGGGCGGCAGGCCAAATCCCGCGCTGTAAGTGCGGTGCTGCTTCTCCTGCTGTTCACATGAATTGTGGGGAGCGGCGGAAGTTGACTTTTGAGTCGACTCAAAAGTCACCCCGCTGTAAGTGCGGTGTTGCATCTGCTGTTCACTTGAATTGTGGAGAGCGGCAGAATGAGTTCTGTGCTTCGAGTGTGGTGCGTTTTGGGGCGCCTAAAAAATGCATCTGGCTGTGTTGTGTCGCCCCCTCAGACTTGTGTAGAAAGTGAAATTCTGGTTATAAAGTGCATGAGACGTCTCAAAACTTCACATTCTGCACATAACCTCAGAACTGCATCCAGCTGCGTTGTATCCCCGTCTCAGACCCACCCTTCCACTCCCATCCCATCCCATCCCATCCCCAAACAACCCGTACCTCCCCTGTCATTTGCTCCCTCCCAAGGTGTTCAGTTGTGGGCCGTGGAGAATCCTATCACTGGCTCAATTAACCGGCTGGAGCAGAAGGTAAGAGCCCACCTGTGATGCACCTCAAAAGCCTTTAGAATTCATTCAGTTGGTGTTTAAGTTCCCGAAAACGACTCCCAGTGTGTCCAGTGGTTGTGGGCTGTGGAGAATCCTATCACTGGCTCAATTGATCGGCTCGAACAGAAGGTATCAGCCCACCTCTGAGGCAGCTCAAAAGCCTTGACAATGCATTCAGTTGTGTTTACGTTCTCGAAAACGACTCCCAATGTGTCCAGTGGTTGTGAGCTGTGGAGAATCCTATCACTGAGTCTGTTGATCGTCTGGAACAGAAGGTAAGAGCCACGTGATATAATAGATCCGTTTTGGGACATTTTAGAAGGTTGGTTTGATGCTTGCAGCAGTATCAGACCTTGGGGCTTCTTAAGTTGTTGAGACATTTCCATCAGAAACATTGATCTCAAGATCCCACTCATTTCCACAACCCCCGCTGTTCACGCTGCAGTTGGAGGCGGGAGCAGAGGCCATCATACTGCAGCCGCCGGTGGTGCCAGAAGCTTTTCAGCAATGGTGGTGTGCGGCTGAACAGAGAGGGTGAGACGGAAGGTGAGGGGTAGAGAGTCAAAGGGTGAGTGCGAGAGGGCGAGAGAAAGAGTGGGATTGGGGGAGGGGAGGGTGGGGGGGAGGGAGAGGGGTAGGCGGAGTGGTAGTTTCTTATCAGTCCCAAATTTCGCCTTGAAGATGCTTTTCACTCATTCCCTTCCCTTTCCTCCCCCAACTTTCCGCCTAATCACAGCAGTCCCCATGATGATCCTAGGAGTGCCTCTCATCACCTCAGCGCGCAACCTGGCCTTCTGGATGCTTCTCACCCACCATCTCAAACCCCATGCCCCTGCCCTTCACCCTCCCAGCCTCACCACTGCACTGCAGTCCCCATGGTGATAGGAGTGCCGCTCATCACCTCGGCGCGCAACCTCTCCTTCTGGATGTTCTCACCGATGCCAAAGGGGGGCCAGGCACATGGTGAAATAGCCAGGTTCCGGCAGGCAGAGGAAGCTTTCACACCCGCCTGCTTCTCACTCCTCTCCCCCCTTCCCCAGCCTCACCACTGCAGTCCCCATGGTGATAGGAGTGCCGCTCATCACCTCGGCGCGCAACCTCGCCTTCTGGATGCTTCTCACCGATACCAAGGGGGCTCGAGCCGACGCTGAGATAGCCAGGTTCCGGCAGGCAGAGGAGGCTTTTGAGTCGACGCAAAGGAGAGCTGGCAGTGGAATCGCGGCAGGGATGGGCGAGGTGGACGTGGATGAGTTCCGGGCGTTCCGCCAGCGCTGGACGGAGAATTACCTCTCCCTGGCGAAGCAGCTCCCAGGTATGGAGGTGTGGAGGTGAAGTGATGAGTAAATTGCAGGGACGGGCGAGGTGGACGTGGATGAGTTCCGGGCGTTCCGCCAGCGCTGGACGGAGAATTACCTCTCCCTGGCGAAGCAGCTCCCAGGTATGGAGGTGTGGAGGTGAAGTGATGAGTAAATTGCAGGGACGGGCGAGGTGGACGTGGATGAGTTCCGGGCGTTCCGCCAGCGCTGGACGGAGAATTACCTCTCCCTGGCGAAGCAGCTCCCAGGTATGGAGGTGTGGAGGTGAAGTGATGAGTAAATTGCAGGGACGGGCGAGGTGGACGTGGATGAGTTCCGGGCGTTCCGCCAGCGCTGGACGGAGAATTACCTCTCCCTGGCGAAGCAGCTCCCAGGTATGGAGGTGTGGAGGTGAAGTGATGAGTAAATTGCAGGGACGGGCGAGGTGGACGTGGATGAGTTCCGGGCGTTCCGCCAGCGCTGGACAGAGCAGTACCTCACACTGGCGAAGCAACTTAAAGGTGGGGCTTTGGTATCAGAAAAAGGGGTTGCACACAGCAGGTGGCAGGGACGGGCGAGGTGGACGTGGATGAGTTCCGGGCGTTCCGCCTGCACTGGACAGAGCAGTACCTCACACTTGCCAAGAAGCTGAAAGGTGGGGCGTCTGCTGTATGGCTGTCAAAGTGGCCTGAAATCACCATGTCCCGGCAGGCAGAGGAGCAGGTGGCAGGGATGGGCGATGTGGATGTGGGTCAGTTCAGGTCGAGGTTGATATGGATGCCCTGAACTGATCCCGATGGAGATGGCTGTGTACCCTTTGACATCGATGAAGGGTCATTCACTCACCCCCGTTTCCACTCACCCCCGTTTCCACTCACCCCCGTTTCCACTCACCCCCGTTTCCACTCACCCCCGTTTCCACTCACCCCCGTTTCCACTCACCCCCGTTTCCACTCACCCCCGTTTCCACTCACCCCCGTTTCCTCTCCACTCACTCACACGCCCCTTCACTCGGTTCTTTTTCCGAGGTGCTTGCAGGGGCTTCAGGGATGCATTTCATGCCTATCAACCCCCGTGGCTGGAAGGACCTGCGTAGACTAATCGCCACTTCAAATGTATTCTCCAGTCTCTGACGATCATTGATGATTGCATCAGACCTAATCAGTCTGCTTTGCGACATGGCGCTTGTTTTGCGTGGATGACGGAATAAATACCTAGAGACACACATAGAGAGCAGACCAGAGCACAAGTGCCAGATGCCTTAGCATGTCTTGGGATCCCTTGGGTCTGCCAAGGATAGAGGAAACGCCATGCCCACCACCTACAAACAGGTCAGGCAGATCAAAGCCTGCACAAAAGTCACCTGGGTTTGACACTTGCGAACAACAATGGGTACTGGAGGTGAGGGGTATCGATCCCCTTACCTATCGCATGCGAAGCGATCGCTCTACCATGTGAGCTACACCCCCATGTTTGGTCGGGTTATTGTCTTAATAATGTCTTCTTGGTGACAAGTTCACATTTGTTCCCACAGCCCCTCACGGTTGTTCTTCGGATCAGCTTGCCCAGTTTCATTAGTAGGCTGGCGCCAAATTAGTGCGACGCGATGGTGAAAGCGTACTTGCGCTACGAGCAGGAAGCGGTATTCGGCCTCGTAGTCTCCCCTTCCTGCGGCAGCATCTGTTTCGACCAATCAGGGCGCTCCATTCTAACCGGCGCGCTCGAACGCTTACTCGTATGGGACGTACGAAAGGGCACGTTGCTACAGCAGCTCGCGCCACAGGCCGGCGCCGGCTACAGCCAGGGGAGCGGCGCGGGCGCGGCCGGCGGCGCAGCCGGCAGCGTGCATGATGCCGTCCCGGCTGTAGCGGACGTGACGGCGATTTGCCCGTCGCCGGCCGACGCGACGCAGGTGGCGGCGGGGTACACGTACGGCACGTTGCGCGTGTGGAACATGGTGGACGGCACGTGTAGGACAAGCCTTGCCGGCCACAGATCGGCTGTAGCGGTGGTGCGGTACAACGCGGCCGGCGCGCTGCTGGCGTCGGGCGGCAGAGACGCGGATATCGTCGTGTGGGACGTGGCGGGGGAAGTGGGACTCGTGCGGTTGAGAGGCCACAGAGACCAGGTAGGGTACCAGGGTTCTGGGTTTTCAAGGTTTGGTTTGGATTTGGTTGGGGTTGGGGAGGATGTGGGTGTGGTGGGATGGAGTCGGTCGGCAGAGACGCGGATATCGTGGTGTGCGATTGAGGGGCCACAGGGACCAGGTAGGGTTGTGGGTTTTGACCGGTAGTTGGTTAGGGTTCGGGAGAATGTAGGTGCGGTGGGATGGAATCGGGCGGCAGAGACGCGGATATCGTGGTGTGGGACGTGGCGGACGAAGCGGGGCAAGTGCAATTGAGAGGCCACAGAGACCAGGCAAGATTCAGGGGTCAGGGTTTTGGAGGTTTTGAATGTAGTTTCTCCAGTTTCGGAGGATGTAGGGTTATGATGCGCCTCAGAAGACTTGCCACTGAAGGAACGCAGAGGCCAATCAAAGTGTCGCGCTTGGGGGTTATGGTGAACAGAGGATGTAGGTGTGGTAGGTTGGTCGATCCACGCATGATCTGCCATCCCTCCCTCTTTTTCCTCCCCCATACACCCCCCTCCCTCCCCCGATCCCCTGCGCCATGCAAATTGTCCATGTTACAGACCCCACCTTCCTGGAAGCTTTCCGCGTACAGCACCAGTCATTACTGGCTGTAGCAGGGACACGCAGATCAATGGACACCACTGCATGTGAACCCTCACCTAACACCCACTCCTTGCCTGCCCCCTCCTCTCCCTTCTAACCCCTCACCCAATCCCCCGCCCTGCAAATACTCCAGGTCACTGATCTTACTTTCTTGGAAGGTTCCATGGTTCAGCATCAATCGCTGCTAGTCAGCTGCAGCAGGGACGCGCAGATTAAAGTCTGGGACCTCGCCCTCCACCACTGCATCAAATCACTGCCTATTCTACCCCAATCCCCTGTGCCTGCAGGTCACCGATCTCACCTTCCTGGAGGGCACCATGGTGCAGCACCAGTCACTTCTAGTCAGCTGCAGCAGGGATGCCCAGATTAAAGTGTGGGACCTCGCACTCCACCACTGCATCCAAACCATCGCCGAGCCTCGCGGCGAGCTCTGGACGCTCGCCGTCCACCCGAGCCTGCCGAGGCTCGTCGCTGCCGGCACCGAACCTGAGGTTTTGGTTTTCCAAATCAGGGCGGAGAGGGGGGTGTTGGGGGGAGCGCCTGGGGAAAGCGCGGAGGGGGAGGGGGACGGGGAAGGGGGAAGGGATGCGGCAGGGGCGGAAGGAGGAGGAGCAGGAAGGGGAAGCGCGGGAGGAGGAGGTGGGGGGGTGACAGGGCGGTGGGACGTGCTTATACCGCACGGCAGTATAAGGAGGGTGGTGGGCGTGGGGCAGGGCGCAGAGCGGGCTTTAAGCGTGCGTTTTGACGGCCCAGGGAAGGTGCTAGCCTGTCAGAGTGCAGGCAAGGCTGTTGAGTTGTTTAGAGTGAGGAGTCCTGGTGAGGCGGTTAGGCAGGCCAAGAGAAGGAGGAGGAGACAGGTGGAGAAGGGGAAGGTGAAGGGGGGTGAGGGGGAGCGAGAGGGAGAAGAGGCGGGAGAGGAAGCGGTGGAGGGGGAAGGAGGAGGGGAAGGAGCAGGGGAAAAGGAAGGGGGAGGGGAGGAGGGAGGGGAGCGGAAAGGGGAGGGAGGGGCGGGGGTGACTGTGGAAGGGGCAGACGAGTTTGCTTCGATGTTCACCATTCGTTTGAAGCACAGAGTGCGGGCGATTGCGTTTGCTCCCAAGGCAGGGGGGGCAGGGGGGGCAGGGGGGGCAGGGGGAAGGGGAGCAGGGAGAGGGGGAGCAGAGCCGTCACTGGCGCTGGCGCTGCACAACAACAGTGTGGAGGTGAGACGAGGGAGAAGAGGGAGAAGAGGAAAAAGAGGGTGAGGAGGAAGAAGAGGGGGAAGAGGGAGAGGAGGGAGAAGAGGGGGGGGATAGGAGGGGTTGGGATTTGAGGTGGCGCGCATCAGCAACCGGCCTGCACAGGGTACTGAGTGGGAGCAGCATTTGCGTTTCTCCTCCTTCCCTCCCTCCCTCTCTCCCTTTCTCCCTCTGTTTGCCTCCACGGTCCACCCCGTCGTCCAGATCCACACTATCCACGCCGACAACAGCACCCGGGCGGTGACTTTTGAGTCTACTCAAATCCCACCTTCCCTCCATCTTCCCATCTCCCCCGCTCCATCCTCCCACCCCTCCCCAGATCCACACTATCCACGCGGACAGCAGCACCTGGGCGGTGCCTGTATCACCTTTGCGATTACCCAACCCAAAAGTGACACGAGCATACCCTCCCATTCACACCACCGCCACACCCCCCCCAATCCTCCCAATCAAACCCTCTCTTCGTCCAGATCCACACAATAAACGCGGACAGCAGCACCCCGGCGGCGTCGCTGCAGTCAGTTGACTTTTGAGTCGACTCAAAGGTCACCCTGGCCTCCATCCTCCCATCCCATCCCCTCCTTGCTTCCAGATCCACACTATCCACGCGGACAGCAGCACGCGGGCGGCATCGCTGCAGTCTGCCGGCCACCGATCGGACGTGCGCTCGCTGGCGCTCTCCTCGGATGGCTCGCTTCTTTTGTCCGTTTCCAAAGGCTCCGCCAAGGTGGGAGATTAATTGCTTATCTTACTCTTCGTCTAGTTCTGCAAGTCACTTTAGGCACCACATTTCGCAAACGTACACAAATCCTAGCGAAACCCTAGCAATTTTGGAACCACTTTTGCCGAGCACATCACTTGAGACACCTCTTATCCTCAGATAGCCCAATTCCCCGCTTACAGCTCATTTCTCGTTCCTCTCCTTTCAGGTGTGGAACCCTGTAACTGGCGCCTGCCTCTCTTCCTTTGACTCGGGCTATGGCCTCTGCTGCCTCTTCGCCCCCGGGGATAGATATGTGAGTGATGTGGGGATGCGATGGGGGTGCAATGGGGATGCAGGGCAGGGTTGGATGTGTGCAATGGGGGTGCGGGGCAGGGTTGGGTGTGGGTGGGGTAGGGCTGGTTGGGGGAGATCCGTTTCTTAGTGTATCGTATCTGAGGAGGGTATCTCAAAGGTCCGCCACTCATTGCACCCATCCCTGCACTCAAGCCGTCTCAGGGACTCTCTCAGCATGAGGCTCCCTCCCTGCACTCTCGAGTCGCCAAAGAGTGACCCGATGTGCACGCGGACCGTCTCAGGCACGCAGACGGATTGTCTATATTGGAGTCGGTTTTGTCACTTTTTGGGAGTTTTTGTGGTTAAGGATTTTCTCCTCCCCCCCTTATCCTTGTCTTTCTTCTCTCCTGCATGCAGGCCATTGCAGGCACACAAGCAGGCGACCTGGAGGTGTTCTCAGTGGCCAGTGCTGAGCGCACTGCTCTCATCCAAGCAGCCCACGACAAGGCCATTTCCTGACCCGCCCTCTGCTCCCTGCAATTCAGGCCATCGCAGGCACACAAGCAGGCGACCTGGAGGTGTTCTCAGTGGCAAGCGCTGAGCGCACTGCTCTCATTCAGGCAGCACACGACAAGGCAGTGTGGGCCATGGCTCCTCTGCCTGATAACACTGGCTTTGCCACTGCCTCTGCTGATGGCTGTGTGAAGGTGAGTACATGACTGTGTGTGTTTCAAGGTTGGTGCGGAGTGAGAGGGCGTGTGTGCGCATGTGAGAGTCTGTTGCCTCTATTCAAGGCAGTGTGGGCCATGGCTGCCCTGTCTAATAACACTAGCTTTGCCACGGCGTCTGCTGTGTCAACGGGAGTTGGGTATTGGCCCCGTCCTCGCTTGGGCGGAGCCGACTTCGTGGTCGGGTGTAGGGTGCAGCCGACCTGCAGCAGTGGGCGGGCTGGTCGACGAGGTTGGTCGACCTGCACGGGGAGCCACTGCATGGGCGCCGACTTCGGGAGGGCGTCAACATCAGGTGGTCGACCTGGGACGTCGACCAGCCCTTCTGGTCGACCTGGGAAGTCGACCAGGTCTTGTGGTCGACCAGGAGTGACGTCGACCTAGAGCTGGTCGACCAGGGAGTAGTGGTCGACCTGGGAGGTCGACCGGCACATACCGGAGGCAGTGGTCGACCTGGTACGGTCGACTGGAAGTGGTCGTCGACTTGGGTGGTCGATGGGCACGCACTGGAGCCTCTGGTCGACCTGGTTGCCCGGTCGACCATGTTACCTGGGTGACGAGGTGCTGCGAAGGCTTGCGATGGTCGCCCAGGTGGTTTTGGCGAGAACGACCTCGGTGATGGTATCCCGAGGTCGACGTGGTGCATCAGATGCAGTCGTCAGCACGAGGTGGACTTGGTGTGTGCGCTGTGCAGGTGACGAAGCAGTGCGCGCCAATCACCTACGAGCACCTGCGAAGCGGGTGCGATGCTGGACTGCAGGAGCAACGCTGGCGCGCCGTCGACTTGCGTTGTTGCCTTGCCGTCGACCTGCAGCGTTGGCAAGCCGCGACTCTGCACTGCTGGAGCGCGGTCGACCAAGTCGTGCTGGCACGCGGTCGACCGTGCTGCGCTGGCAGTCGACCTGCTTGCATCCTAGCTCTGATGTAGTCTTGCCTAGCCAACTTCATTGTATCATTGTTGTCAACTTTCTCTAGTGAAACTCTTGCCAAATTTCCTTGTGAACTAGCAAGCAGTGTGTGCACTAGGAAAACGACTAAGGACCGAGGAACGCAGAGATCACACGAGCACACGTGCCTAGCCCGTAGTCTAGCTCCCGTTACTAGAGTTATCTCCGCATGGTGCGGTGAGCGTGGACGGCACAACGACTTACCTTTCAGTCTAGTCGACTTGGTAGGCACCTTACCTAAGTTGTTCGTAGGCCGGCAGCTGTGCGATAGTCACTATGGTAGTAGCTGTAGGTGACACGGGGGTGGTGGACACCCTGGAGGCACGGCTGGAAAACGCGAGGAGGAAGCACGAGGCCAACGAGTATGGCGACCTGCCGTGGGCGGTCGTCGAGGCTGGCATCCGTTCCTTGTGGGCGACGGAGCACCCTTCTCGGCCTGCTTCTCCTCGACCGGTGAACACCGAGGGCGGCGTCGACGTGGGCGTCAACGCCGGAGGCGACCAAGTCGGCAGCAGTGCGGGAGGCATGTCGTCGAGGCAGCGTGGTGTGATTCACGCCGACGAAGTCGGCGGCGTTCAGACGCGAGGAATGCGGTCGTCGGCGGCTGCAGGGTCCTCGCAGGGCGACGTCGGAGGTCGACGGAGTGGGTCCGTGCCGATGTCGGCAACCCAGGTGACAGCAGGCGGGATTGCACCGAGCTACGGCTACTTCAAGTTTACGCCGGATAGGATCTCGGTGACTCCCCTACTGGTCGGCCGACCCGACATTCTCACCTGGAAGGAAGCTATTGAGCCCCAGCTGGAGATGGCCGGGCTCATCAACTTTGCTCGTGGTACCGTGGCAACACCGAGCGACTTGCGTGCGGAGTTTCGCGCCGTGCAGCTGCTGACCTTCACGGTCATCTCGCGGTGCTGCACGCCGGGCGTGCAGATCGCCCTGAAGTGGTGCAGGGAGTACCTCGACGCCGGCCACCAGGCGTGGCACTTCATCGAGTCGACGTACCAGGTCACCGACGACTTGTTCATCGCTCAGCTTGAAGGGCAGCTGACGCACCTGCGCATGGGCGACGAGGAGACGGCGACCGACTACTGCAACCGGGCCCGGCGAATTCTCGCCACCATCAGGATGGCCGGTGCGGAGTATTCGACGGCGTCGTACATCACCCATGTCATGCAGGGGCTCCGGAGCAGCTACAACTTGCTGAAGCGGCTGTCCATGGCGCCGAGCACAAGGGCGACGCTCAACGAGGACAACTTGACCTCGTACATCCTGCAGGACGAGGCGATGCAGGAGGCTGAGCGGTCCCAGGAGCTCTTGGCGCAGGCAAACTTTGTCGCCCCAGCGAAGCAAGGCGGTCGACCGGGGCAGCGTGGACAGTCGGGCGGCGGTGGTAGCGGTGGCTCGAAGTCGGCCAAGGAGGTCGACAAGAAGAAGTCGACCAAGGACAGTGGCCGGGGAGGAGGAAGTCGACGTCGGGAGTGCTGGCTGTGCGGCGACCCCGACCACCTCTCCTTCGAGTGCCCCGACCGCAGTGACTCGGACGACGACGACAAGGGAGGCCGCGGGAGGTCTGGCAGTCGTCGACCTCGTCGAGGAGGAAGTCAATCGCGCAAGGAGAAGCAGTCGACCAAGTCGACCTCGGCGAAGGACGCCGACTCCTCTGCTGGCGGAAAGGGGAGCAACGACAAGTCGGCGTCGTGCTCTCTGGTCGGCGTCGTGGAGCCGACCGTCTCACTGGCGCCGGAGGCTGGTGAGGATTTCCAGGCGATGGCAGCAGCAGTGCAAGCGAACCCGGCGGTGGTCTTGCTGGACAGCGGCTGCTCCCACCACCTGATGGGGACCAAGGACGCCTTCGTCGACCTGGGGCCGAGCGGCGACGTGAAGCACGTGCGCGGCTTCAATGGGGCGCTGCAAGACGTCCAGGGCCGAGGCACGATCGCCCTGCAAGGCGAGGCCGGAAAGCAGGTTCTCATCCCCGACGTGCTGTACGTCCCGGGTGTGCGGGCGAACCTGTTGTCGTCTGGCCAGTTGAAGGAGCACGGCGTGAAGTTTCAGGAGGACGGCGACGGGATGCTGCTCGTTTCGGCAGCAGGAGAGGTGCTTGGTCGGGCGACGTACTCCGGGCGAGTCCTTTGCACCGACCTGCGTCCCTGCTCAACGAGGTCGACGTCGCCCATGCCGGATGTCGTGGCCCTGCGGGCCATCGCCTCCAAGACGAAGTCGACGCCAGACAGGATGCATGCTCGGCTTGCGCACGTCGGCATGGACACCATCAGGAGCTCGGCGAAGAACGAGGTCGCCATTGGGCTGGACCTCAAGTCGGCGACGGGCGCCGACCCACCGTGTGTCTCGTGCGTCGGCGGGAAGCTGGCGCGGCACACCTTCCCCGACCAAGGCTCCGACGCCGCCGACGTGCTAGCCGTCGTCCACATCGACCTGTGTGGGCCATTCCGCGTGGCTGCCAAGGACGGTAGCCTGTACTTCTTGCTGCTGAAGGACCGCAAGACCCGCTTCGTGTGGGTGAGGCCGGTTGCCAAGAAGTCGGATGTGCTGCTGGAGTTCCAGAAGTGGCTGGTGCTGGTGGAGCGACAGACGAAGAAGTCGGTGCTGATGTTGCGCTCGGATCGGGGAGGGGAGTTCCTCGGCCAGGCGTTCACCGCCTTCGTGGACGGCAAGGGAATCGTCCACGACCTAACCTGCCCCTACACCCCGCAGCAGAACGGCATGGCGGAGCGGGAAATGCGGACGGTGGTGGAGTCGGTGTGGACGATGCTGCTGCACATGGGCGTGCAGCACCACTGGTGGCACCTCGCTCTGCGGCAGGCCGTCTGGATCCGCAACTGCCTAGAGCGGTCGGCGACGCCGGGGACGACGCCATACCAGCTGCTGACCGGGACGAAGCCCGACTTGTCGCTGGCGCGCGTGTGGGGCTGCATGGCGCAGTTCCTCGTCCCCGAGCAGCAGCGGGGTGGCAAGCTGAAGCCGAGGGCCCAGTGGGGCCTTCATCTCGGCGTGTCGGAGGCGAGCAAGGGCTGGGAGCTCCTCGACATTGCCGCCAACCGGGTGGTCACCACATCGGACGTGGTGTTCTACGAGGATCTGTCGCTGGAGGAGTGGAAGTCGGAGCATGGGCCAGTGTCAGGGCGGACACTGATGAAAACGCCGACGGATACCTCGACGGCAACGCTCCCTCTGCTCGCCGAGGTCGGTGAACTTGCTGAGGACGACGCCGAGGTCGTCCACCCTTCCTCCCCCTCCCCTGCTCCTCCTCTCGTCGACCGGCGTGAGCTGAATCCGCCGTCGGCCTCCGGCGATGAGGGGAGCAGTGGGACGTCGCCTGTGGCGCCGGCCAAGTGCATCGCCGGTGGCCGACAGGATGCGCAGCAAGTCGACGAGCAGCCGGTCGACCTGGGAGTGCAGTCGACTTGGATAAGGGGGGAGCCGGTCGAGGAGGTGCAGCCGACTAGGGTGCAGCCGACAGGGGAGCAGGCAGCAGCGAGGCCGACCAAGGAGCAGTCGGCGACCTGGCAGTCGGCAGGGGAGCTGACCGCAGGGGAGAAGTCGGTCGGGACGCCGACCGAAGTGCAGCAGGACGACGAGGACGATGAAGGGGAGCAGTTGGGCGACGAGGAGCCGGTCGACCAGAAGGTGGTCGACCAGTCCACCGACCGGGACGTGGTGGTGGTCCCTCCTGAACCCCGGAAGTCTGGTCGACTTCGGAGGCCGCCCGACTTCTTCATCCCCGCTGCCTTCACCACGGTGTATGACGTGGAGGACGACGATGACCTGCCGTACGACGACGCTGATGAGGACGAGGAGTTTCCGGAGCTCGACCCCGACATGCTGGCCGACCCCGAGCACCGCTGGGACATCTCGACGATGTCGGTGAAGGAGGCGTTGGCGAGCTGGAAGGGTCCGGCGGTGAAGGCCGCCATGGAGGAGGAGATCCGCAGTCTCATCGCCATGGGCACGTGGGAGCTGGTCGAACGCCCGCCGGGAGTGAACGTCATGAAGAACCGGTGGGTGCTGACGACGAAGTACAACATCGACGACACCGTCGAGCGGGAGAAGGCGAGGCTGGTCGTGAAAGGCTTCACGCAGGTGTACGGCGCCGACTACGACGAGACGTTCGCGCCGGTGGGCAGCTACGTGACGCTGAGGATCTTCCTCAGCATCGTCGCCGTGCTCAACCTCAACCTGATGCAGCTCGACATGAAGAACGCTTTCCTGCAGAGCAAGCTCGACCGGGTGCTGTACATGTCGCAGCCGGACTACTTCAACGACGGAACCGGCCGGGTGTGCAAGCTGCTGAAGAGCCTGTACGGGCTGAAGCAGTCGCCGCTGCTATGGTACTTGGCGCTCAACGACGTGCTGGTCGACGCTGGGTGGAAGAAGAGCCAGGTCGACGAGGCCCTCTACTTCAAGGTCGCCGACGATGGAGCGACTTGCTGGGTGCTGGTCTACGTCGACGACTTGCTCGCCGCCAGCAGCAGTCCTGCGATGCTGAAGGAGCTGAAGGAGCTGCTGGAGGCCGCCTTCGAGTTGCGCGAGATCTCGCCGGTGCAGAAGTACCTCGGGCTGGAGATCGTGCGCGACAGGTCGGCGGGGAAGCTGTGGCTGCACCAGCAGGGCTACGCCGACAAGCTGCGTAGGCGCTTCATCGACGAGGAGCAGGGCGGACGGACTCCGAAGACGCCGGTCTCGGTCGACGCCTACGCCGAGCTCACCTTCGATGACGAGGAGGCGCAGGAGCGACAGGAGGAGGAGTACCGGCAGAAAGTCGGCTCGCTGCAGTTCGCGGCGACGACGACGAGGCCGGACATCGCCTTCGCCTGTAGCAAGCTGGGGAGCGGCCTCACGGTGAGGAGCGACCAGCACTGGCGCGAGGTCGACCGCTGCCTCGCCTACCTCGCCAACACGCGCGACACCGCCCTGGAGTTTGGCGGTGGACCTGAGTCGCTGGAGCTGGTCGGCTACGTGGACGCCGACGACGCCAGTGACAAGCAGAGCAGGACGAGCACGGGCGGCTACGTGTTCGTCTACGGAGGGGCCGCGGTCTCCTGGTCGAGCCAGCGCATCAAGTGCGCGACGCTGCCGTCGACCGAGTCGAAGTACGTGGCGGCCGTCGAAGCCAGCAAGGAGGGACGCCGACTTCGCTTCCTCCTCGCAGAGTTCCAGCAGCTGGATGCTGGGAAGCCGACCGTCCTTCGGGTGGACAACAAGTCGGCCATCACAGTCGCCGAGGGCATGGGGTTGACGGGCAACCTCAAGCACATGGAGCGGCGACAGGCCTGGCTGCAGCACATGGTAAAGCGGGGGAAGTTTGCGCTGCAGTACATCCCGACCGCTGAGCAGCCGGCCGACTTCCTCACGAAGGCGCTGCACTATCCGGCCTTCAACCGGTGCTCCGTTGCAATCGGCCAAGTGCGTCTGGCCGACGTGGGCGACGGCGACGACGACGTGCAGCAGTAGGTGCCATGCCCTCCTGCATGGCTGGTGCGGTGGACGACGTGCTGTGTGTTGGGTGCACGTCGACGAGCTGTTCTCCGAGAGGTGCTGCCGTGTGGGCTGGGGGGCCCAAGCGTGAACGCGGCAGGGGAGTGTCAACGGGAGTTGGGTATTGGCCCCGTCCTCGCTTGGGCGGAGCCGACTTCGTGGTCGGGTGTAGGGTGCAGCCGACCTGCAGCAGTGGGCGGGCTGGTCGACGAGGTTGGTCGACCTGCACGGGGAGCCACTGCATGGGCGCCGACTTCGGGAGGGCGTCAACATCAGGTGGTCGACCTGGGACGTCGACCAGCCCTTCTGGTCGACCTGGGAAGTCGACCAGGTCTTGTGGTCGACCAGGAGTGACGTCGACCTAGAGCTGGTCGACCAGGGAGTAGTGGTCGACCTGGGAGGTCGACCGGCACATACCGGAGGCAGTGGTCGACCTGGTACGGTCGACTGGAAGTGGTCGTCGACTTGGGTGGTCGATGGGCACGCACTGGAGCCTCTGGTCGACCTGGTTGCCCGGTCGACCATGTTACCTGGGTGACGAGGTGCTGCGAAGGCTTGCGATGGTCGCCCAGGTGGTTTTGGCGAGAACGACCTCGGTGATGGTATCCCGAGGTCGACGTGGTGCATCAGATGCAGTCGTCAGCACGAGGTGGACTTGGTGTGTGCGCTGTGCAGGTGACGAAGCAGTGCGCGCCAATCACCTACGAGCACCTGCGAAGCGGGTGCGATGCTGGACTGCAGGAGCAACGCTGGCGCGCCGTCGACTTGCGCTGTTGTCTTGCCGTCGACCTGCAGCGTTGGCAAGCCGCGACTCTGCACTGCTGGAGCGCGGTCGACCAAGTCGTGCTGGCACGCGGTCGACCGTGCTGCGCTGGCAGTCGACCTGCTTGCATCCTAGCTCTGATGTAGTCTTGCCTAGCCAACTTCATTGTATCATTGTTGTCAACTTTCTCTAGTGAAACTCTTGCCAAATTTCCTTGTGAACTAGCAAGCAGTGTGTGCACTAGGAAAACGACTAAGGACCGAGGAACGCAGAGATCACACGAGCACACGTGCCTAGCCCGTAGTCTAGCTCCCGTTACTAGAGTTATCTCTGCATGCTGATGGCTGCGTGGAGGTGAGTTAAGATTTGTATCTGTGTTGACTTGGCATCAATGCATGTGCTCTGCTCTATGACCCCTCTCATCAATCAAGGCAGTGTGGGCCATGGCTCCTCTGCCGGATAACACGGGTTTTGCGACTGCCTCTGCTGATGGCTGTGTCAAGGTGATTGTGAAGGTTATGTGTAGGTGTTTCTGTCTTCAGAGGTTTTTTTTTTTTTTTTTTTGCTTGCCTTTCCCGTCCTCTTTCCCGCACCTCCCACTCCTCTCTTTCCCTCCCTCTTCTTCCCTGAACCCCCTGTCTCATCCCTCTCATCCCGACTTTCCCCCCTTCCCTCCTCATCCCAGTTTTGGGAGTATCAGATGCAACTCAAGGGTTCTGATGCAGACAAGGTGAGAGAAACTGGTTGCATCATCTGATCCTTGTCTTGAAAAGCAAAAAAAGGCAAAGGAGTTTGCTACTTTGGGTCTGTTGTCCTCGACTACCAAACGTTTCCGTGCTATTTTTGTCTGTTCGGAACTCTCAACACGTAACTCCTCCTTTTGTCAGGATGCGCTGGCAGCAGGGAGGGGAGAGAAGCACCTAACAGTGGTGAACACGCGCACTCTCAAGATGTCAGACGATGTGCTCAGTGTGGCTTTCAGCCCTGACGGTCGATACATTGCACTCTCCCTCTTAGACTCCACCATCAAGGTGCGTGGACTGGTTGAGAACCCTAACAGCCGTGAGTGCACATTTGATTGAGGCGCACGCTCAAGATGTCTGACGACGTGCCCAGTGTGGCATTTAGCCCTGATGGCCGATACATTGCACTCTCACTGCTGGACTCTACCATCAAGGTATGCGGAGAACCAACAGCTGTTCTTTGAGACATGCTGAAATGAGGACTTGCATAGCTGTTTTCGTTAATTATTTACTCGTCGTCTTTCAACATGCTTTTCTCTTCCATTGCTCCCCTCCCACCCACCCCACCCTCTCCCTCAGGTGTTCTTTCTTCCTCTCGCTGTACGGCCACAAGCTGCCAGCCATCTGTCTCGACATCTCCATCCCTCCCGCCCTCTTTTCCCCTCTCCCTCCCCCCACTTTACCCCACCTCCCTCCACCCCTCCACCGCAGGTCTTTTTCGTCGACTCTCTCCGTTTCTTCCTGTCTCTCTACGGCCACAAGCTGCCAGCCATCTGTCTTGACATCTCATCCGACTCACAGCTGGCAGTGTCAGGTTCAGCTGATAAGAGCGTCAAGATCTGGGGGCTCGACTTTGGAGACTGTCACCGGTCGCTCTTCGCGCACCAAGACAGGTGGGTTTGCACGTTCTCTAGCATGCGGGGGTGTTGGAGTGTTGGGTTGTGAGTGAAGCAGGTGCGGTAAGGCAGGTAGGTCATTGCGGTGTCAGGCTCAGCAGACAAGAGTGTCAAGATCTGGGGCCTGGACTTTGGGGACTGCCACCGCTTGCTGTGGACCAAGCAGGAAAGGTGTGGCAGGAAAGGTGTGGTGTGTAGACCATAGCAGGAGGAGGGGGGGGAGGACTCGCAGCTGACAGTGTCAGGCTCAGCAGACAAGAGTGTCAAGATCTGGGGCCTGGACTTTGGGGACTGCCACCGCTCGCTCTTTGCGCACCAGGACAGGTGAGCAATTTTCTTGCAGCAGAAGGACAGAGTGTGTGGGTGAAGCAGGCCATAGCAGGGGGGGTACTTGCAGCTGGCAGTGTCGGGTTCAGCAGACAAGAGCGTCAAGATCTGGGGGCTCGACTTTGGAGACTGCCATCGGTCTCTGTTTGCCCAGAGAGACAGGAGAGTGCGGTACTGGGATGCGGACAAGCTGGCTTTGACTCATTTACCTCACCCCCCTTCTCCCCCTCCCCTTTCCATCCCTCCCTTTCCAATCCAGTGTGATGTGTGTCAAGTTTGTCCCCCGCACACACTACTTCTCATCATGCGGAAAGGGCAGGAGAGTGCGCTACTGGGATGCGGACAAGTTGCCCTTGACTCATTCACCCCCCTGCTCCTCCCCCCCTTTCCATCCCACCCTTCTTATCACCGTCTTTCTCAATGCAGTGTGATGTGTGTCAAGTTCGTGCCCCGCACACACTACTTCTTCTCATGCGGAAAGGACAGGAGAGTGCGCTACTGGGATGCGGACAAGTTTCAGCTGCTGCACTCACTGGACGGGCACCACGCTGAGGTGAGTCATTGACGAGTTAAGGGCCGTCTCAAATGCTGCTGAGGTGTGGTCATGCCACATGCTGCCCCCCATGCTGCCCCCCATGCTGCCCCCCATGCTGCCCCCCATGCTGCCCCCCATGCTGCCCCCCATGCTGCCCCCCATGCTGCCCCCCATGCTGCCCCCCATGCTGCCCCCCATGCTGCCCCCCATGCTGCCCCCCATGCTGCCTTCCATACTTCCTTCCCAACGCTTTCCCACTGCTTCCATTTCCCACATCCTCCCCTCCTCCTCTCTTCCCTTCTCCTCTCTTCCCTCCTCCTTTCTTCCCTAATCCTTTCTTCCCTGCTCCTATCTTCCCTCCTCCTATCTTCCCTCCTCCTCTCCTTCCACAGGTGTGGTCACTAGCCATCAGCCCCCTGGGTGACTTCCTTGTGTCCGGCTCCCACGACCGTTCCATCCGCCGCTGGCAACGCACCGATGAGCCCTTTTTCCTCGAGGTTAGTCCTGTTGGGAAAAAAGTTATATACATACATATAAATATATTTCTATATAGTTGTTTTTATTACTACCAAATTTATTATTATTGTTGTTTTGTCTTCATTGTCACCGTTCCTTCTCCAAATGTTTTTTCTGTACATCAGGAAGAGAGGGAAAAGCAGCTGGAAGCTATGTTTGAAGCCCGAGCTGTGGCACTACCAACCGACGCGCGCCGCCCGGACGGGGGTGACGACGAGGAGGAGGGCGGCGAAGGGGCAGAGGCGGCGGGGCCGGGCGGCGCGGCAGGGGAGCTGGGCGGCGTGGGAGCTGTTGCTGTTCGTTTTTGTTTTCACCGTTCCTTCTCCAAACGCCCCTTCCCTTCACCAGGAAGAGCGGGAGAAGCAGCTCGAAGCCATGTTTGAAGCCCGGGCTGTGGCACTACCAACCGACGCACGCCGGCCAGAAGGGGGCGACGACGAGGAGGAGGGCGGCGAAGGGGCAGAGGCGGCGGGGCCGGGCGGCGCAGCGGGGGAGCTGGGCGGTGTGGGAGGGGCGGCGAGGGGCACGCAGGAGACGGTTTGGGCGGCAGACTCGATCATTGAGGCGGTGGAGCTGGCCTCTATGGAAGAAGCTCGGATGGTTCCCTTCATCAAGGTATTTTGAAATCGAGTTACCTTCATTGATGTGGATGTAAGCTTGTCAAGGTGGGCCACCGTTCTTTCAAAAGTAGGTTCACAACACATGGTTTCCATCATTAAGGCAGGTCCACCTTCATAGAGGCAGTGGAGCTGGCGTCAATGGAAGAAGCTCGCATGGTTCCCTTCATCGAGGTGGGTCTGGTGGTTTTTTTGGCAAGTCTCTTCTCATGTCTCTTTCCACCTCCCTCCAATTCTTCCCATCTCTTCCCAGCAGGTCCCCAGTGACCCCACCTCGCTGCTGCCATCCTTCCAGTCCAACGTTCTGCTCCTCGACCACTCGCCCGCTGCTTGCATGACACTCAGTGCTTTCATCGCTCTTTGTTCTCTTTGTTCTCTCTCTGTCTTCTCCCTTTCTGCACCACAGGACCCCAGCGACCCGACCTCGCTCCTCCCCTCCTTCCAGCCCAACGTGTTGCTCCTCGGCCACTCCCCCGCGGCCTTTGTGCTGCGAGCTCTCGCCAGCGTCAAGCCCTCCGAGCTCGAGCAAGCGCTGCTGGTGAGTTGAGGGTTGATGCTTTTTCTAGAATTCTCAAAAAACTAATGCAGGAGCTCGCATAGGTTTCGGGGTGTTGAAATGACGGGATTTTGGGAGAGGCCACATTAGCGTCCTTAGCTGAAAAATGAATTCCAGCCTCACATGAACTCATAATCTCCATTTCTCTACCCTCTTCAACTTCCCTCCTCCTTCCCCCTTCTCGTCCCCCCTTCCCAGGTGCTGCCGTTCACAGTGGCTCTGCGCATTCTGCACTTCGCCCCCCACTGGCTGCACCGCCCGCTGCCGCAGCTGGAGTTTGCCGCCCGTGCCCTCGTCTCCCTCGTGCGCATCCACCACTCCCAGCTCGTTGCTACACCTACTGCCCGGCCCCTTCTTGCTGCTGTGCACACACTGCTACGGGCGTCACTCAAGGTATGGTATGGGGTAGGTTGGGGTGGGGAAGTGGGGAAGGAGTGGGAATGGGGGGGGGGAAGAGGAGTGATCGTCTCCCTCGTCCGCATCCACCACTCGCAGCTCGTCGCCACACCCACCACCCGCCCGCTATTGGCTGCCGTGCACACACTGCTACGGGCGTCTCTCAAGGTATGTTACCTTACACCCACCTGCTGGGAAACCCACCTGATGGGGAAGGATGGAGTTTGCCGCCCGGGCTCTGGTCTCCCTCGTGCGCATCCACCACTCGCAGCTCGTTGCCACGCCCACTGCCTGGCCCCTTCTTGCTGCTGTGCACACGCTACTAAGAGCATCGCTCAAGGTATGGTATCGGAGAGTGGGGGAGAGTGAGTGGGGAGAGTGAGTGGGGGAGTGAGTGGGGAGAGTGAGTGGGGAGAGTGAGTGGGGAGAGTGAGTGGGGAGGTGGCAGTTTGCTGCCCCAGGTGCTGCCCTTCACAGTGGCTCTGCGGATTCTGCACTTCGCCCCCCACTGGCTGCACCGCCCGCTGCCGCAGCTCGAGTTTGCCGCCCGCGCGCTCGTCTCCCTCGTGCGCATCCACCACTCTCAGCTCGTTGCTACCCCTACGGCCCGTCCGCTGCTTGCTGCTGTGCACACACTGCTACGGGCGTCTCTCAAGGTATGGTATCTGAGAAGGGGCGAGGGGGTGGGTGGGAGGTGGGAGTTTGCGGCCCGGGCGCTCGTCTCCCTCGTCCGCATCCACCACTCACAGCTCGTTGCTACCCCTACGGCCCGCCCGCTATTGGCCGCCGTGCACACTCTTTTACGGGCTTCACTCAAGGTATGGTTTTTGGGGAGAGGGGTCGAGAGGGTGGGAAGCAGGGTTTCTCGTCTCCCTCGTCCGCATTCACCACTCACAGCTCGTTGCTACCCCTACCGCCCGGCCCCTTCTTGCTGCTGTGCACACGCTACTAAGAGCATCGCTCAAGGTATGAAATCGGAGAGTGGGGGAGAATGGGGGAGAGTGGGGGAGAGTGGGGGAGAGTGAGTGGGGAGGTGGGAGTTTGCTGCCCCAGGTGCTGCCCTTCACAGTGGCTCTGCGCATTCTGCACTTCGCCCCCCACTGGCTGCACCGCCCGCTGCCGCAGCTGGAGTTTGCCGCCCGTGCCCTCGTCTCCCTCGTGCGCATCCACCACTCACAGCTCGTTGCCACGCCCACTGCCCGCCCGCTATTGGCCGCCGTGCACACCCTTTTACGGGCTTCACTCAAGGTATGGTTTTTTATTACGACGGGGGACAGGGTGAGGGAGTGGGAAGCAGCTTTTGAGTCGACTCAAAAGCAGAGGGGGTGGGAAGCAGGATTTCTCGTCTCCCTCGTCCGCATTCACCACTCACAGCTCGTTGCTACCCCTACTGCCCGCCCGCTATTGGCCGCCGTGCACACTCTATTACGGGCGTCACTCAAGGTATGTTACACCCACCTGCTGAGAAACCCACCTGCTGGGGAAGGATGGAGTTTTCCGCCCGGGCACTCGTCTCCCTTGTGCGCATGCACCACTCACAGCTCGTTGCCACGCCCACTGCCCGCCCGCTATTGGCCGCCGTGCACACTCTTTTACGGGCTTCACTCAAGGTATGCTACACCCACCTTCTGGGGAAGGATGGAGTTTGCGGCACGCGCGCTCGTCTCCCTCCTGCGCATCCACCACGCACAGCTCGTCGCCACACCTACGGCCCGCCCACTTTTGGCTGCTGTGCACACTCTCTTGCGTGCTTCGCTCAAAGTATGGTATTCGAAGGGGGAGAGGGGGTAGCGGGGTGGGTGGGTTGGGGGGGTTTTCTGGTCCCCCTCGTGCGCATCCACCACTCACAGCTCGTTGCCACAGCCACCGCCCGCCCGCTGCTAGCAGCCGTACACACACTGCTGACAGCTCACTCAAGGTATCGATGGGTTTCGGGATGGGCAGATGCGGGATGGGGGATGAGGGATGAGGCTTTGGAAATGGGGATATTGGGATTGAGAGCGATTCAAGTCATCACCACACTCGCATCTTGTCGCCACACGGCATGATGACAGTGAGGGTGCAATTTTTGAGTCGGCTCAAAATGACTTTTGAGTCGATTCAGAATGTTGCCACACGGCATGATGACAGTGAGGGTGCAATGAGGCGTGGTGGAGGTAGAGGGTGTGTGCACGTGCACATGCGGTTGAGCATATCCACATAGCTGCGTGTTATCATGGTACCAGCGTTCTTGTTTATCACAGCTGTTTTGCTAACTCATACTTTTTTTTACATGCATGGCATGGCAGGACGCAGTAGCAACAGTGGGATGCAACTTGGCTGCCATAAGTCACATCAAGGTCAGTCAGTTGCTGCCATGTTTCTTCCTTGGAGTTTCCATGAAGTGCTGATTTAGTTCTCCTTCGCGTGTTTAGAGGTTCTCGGCTGGCAAATAATGTGCGGGAAAACCAAACAGGTGACTTACCTTCGTGTTCCCTCGTCCGCCCCCCTTATAACCTGTCGCCCCACTCCCTTCTAGAATTATTCCAGGCATCCATAGAGGGAGGGGATGGCACGGGGGCCGATTAGCTGGCGCACCCTCATATTCCCACTATCTATCCCCCTTGTACCCTATCTCCCCAGTCCCTTCTAGCATCATCCCAGGCGTCCATAGAGGGGGGAGACGGCACAGGCATGGCAGAGAAGGTGAAAGAGATCAGAGAGCGGCTGGCCAAGGGGCGCAATGCTGCTGCTTGCTCATCCTTATATGATCATACCATTTCCCCCATCCACTCCCTCTGTCTTCCCCGTCAACCAGTCCCTTCTAGCGTCATCCCAGGCGTCCATAGAGGGGGGAGACGGCACGGGCATGGCAGAGAAGGTGAAAGAGATCAGAGAGCGGCTGGCCAAGGGGCGCAATGCGGTGGTTGCAGAGAAGCTGCAGCGGAGCAAAGCAGAGAAGCGCAAGCGCAAGGCAGAGAAGCAGAAGGTGAAGAGCTGATGGGTGTGCATGGAACGGGGATGATGGCTAGTGCGGGTGATCAGATCAGATAGATCCGGAAGTGTCTGGCCAAGGGTTGCAGTGCGGTGATTGTGGAGCAGCTGTAGAGTACCGGTAACAAGTTGGAGAAATGCAAGGGGTAGAAGGTGCCAAAGTACAGTAAGGTACCGTAGCTCGATTTTTTGCTTCTTTTTTCTCAGAGAAAAGGAACGGTGTGAGAGTACCTGTGTCTTGCCCGAAGCTCATCAATAAACTGTCTCGCATCGCAACAGGTGGAAGGGAGGAGCGCCGCTCAGCCTACTGTTGTAATCTACCAGCATGGTACATGGTAGTTTGAATAGTAGTACATAATGTGAAAACTAGGATACAAAAAATGCCTGGCACATCAAAAAGAAGCATGGCGCAACAGGCAGCAGCCTGTGGAAACAGCATTTTGCTGTTATTGCAGCACCTACGGTGAATTTTCTGCTTTTAAGAAAAAAAGGCAAAGGCACAGAATGCGCACTATATACAGTGGGATGGGAGTGCAGAGAGGGAGTTACAGGAGTGGCAGGATGGGAGTGGCGAATCGGAGGGCCGGGAGAAAAGTCATAAGCAGGTCCCTTCCCAAGACCATAAGCAGGTCAAACCCCCCTCCAGGTCAGGACGGCACCTGGTTGCAGAGAGCGCAGCTAACAAAGAACTAACCCTTGGCCCTCTAGGGAAGACGAGCAGCCAGCTGCCTGGCGCAGTGCATGAGCTCCCACACGTCCAGCTGTCCCGACAAAGTGTTGCACAGCAGCAGCGCCTTTACCAGCCCCTCGCAGCACAGCACCTGGCAGACTCCCCAGCCTCTTACGGCAGGCGAGCAGGGCGAGCACAGTGCATGAGCTCCCACACGTCCAGCTGCCCCGACAAAGAGTTGCACAGCAGCAGCACCTCGTCGAGCCCCTCGCAGCACAGCACCTGCTCCATGGAAGCTCCCATGGCCTACGGCAGGCGAGCTGCTAGTTGGCGCGCGCAGTGCATGAGCTCCCACACATCTAGTTGCCCTGAAAGACTATTGCAGAGCAGCAGCACCTCGTCCAGCCCCTGGCAGCACAGCACCTGCTCCCTGCGGCTCCCATTGCCACTGACCCCAAACCATACCCGCTTACGGCAGGCGAGCAGCCAACTGCCTGGCACAGTGCATGAGCTCCCACACGTCTAACTGCCCTGACAAAGAGTTACACAAAAGAAGCACCTCGTCCAGCCCCTGGCAGCACAGCACCTGCTCCCTGTGGCTCACCAGAATGGCCGCCACCACAAAGAGCAGCAAGTCCGGCCGCGGACGACACTCCTGCCACGCCTTCTTCCTCCTACCGCCACTCACCCTGCCCGTATCCCTGCTCGTATTCATGCTCCTATCTCCGCTCCTATCTCCGCTTGTGTCTAGGGTGGCAATAGCACCGGTGGCAGCGGTGGTGGTGGTGATGGTAACATGATTGCTGGTAGAGCTTGTATCACCAGCCGCCCAGCCGAAAGCACCGCCCCATCCGTTGTCCAGCAGAGGGGCACTCTCGTCATCCCTCTCCCACCGCTCCCTTTCCCCATCCCCTCCCTCCTCTCTCTTGCCCTCCCCTCCCTCCCCTCCCTTGTCCTCTGCCTCCTCCGCTTCTACCTTCTCCCACTCGCAATCTTCCCCTGCCTCTGCCTCATTGCGTGTACCCCCTGGCGAGTCCCCATCTTTTGCCTGCAAGTCCCCACCTTTAGCTGCTTCGTTTCCACCGCCATCGCCTTCAGTGGCAGCTTCAGCCACAGTACCCACCGCAGCCGCATTGGCTCCAGCAGCAGCAGAAGCAGCAGCGGCTGCAACGACAGTGGGCGCGATCGCAGCAGCAGTAACAGGAGCGACGGCAGCAGCAGCGGCACGGGCAAAGTTCGCAGCAGCAGCAGCGGCAGCGGCATCAGCCCACATGACCTCCCACAGGCACAGCGTGTGCTCAAACGACAGCTCTCGCCTCATCAGCACAACCAAGCACCTGTATGCAAACATGCAGCTCTCCGCCCCCACTGCCTCCAGGTGTGCATACAGTGGCGGGTCTGCTGTGCGTAGCAATGCTGCCACCCGTGCCAGCTGTCGCCGGATGCCCCGTTCGTCTGTTCTGAAGTTGTGCCGAGCGCCGCCGCCCGCACTGCAGGTGCTCGAGATAGTGGTGGGATTGTTGCTTCCGCTGCCGTCGCCGGCCGTGCTGCTACTGCTGCGCTGGTTACTGCTGCTGCTGCTGCTACTGCTGCTGCCATTGCTGCTGTCAGCAGCGCCAGAGCAGTCACTGCTACCAACACCCCCTCGCTGCATAAACGCCACGAAGCACCAAAAGGCCTCCGAATCCTCCTCCAAAAGAGCTACAAACGGGGATAGCAGATCGCTCATGCCCTGGCAGTACCCCACCTCGGGATCATACACCGCATATGCCTCCAAAATCGCCACCAGCCGGGCGGCATGCAGCCGTTGGGGGGGCGACAGGTGTCCGTGTTCCGGCAGGCCAGCAGCTGCTGCCGCCTCCATTGCTTCTTCGGGCGGGAAGGCCTTTTGGGTGGAGTATGGAATCCACGCGGCGTTCATTCGAACCGCATCCAACCGCATTATACGCTGCCAGGTTACAAAATTCTCCAGAGACCCGCTGCCCCGCCCGCAGGTGCTGCCTCTGCCGATTCCTGCCTCTCCTCCTGCCACTCCTCCTGCTGCTCCTCCTCTGCTACTGCTGGTGCGGGGGCGAAAGCACTCTGGGATCTTGCAGTCTAGCGGGTGCTCTTGGCGTTGCTCACGTGAGGCATCATCACCACCATCACCATCACCATCACCATCATCATCATTATCCTTGTCATCTTCCTGTTCATCATCAGCCGTGTTGCCGCCATCTCCCCCACAGCTACCTCCAGAGGCTTCTCTGCCTTCTGAACCATCCGCCTCATCTCCTGCGCCTGCTCCCGTGCTCGCAACTGCTTCTGCTTCTCGTGCTTCGCCTGAGAGGGCATCAGGGGCATCTGCAGCCTCCAGGGCAGAACCAGAACCACCAGCAGCAGCATCAGGGTCAGCGTCAGCGTCAGCAGCTGCGGCATGAGCAGCCTCCTCACGAGCGACATCTACAAACGACTCAGTGGAGACGGACAGACTGGCGCACGCCGAGTCCACGCACACCGCATCACTGAACTCGTCGTCGCTCGCGTTACCAACACCACTGTTCTCGCCACCATTGCTACCATTAGCGTCGCCATTTCCACTCCCTCTGCCGCTGGACCTGACCTCCTCCTGACTGCTGCCGCCTTCGTTGCTCCTTCCTCTCTCCGACTCCTCCCCCTCCCTTTCCTCTCTCTCCTCCCTCTCCCTCTCCTCTCTTTCCTTCCTCTCCCTCGCTTCCCTCTCCCGCTCCTCCCTTTCCTCCCGCTCCTCCTCCTCCTTCATCCTCCTCGTCGCCTCCTCCTCCGCCTGCCGCGCAATCACCGCCACGCGCGCCGCAATCGCGCGAATCTCCTCGTACAGTACGCGCCTCTGCGCGCGCAGCTGCGCCCTCTCCGCCTCCGTGCTCCCCGCTTCGTACCTGAAGCACATAGCGAAACGCGTTACAGACAACCAAGAAAGGAGCGCGACGAAAAAAGAATGAAAGTCAATAACACTGAATCTCTCACGGCCTGCGCGAATATGTGAACGGGAGAAGTGGTGCGGGAAATGAGAGCGGGCGAGAGAGAGAGGAGGATGGAGGAGGATGCGGAGGGAAGTGCTTGCAGATGAGCTTACAGGCCAAGGAGGAACGGCCAGACCTCGGCTCTGATCTCCGCGTCGCATCCCTGCGAATACCGCACCAGACACCAAGTGATACGCGGGGAGCGGGGGGAGAGGACGCGAGGGGGAAGGGAGAAGGTCAGCAACAATTGACGGGTTGGCACTGAACCAGCTGTGAAACGCTTAATCAAGACACAACCTTATCCAGAGAGACGATACGGAGAGCCTCCACCCTCGAACGAGAATATTGCAGAATCCCTTTCAAGAGCCAAAACCGAGATCTCTTACCCCAAGCCGGACACGGCCGATAGCCGTCTCGCCGCCGCCCTTCAAGCGACCGGTGGCGTCGTCGAAGCAGTCCCTCCACTGCTGCACCGTCAGCGGCGCTGGCCTGACAGCCTTGGGTTTGTCCTCCCATGGCAGCGTGAACTGACCCCTGCAGGATGACAACCAGACGGAGAAAAAACGTAGAGAAAGTAGACGCGAAACACGTCAGACGGGACTAGTTCGGGGCTTACTTTTGAGAATTCTCAAAAGTAAACTCCACTAGCTCGGGGCTGGAGCTGTGGCTTAGTTCTGTCTGAGAAGGATTTGAGCAGGTCGGACGACGAGGGTACTGAAGAGACGGTGAGATAGTACTGAAGCGACAACGGCGCTGAGTCAATAGGCGATAAGTACGAAACGTACTGCTCCCGGAGAACGATGATGCCTCCGACCGTCACCGCGGCAGCGACGCCGCCGATCGCGGCGACCCCGACGGCGACGGCTAAGCCCGCCGCGACCTTGAAAGGATCGACATCGGAGCCCATGGATGGCATGCTGATGTTGTTGAGGTTCCCCGGAATTCCGTCGATGAACCCCATGATTCCGCGGCTCATACTAAACTCGTCCCTAGATATCAGCGAGCTCGGTTCCACCATTCAGGGAAATGCGGATGCAGAACACATTAGGGTTCGAGCAGTGCGCGGATTTTGAAGCCTGAGAAAGATACGAGGGGAGGTGCTAGCATAGCAGGAACAGCAGACAGAGGCTTGATGTTTGTTCCTGAGACCTGTGCAGGTCTGCGCATGCGGCAGATTCTAGACGTGAAACATGCATCAGGCTTCAAGTTTCGGACAAACCGAGAATGATGCTCCGCGCTAGGAGGTGGAGAAGGGGGAGCTTGTGATGCCAATGTTTCTCATCAATCGACAACTATCCCTGAAAGTCATACAAAACCACGCAAGCCCGTGAATTCCCCCTGATTGTAATCGACAAGCGCTGGAGCGGACGGTGCGATGGCACGCTTGTGAAGGCGGAGAACTTCCCTTGGAAAAAAGGCTGTGTTGTTGGCGGCATAGAGAACTGGCGGCTAGGTGGGTGGGGCGAAACTGGGGGTGCGTATGAATGAACCTTTGAGATCCTCCAGAGACGGGGGAAAAGCGCGCGGGCACAGCGAGGCTTGTGCTGGCTGGCTGGTTGGATTTCAATGTCATTCTTGTTTGATCGGACGGTCATGACGGTGCCGATCGTTGATTGGGCGGTCGGTGGTACACCCGAATCCAGCCTCTGACAGCATTGCTGTCAAGCAGAAAAGCGGGGAACTCAACACTCGTTGACTCAAAACCACGTCATGTGGGTCATGGATGACGGCTACGCTCGGCAGACATGAATCATGCCATGCGCGTGAACATGATGTTGCAACGAGGTCTGTTGGGGTTGGGTGAGCAGACCTACGCAGCTTGGGTAGGATACCCTTCAACGAAACTGTCCTTGAAATGCACAATCCAAGGATTTTCTAGCTGCTGATTGCTCATTGGCACAATCATATGTAATGCTCATCGTTTCGACGAATGTTACATCACCACCTAACGACGTATGGTTACCGCAACTTCATATGTCAGACGTTTCGTTCCAGACGGGTATGTACTTCAGCGGCGGGGCCTTGACCAGTAACCACTTTCCACGTCCCCAAGCATCGTGGCGCCCAGAAAGCCCGTTGAACCACACAGGGACGAGGCAGCGTGGCTTCACACGAGCTGAGTAGGCTTGCAGTGTCCTAACATCGCCTGCGGCCTACATTCGGATACCGTCATCGGGAATTCCGCGGGCCTGTGAGCGTTCTGGTGGGGTGAATGGATTTCCGCTGCGGCTTGCACACGTGGCAAGTTATCACAGCCACAAACGCATCAATTTTATTCCAGTAGCGCCTCGACTGCCAATCCCTTGCCTCGCGAATTCCACACTTCCTGGTGCTTTGCTAAGCGACGCTGAACACCTGGAAATAAGACAGACTAAGACACGGTTTCATACGTTCGACTACGTTTTAAAGCGGCAATTCTTGACAGCCAGGTTTTATCCACCCCGTAACTCGCACCTTGTTTCAGCTCGGATCAGTCGAGTCGAGTGGAGGAGACTGGGGAGGGGAGTTGGTTGTGGGAACTTGAGGGAACTGGGAGTCTAGGAGTCTGGCTAGTGGTTAGGGGTCAGTGAGAGTGATCGTAATTGATTGCATCAAAACCTGACTGGTGCATCAGTTGAAGCTCCCTATTTTGCGTTTCCTCTTTCAGTACTCCCTCTCCTCCAGTACTCAGCTCCTTGTGAGCTGTAAGGAGACGCATTCAGTTTCTTTCGGGGGCTTCACCTTGACATTTGTTGGTTGCCGGTCGCCTCCTGTGCAACCATGTCGCACGCAGTCACGATCCGCAGCGCGCCCGTCGAGGCTGCTCTGCTCGAGTCCGCCGTGGCTCGTCCTGCCGCCTCTTCCCAGCGGAGTGTGCGGTTAAATGGACTCAAGGCATTCCGTGGAGGACATGTAAGAATGTGATGAACGAACACTTGCAGATGATAGCAATGTGAGGTCCGTATCTCAAGCAGCCGCACCTCATGGGTTGTTTGTCAGCGAAATGCAACAAGGCTATCTGCCCGTTTCTCAAGAACCCTCAATATGAACCTAAACACGAAATATAGCCCTAGGTTACAAGGGTTTGGTCCACGCCGAACACTGCATGATCACGTCACGTTAGATTGAAAACATCTTCCAGGTTTATGCCTTCTCTCGCTCTCTTTTCTCTCTCAACCATTATTGCATCTGTCCGAACTAGACGGATTATACTCTTAACGGAGCTTCAAGGCACAGCCGTTGCTACGCGACATAGCAATTTTAGACTTAATGCTCTTCTTTGGTATTTCTTCTGTCACTGTTTCCAACAGCTGGGTCAAAGCTTCGCCGCGACGACTCAGAGCGCACCTATCGATCGGCTTCGATCCAAGCAGAGGATCCATGGCCGCTCCGCAGTGCGCGCCGCCGTCGCCGTTGAGGCTCCTGGTATGTGAACGCACGATTACGCGAAACCATGAATCCAGTATCTGACACCACTTACGCCAGTGCGCGTAACTCCACCCCTTCCGCATTGTCGCGTCTCCCGTTAGCTTTCCTTAGTCGGAGCCCCAAGCACTGACACGTCATCATTCCCTCTGGTTTAGTTGCTCCTGTGGCAGACGATTCGGAGCTGGTAACCCGTTCCGACATTCGCAACATCGCCATCATCGCGCACGTCGACCACGGCAAGACGACGCTCGTCGACGCCATGCTCAGACAAGCCAAGGTGCGTCCGGCGAAGCCTCGTGTGACCACTCACGCAACACTCTATTTTGGAAGAGTGGGGACCGCACACGGTATCAAATGTAACCGTTCTGGCTAAACATACACGGAGATCACAGGTGGTTGGAGCTGTTGCTGACGGCCTTCATTTCAACCCGCTTCTTTCTCGCTCCCTCGTACGTACGCGTTATCAGGTGTTCCGCGACAACCAGCAGATGCAGGAGCGCATCATGGACAGCAACGACCTGGAGCGCGAGCGAGGCATCACGATTCTGAGCAAGAACACGGCGATCCGGTTCCGCGGCACCAAGATCAACATCATCGACACGCCCGGCCATTCGGATTTTGGTGGAGAGGTGGAGCGCGTGCTTAACATGGTTGACGGCGTGCTGCTGCTGGTGAGACTCGTGTAGTATAATACTGGAACTGGTTATGGTAGGTATAATGAGGCGGGTTATAACGGATGCGGGTGGCGACTTCGGCGGCGAGGTGGAGCGCGTGCTCAACATGGTCGATGGCGTGCTGCTGCTGGTGAGTCTTATACTGGTGCCAGTGATCGCTGGTAGGTTTATTGAGGAGTCTTATAACGAGTGGAGAAACTCCCATCAGCACAGACGACGTGTCTCACGGTCAACAACCCCAGAGGCGCCACATGAACCACCCTCCCTGCCCGCTGCTGCCTGCTGCCTGCTCCCTGCCCCCCTCCCAGGTTGATCCAGTGGAGGGCCCCATGCCACAGACCCTCTTTGTGCTGAAGAAAGCTCTGGAGCTGGGGCACCGCGTGGTGGTGGTGGTGAACAAGGTGGACCGCCCAGCGGCGCGCGTGGGCGTTGGAGCATCGCGTGGCGGTGGTGGTGAACAATATCTGAGACAGACCCTTTCGCGTCCCCCTTCCCGTTCCAGGTGGACTCGGTCGAAGGCCCCATGCCGCAGACCCGCTTTGTCCTAAAGAAGGCTCTAGAGCTAGGCCATCACGTGGTGGTGGTGGTGAACAAGGTGGACCGCCCAGCGGCGCGCGTGCAGCACGTCATCAACGCCACCTTCGAGCTCTTCTGCGAGCTCGAGGCCACCGACGACCAGTGCGACTTCACCACCGTCAAGGCGACCAGTGCGACAGCCTTAGAGGCAGGCAGGCACCTCATGAACCAACCTCCCTCCCTGATTCCCGCCCCTGCTCCCTGCTCCCTGCTCCCTTCTACCCTCCAGGTGGACTCGGTCGAAGGCCCCATGCCGCAGACCCGCTTTGTCCTAAAGAAAGCCCTAGAGCTGGGGCACCGCGTGGTGGTGGTGGTGAACAAGGTGGACCGCCCAGCGGCGCGCGTGCAGCACGTCATCAACGCCACCTTCGAGCTCTTCTGCGAGCTAGAGGCCACCGACGACCAGTGCGACTTCACCACCGTCTACGCCAGCGGGATTCAGGGCAAGGCCGGTATGGAGCCGGACGCGCTCGCGGACGATCTCGAGCCGCTGTTCGAGGCGATTATCAAGTGCGTTCCGGGCCCGAAAGTGCAGCCGAAAGCGGCGCTGCAGATGCTGGTGACGAACCTGGATTACGACGAGCATAAGGGGAGGATTGCGATTGGGCGGGTTCACGCGGGGAAGCTCGCGCGCGGGCAGGTGGCGAAGATTTGCACGCCGGACGGCGCCTGCCGCACCGCGAAGGTCGTGGAGCTGTTCGTGTACGATAATTTCGCCCGCGTCCCCGTTGATGACGTGGAGGCGGGAGACATCTGCGCGTTGTCCGGCCTGCCAGATGTCCAGATTGGGGAAACCATCGCGGATCGCGACGGCGACGCGCTGCCGACGATCTCGGTGGAGGAACCGACGGTCAAGATGAGCTTCTCCGTGAACGTGTCGCCGTTCGCGGGGCGCGAGGGGAAATTCGTGACGTCGCGGAACCTGCGCGACCGGCTGATGCGGGAGCTGGAGAGGAATCTGGCGATGAAGGTGGAGGACGGGGAGAGCGCGGATACGTTCTTGGTCAGCGGACGCGGTACCCTGCACATCACCATCCTCATTGAAAACATGTGAGTGTGCCTGCCAGAAAGCGTCGTGCGAAATCGCTGGCTCTTCTCCCTCCCTGAAAGCGGCATATCGCGGAACACATGAAAGCGCTCCAGCGAAAGTGTCCTGTGGCTCCAGTGGATTCAGATTGTTAGTTGCTGGCTCTGCTGTTCCGTCCCCGCCCCCGCCACCTTCTCAATCCTCCCCACCCCTTCTCTCTCCTCCCCACCCTTTCTCTCTCCTCCCCACCCCTTCTCTCTCCTCCCCACCCTTTCTCTCTCCTCCCCACCCCTTCTCTCTCCTTCACGCACTCCTTTGGCCTTTGAGTCGACTCTCAAGTAAACCGTACCATCTCCCACTCCCATCACATGCCGGTTTGCCCTGGCAGGCGGAGGGAGGGGTATGAGTTCATGGTGGGCCCACCACGGGTCATTAACAAAGTGGAAAACGGCAAGACGCTAGAGCCCTATGAGGTGAGCAAGCGTGTGAGGTAATCAGCTGTATGAGGCGGATGGGGGTCTTAGGAATTCGTACAGGCCACCAGGTGTCATTAACAAAGTGGAGGACGGTAAGACGCTAGAGCCCTATGAGGTGAGCAGCTGTTGTAGGGTGGTGGAGGTCTTAGGAGGGGAAGGTATGGGACAAAGACTCTGGACTGGAGATAGAAGGAACGAATTAGACAGAGCTGGTGAAGGCAGAAGGCAAGGATCGGAGCGGTTACTTAGCATGATTCAGTGTCAGTCTTAGTGTAATAGGCTGGTTTGGTACACCTGGTGAGGTTCGTGGTGGACATGCTGTGTCTCCCTGTACTCGTTTTGACATGTTTGCAGGAAGCGGTGGTGGAGGTGCCAGAGGAGTATGTGGGGGCTGTGGTGGACATGCTGGGCACACGCAAGGGGCAAATGCTCGACCTGCAGGCTTCCAGGTGAGACGCCAGGTGGCCCTGGACCCAGGTGTTTTTCATGTCGTTCAGGGCTATCTGGTTCCTGGTTGAGCGAGCGATTTGAATAGATTTGGAGTCACCAAAGCCATAGTTCTTTATCCCCTCTCCAGCATCCTTAACTCTTCCCAATCTCTCTCCATCCCTCTCCATCCATTGTCACTGCTCCCTACCCCCCTCTCACCCCTCCAGTTCCGGCACCACAATCGTGAAGTACCGTGTGCCGACCCGTGGCCTGCTGGGGCTATTACTGGGGCGCATGCAACATTTTTCGCCCTCCATCCCTCTCCACCCCTCTTCATCCCACCAGTTCCGGCACCACAATTGTGAAGTACCGTGTGCCGACCCGTGGCCTGCTGGGGCTGCGCAATGCCATGCTGACAGCCACGCGTGGCACGGCCGTCATCAACACCATCTTCGAAAGCTATGGGGAGTGGGCAGGCGACATGAGCACTCGCGAGCAGGGCTCCCTGGTGAGTACCCCTGGGGGAAGAGGCACTTGTCGATTAGATGTCTGGAGTGGCCTGCTGGGGCTGAGAAACGCCATGCTGACTGTCATGCGTGGAAACAGCCGTCATCAACACCATCTTTGACAGCTATGGGGAGTGGGCGGGCGACATGAGCACTCGAGAGCAGGGCTCCCTGGTGAGTGTTCTGAGATGTGAATAGACTGAGGGGACTCTGGTTTCACAACCTGCCACTAAGGCTAGACAGCTATGTGCAGTGGGCGGGCGACATGAGCACATTCAAGCAGGGCTCCCTGGGCTCGCATGCAATGCAAAGGGGAAAGAAGAACGGCCCTATGTTGAGAGTCGTCTCGTTCCCTGTGGTTCTGTGCTATTTGTCTGGGTCAGCTTCCCTGCCCTCACCTTGCGTTGTGTTCTCTCTCTCTCTCTCTCCACCACCCCCACCCCTTCCTGTTTCTTGACATGTTTCCTCGCAGGTATCCTTCGACACGGGCCCGACCACGTCGTATGCGCTGTTCAGCTGTCAGGAGAGGGGGCAGCTGCTGCTGGGGCCGGGAGTGGAGGTGTACAAGGGGCAGATCATCGGCCTCCACCAGAGGCCTGGCGACCTGGATTTGAACGCGTGCAAGAGGAAAGCTGCCACCAACGTGCGATCCAACAAGGATGCCACAGGTGCGTGTGCTCACGTGTGTTCGTGTATGCATGTGTGTGCGGGTGGAAGAACAACTCGGAATTTGCAAAAGCTTTATGAGCTGTGGAATTGCCCATGGATTGTGTGTGAAGCATAGCTTAATGCTTCATTTGGTGGTTGTCTCTCTCTCCTTGCAGTGGTGTTGGCGGCGCCCTTGGAGTTCAGCTTGGATGACTGTGTGGAGTACATTCAAGAGGATGAGCTCGTGGAGGTCACGCCCCTTTCAGTCCGCATGCTAAAGAACCCCAGGATGGGCAAGAAGGGAAAGAAGTGATATGCTTGCGATTTACCTTTCATTCATAAATTTTCCTAGCTTCTTTCTTAATATATTGCCCATTTCTGAAATCAAGTTGTAAGACGATCAGACTCTTGTTTGTAGGTAGAAAGTAGCTACAGTTGGAATACGATGAACTCCAAAGCGAGGATTAGCCTCCAGCTCGAGCAAGCCTTCCCTTGGGATTGCGCTATCCTGGAACAGGCGGAAATCGAGTCCTGGACAAAGCGAAGTCTGGATGCTTTGAAAAGTTCGTCCTGCTTGCATGGTAGGGATTTACGACGCACACAAAGGCACGTGGCGCTAACCAGTCTAGTGCATCGCTGTCGCATCGTCAGCTGGAGTCTGGAATGTGGCGATAGCACTATGTGCAGTCCACCCCTGTATTCGTGCTTTTCAAGGAAATTCGTTCCATGGCCTGAAAGCTGAAGCCCATGGTGGACGGGGGTTGAACTGAAGCATGAGGTGAGGCTTTCGAAGCACGACACGCGAGCCATCGCGCTCTCGAGCTTGCATCTGCTCTGCACTCGGGGCACTGCAGCTTAATTTTCTTCCTGTCCCTGTCGTCTGAAGCCTCTTTTTCTGTTTTTCCTGTTGCTTGCCTGCGGTTGAGCTGGAGAGATGAGGATTCCGCGTGCCGCTATCGTACTGTCTGCTGTTTTTCTGATTCTTCAGAGTAAGCGACACTTAGCGTTTAGTAGTACAACCTTCACGTGCCATTTGTTTGTTAATATGTGTCAAGTTTAGACCGTTTTACCACCCTTGTTTTCCTCCAAATATTCACAGGCGTGGAGGCCAGGCTGCAACCGCCATGGACGCTTGGCTTGGAGCATGCGACATCAGAGCGACTCGGAGGAGGCGAAATCGCGTCCTACTCGTTCGACGTCCTCAAGGAAGCAGCTGACGTGGCGGTGGAGAGGCTTGTGATTCGCCAGTGCGGATTGCTGCTACCTCGGGTGTCTATTGGTTCTCCGTCCCTGCTGTTCATTCAGCAAGGTAAGCCATGTTAGCTTCCTACCGTGGAATCCTTGAGCCGTGTTGTTTCTATCATGATCGTGCCCCTTCATGACTTCCTTTCCATTTATTTTGTTACTGATCATGCCCAGTTTGTTTGTTTGTTTGTTCGTTATGTTTCTCTCTCCCCTATGGTACCCTTTTTTTTCCGCTGTGTGGTGGGATGTTGGATAAAACAAATTTCAGGGTCGGGTGTGGTGGAGCTGATTGATGACAACGGCCAGGCACCTGCTGACGTGACACCAACAACTGTGAACAGCGGGGACGCCGTGGTGGTTCCCAAGGGATGGACGTACAGCATCGGGAACTACCTCAACGCGTTGCCAGAGCTCATCATCACAGCCGTCCGATTCAGCCATCACAAGCAGGTGACTGCTTTTCCAGTGTCTTGACCTTTCTGCATGAATTGCTGTTTCGATTTTCTCCTCCTCCAGAACCTCCTTACTGTTCTTGATTGTTCATCAGTCCTGCCTTCCCTCCCTGTGCAGAAATCGTACCTTGCAGGCAGCAACCCCCACTCCTTGCTGTCTGGCTTCAGTCTGCACATCCTGGAGACGGCCTTCAACCAGCAGCACGATGTCGTCAGGGCGCTGCTGCACCAGGCAACTGGGGGAGGGATCATCGTGTCCCGCTGCGTGCCGCCTTCGCCTCCCAAGCTTGCTGCAGATGAGGATGATTCTGGGGAGGATGGGACAGAGGGTGATGTTCCTGGGGATATGGAGGAATTAGGAACCAGTACGGGTGCTGCTGGGAGGAGGATGGGTTTGGCTGAGGGAGTGGAGCTTGGGTTAGAGGGCAAGAAGGGAAAGGAGGAGAAAAAGGAGAAGAAGGGCAAGAAGGAGAAGAAGGAGAAGAAAAAGGAGAAGAAAGATAAGAAGGGGAAGAAGGAGAAGAAGAAGAAGAAAAAGATTGTTCTGGTGGATCACGTGGCGGCGCGGCAGCCTGCATTCGCCACGGAGGGTGGCAGCATGGTGCGAGTGTCGTACCGGGACTTCAAGGCGCTGAGGTTCGCAGGCATTGAGGGAGAGATTGTTCTGCTCACGCTCTACCCGGTACGCATAGTTCAAGTCTCCTAAGCTCTGAGACTTGTTGCAATTTTCCTCCACTCTTACACAGCTGCCCTTAGGTTAGAACCTCCGTTCTCTGAGTCTTGCCTCTAAACACTGCCGCACTCTAATTCTTTCTCAATCCACCCCCATTCACCGTCCTCTCTCCTACATTACCCCGAGCAGCATGCGGTGGTGGCGCCACACATCCACGGCAATGCAGCAGTGGTCTTCACGGTGCTCAACGGTTCGGGCCACTTTGAGTCGGTGCACCCCAACGGCACCACGGCTGCCAGTGATGCCGTGCAGGCAGGCCACGTGGGGGTGGTTCCCATGGGGTATGCCCATGCCCTGCAGGCGGGAGAGCAGGGCGTGCAGATTCTCGGCATTCGAATCGGTTCTTATCATCCATCCATCAAATTTCTTGCAGGTAATAATCAGATATTGTGTTCAGGGGAATTTTCTTCTTCTTTCGAACTGTTTCTTGTCTGGTTCAAGCGGCTCTGGATTGGTAGCTAATCTTGGGTATATGTTCTTCTGAGCAGGAAGCAAGAGTGTTTACAAGGCAATGAGGCCGGCACTCGGTGCTGAAGCTTTCAATATCACTGAAGAAGATTTCTCGAATTTCTTCGACGCACAGGATAGCCCTGGAATTGTTCCCTGGAAGGGCCCCTTTCCTGGGGTTGCTGCTTTCTAGCTTGTTGATCCAGTTGTTGACAATAACTTGGCAGAGGTGCTTGGGGAATGTAATGCCCGTTTTGGTAGACCATAGACATACATTTCAGATGCTCAGATCCAATGATGAATCGCCTTGATTGAAAGTAGGTTTGCTAGATTGATTGAAGAGAAACTGACTTCTTGCTATACAAGTTTGCTGTCATGGTCAATTGCGGAGTTCCAGCAAAACATGGCTATAACGTGTACCCAATTCGTGTCACTGACCAAGCAATGTTGCGGATTCCACGTGCAAGGTCCCTGGCACGCCACGTGTGAGTCAGGCCTGTCTTGTGGGGAACGCAATTGCGTTGGTTTGTCCCACATTCCCGCCAATGTGCCTGCTGCGTCAGCCAGTCCCGATTCCTCGCGAGAGTTCGAATCTCGACCATCTGAAAAGCATTTGCGAAATTCGCTAGGTCAGCCAACCTCGAGATTGCCTCCTTCACACTCCACGGATAACTCCCTGAATCCTCGGGTTTCCCACAAGATCAGGCATTATCTATGCTTCCTACTGTCACCTTTGGAGGCATCTTGCTTGAACAACTCTCTATCTCTAGCTAGTGTCTTCGAGATTTCCGTAGTCAATCCTCGTTTATTGTCGGTGGTTCTGGCCAGTTAGATTCGTGCAGGCACCAGTAGTAAGCGATGTCGTTGGGGTTGTGCCAAGGAGCAACCATGGCTGCTTGCAAGATTCCGTCAGCGTCAGTTAGGCTAGCATCTACTGGCCAACTCCAGTCATCCACCGGAGCTAGAAACTCGTCCTTCACGCCATCTAGCCTCGCATTTTCGTCTAGAGATGAGTTTTTCCGACCAGGACAAACGGCGCTGCTTAGATGTAGGGTACCCAGCTCGCGCGGCTCGGGATCACGGGGTGCGAGATTAACGGTCAGGGCAGCGGCGGATTATTACGCCACGCTGGGAGTTGCCAAGAACGCGTCGAAGCAAGACATCAAGAGCGCGTACCGACGGCTCGCTCGGCAGGTACTCGATGGGCCCTTTGTTACCGCTGCTGCGAAGTATATCCTGTTCGCAAAACCTTGGCACTCACCAAGCTGTTTATGATCGTTTGTGTTGCTTCATTCGTCTGCAAGATTCATAGGTCCTGTCATGTTTCTCAGCAGAATCTCACCTATCACTCTAATCACGTTTCTCTCGCTTTGAACTCGTGCAGTTCCACCCGGACGTCAACAAGGACCCCGGAGCGGAGGACAAGTTCAAGGAGATCAGTACCGCGTACGAGGTAACCGCTGCCAACTACATCTTCTTCGCGTGTCCCCTTTCGGCTGTGACTTGCTACATTATGAGCATAACGGGACTTTTGTCGATGAGAAACGCCCTCGTGCTCTTCGCGTCGTTCGTCTTTTAGATCCTAAAGTATCCTGCCACGGCTGATTGCGGCCGTTTGCCTTCGTGACAGGTTCTTTCGGACGATGAGAAGCGACCACTATACGACCGCTTCGGGGAGGCGGGCGTGTCTGGGTCTGGTGGTATGGGAGGAGCGGGAGCTTACACAGTGAGTATGGGATGCATGCATTCACGTGTGGGTTGAGAGAAAGCCGTTGTAATCTAACGCCTAGGCAATATGCGCTCACGGAACGAAAGGAACACATTGCAGGCATGATTTTCTTTCCTGTACACTCAGCGCAGCGCCCATCAGCGTGCAGGACAGGCAAAACCAATCAGAGGAACCAGTCAAACAACCAAACTCACCCATCTGGCTTAACCTTGCTGATACGTCGGGCCGTGTAGTCGAACCCTGTCGACCAGCTCAAAATCATATCTAGGTCGGATATGGGCGTTGCTGCGAGGGGAGGCAGGCGGCGTGGGCGAGAAACAACGGACTATCTACAAGTCTTAAACTCATGACGTTTTTCTGTCTGCTCTGGCTCCACCTCTACCTGTGGCCGTGCAGTCGAACCCGTTCGACCTGTTCGAGTCGATATTTGGTCCCGGTATGGGCGCGGCCGCGAGGGGAGGCATGGGCGGAATGGGCGGTATGGGCGGCATGGGCGGCGCTGGCCCGCGAACGCGACAACCTGTTCCGGGCGACGATGTCAAGTGAGTGGCGCAGGGTGGGGTGGCTAGAGGGGGAAGTACGGAGAGAGAGAGAGAGTAGGCAGTGAGAGACTGACGAAGGTCGAGGGAGTTCATCCCGCCCTTCCCTCCCCGGCGTGCCCATCCATGACCATCCTCGCTCATCCCCGCCCATCCCCGCCCAAACCCGCCCATTTCCGCCCACCTCCGCCCACTCCACCCCATCCGCGCCCATCAGAATGGAGATGCCGCTGGAGTTCCGCGAGGTGATTTTCGGCGCTGAAAAGACCATCAACGTGGCGCACCTGGACGGCTGCAGCGAGTGTGGGGGGTCGGGCGCCAAGGCGGGCACGTCCCCCCGCACGTGCCCCACGTGCCGCGGCATGGGGCAGGTCATGCAGACGCGGCAGACAGCCTTCGGGATGTTCTCCTCGGTACGTCTCAATAGTGTGGAGTGGTCAGGTGTTTCTGGGGCATGGGGCGGGTCAAGCAGATGGCAAAACCCCATCGGGCGTGTTGTCGTGGGTGTGTGAGTGTGAGGTGTGCGTTTGAACGTTGAACGGAGTGGAAGACCATCAACGTGGCGCACCTGGACGGCTGCAGCGAGTGTGGGGGGTCGGGCGCCAAGGCGGGCACGTCCCCCCGCACGTGCCCCACGTGCCGCGGCATGGGGCAGGTCATGCAGACGCGGCAGACAGCCTTCGGGATGTTCTCCTCGGTACGTTAGTGGCAGGGGTGCGTTTTTTTATGAGGAGGTGGCGTTGATAGTTCCAGTGGCGGGGCATGTGGGGCAGCTCATGCAGTCGTGCCCTTGGGGTGTGATTGGAGGAGCTGACTCCTGAGTGTTCTTTCTTTCGTTACACGCCAAAAGAAAATATTTCCTTATCCCCTTGCCCACAGGTGTCCACGTGCTCGACGTGTATGGGAGTGGGGGATGTGATATCTGGTCTCTTCCTTTGAATCACCTGATTACCCTTCCCATGCCTGCTTGCCCACAGGTGTCCACGTGCTCGACGTGTATGGGAGTGGGGGAGGTGATATCTGAGTTCTGTCGCAAGTGTGGGGGCGAGGGGCGGGTGCGGACGCGCAAGCCAGTGGTGATCAACGTGCCTGCAGGGGTGGACTCGGGGACAGTCCTGCGCGTCAAAGGGGAGGGCGATGCTGGCATGCGCGGGTGAGTAGTTAATTCGTGTTCACGCCAGAACTTTACGCAACCAGCACTAAGTGTTCACTATATGCAAGCGGAGGACTCTGCTGGCATGGGGGGCTGAGGGGCTTGTATGGATGGAAGGAGGTGAAGGTTAGAAGATCATTCTTATATCTCCTTTCCTCCTCCTTCTTCTCCTTCCCTCTTTCTCATCCCACCAGCGGCAAGAGGGGTGACCTATACGTGTTTGTGAAGGTGAAGGAGACACCGGGCATTCGCAGGGACGGCATCAACCTCTACTCCAACGTCAGCATCGATTACACTGACGCTATTCTGGGCACTGTTGCCAAGGTGGGTGTTTTCACCAGCTGGGTGCTGTGACCAAGATGGGTGTTTCTGCTAGTATGCACAGGAGCGATCTGGGGGCTGTGGCAAGCAGCGATACGTGGCATTCCACTGCTGCCACTGCTGCCATCAATACCCCTCCTCTAATTCGTCAATTCTTATCCTCCCACGTCCCTCTTTCAACCCAGGTGGCCACGGTGGACGGGGCAGCGGAGCTGAGAGTGCCAGCAGGCACACAGCCAGGAGATACCCTTGTGTTGGAGCGCAAGGGCGTGCCCAAGGTGGGCAAGAGCAACATACGTGGTGACCACTTCTTCCAAGTCAACGTCTCCATCCCCAAACGAGTCAGGTGCTTATAAGGGGTTGGCCACTCAACAAGGGGTACAAGGCAGCACTCCCCTGGCTTTGTGGTTTAGAGGTTTAGAGAGGGCGGTACGAACGTTCTTCACCTCTTCCTTCCATCTTGACGCCCTTCGATAACCCGCCACTTCGAACCTGTGTTCCACAGCATCCCACCCTGCCCCTCACCGTACCGCACACACATGATCCCTGCCGTGCTTGTAATGTGTGTTATGTGCCGAGCAGCCCCACGGAGCGGGATCTGGTGGAGGAGCTGTCAGGGCCAGGCTTGTTGTGATCGCCCAAGAAACGCCAACACTCATACACTCTCGCTCCCCTCCCATGACCCCTGCCATGCATATCATGTGTGCTGTGCTGTGCTGTGCTGTGCTGTGCTGTGCTGTGCTGTGCGCAGCCCCACGGAGAGGGATCTGGTGGAGGAGCTGGCGTCGATTCACAAGACGGGCAAAACTCGTACCGGCATCACTGTGGAGGGCGCTAGTGAGTCCTCGCTGCTTGCTTGTGTGCATGCATGCATGCGTGTGGCTGTGCATGGTGTCTATGTATCTGTGTGCGTTCATGTTGAAAATTGCTTGCATCGGGTTTGCTAACGCTCCCTCAATCTCTCTCCTCTCTCCCCTCTCTCTCCCCTTCTCTTTCCTCTCTCTCCCCTCTCTTTTCCCTCAGGGCCACGGGGTTCTTCATCCAGCTCAGGCGTGGACGGCGAGGGAATTGTTGACACAGTCAAGTGAGCACCTCCTCCCTTAAACCCAAGTTTAGCCCCTCCTCTATACCTCGCCTCGCCTCTCCTGACCTCTACCCCTAGTGCTGCCTTTTCAACCCCGAAACCACGGCAACTTGAGAACCAGGCAGGGCGTTCTGTCACTCAAACGCCTTTTAACTGTGAGCTGACTCTTGAGTTGACTCACTCAATATCCAATATTCACCACCACCGAACCACGAAGTGCCTTCGAGTCCACTTAAAAGCGAGCACCTCCGAATGGTGATATTTGGAATGCCACGCCTGCTCTGCACACACGTGTCGTGCACTCATTGGTTGCTCTGATTGATCCTGCAGAGGGGCCAAACGGGTGATCCAAACCATCCAATCAGAGGCCAGGAGATTTACAGAGGAGACCATCCAGCCATTCGTTTCCCCCGCCACTCCAATCACATGGCACCACGTGGCAAACGCAGCACTGCTGGCTGCAGTCTTAGCTTTGACCATGGCTGTTGCAGCAGCAGGGGCAAAAGCGGCTTGGGCTTGGTTGAAGGGTCGCTTTCGGTTAAGCCCGTAGCTCCTAGTAAGCGTGCCATTTTCCTTCCTCTGGTTGTCTTGCGCAGCACAGCTCACCTTCGTTTTCCTTCTGGGCGTTTCTGTTTTTTCTCCCTCCCAATTGGGGCCCTCCCTTGATCGCCTGTGGGTCTTCTCACTCCCTTGTGCAGGAATGTTTTTTCGGGCATCAAAAATTTCTTCAACAAGTGAAATATGGAGGATCACTTTCGGCCATGACTTGCTAAAACGTTTTGAAAAGGGCAGCATCAGGATTGCAGAGACAAGTGTAGGAAGTTTTGCTGGTGTGGTGTTACCGGTACTAGGCGTCCGTTCTGTAATTTTATTGTGTGATGAAATCATATTGGAAATCAAATAATGCAAGGGTATGGCAGAATTCAGCTACCTCTTCACAATTTCAGTCTCTATACTGAGCAACTTGCAAGAACAGCCAGCTGAAGCTCCAATATAAGGCTATAAACTCATGACTGTGGCTTTGATAAACCGTATCTTATGTCATGTCTAACTGATTGGTGGAGGCCCCAGTGCCCCACTAAAGCATAAGTTCCCTTGCACATCCTTCAGCAGGCGGCATGTTTGGGGCCAGCAGCCTTCTCATAGGTACATCCAAGCCAGCACACCAATGCCAAGGGCGCGTTTATATCCAGCTGATCACAGTACTAAATCATAAAAGCCCAAGCACTTTCTTCACGAGTGTGGAGTGCTTGGGACCAGCAGCCTTGTCATACATCCACGCCAGCTCCTCCCGCTCTCGCTGCGACAGCATCTCGCGTAAAAGGTTGGCAGCGGATGCCAGTTCAGGCTGGGAGTGATGGCAGAAAAGGGATCACATGGAACCAGGGCACAGAAGTGTTAGGCAAACGCATATGCATGCATGCATGTGATGCATAGATGGATGTGGACGGATGTGCATGGATGTGATGCATGGATGGATGTGGACGGATGTGCATGCATGTGATGCATAGATGGATGTGGACGGATGTGCATGCATGTGATGCATAGATGGATGTGGACGGATGTGCATGCATGTGATGCATAGATGGATGTGGACGGATGTGCATGCATGTGATGCATAGATGGATGTGGACGGATGTGCATGCATGTGATGCATAGATGGATGTGGACGGATGTGCATGCATGCGATGCATGGATGAATGCGGACGAATGTGCATGCGTGCCCATGCATATCCAGAATCCCATTTTTGCGAACAAGTGCATAGCCATGTGGTAGATCAAAGGGTTTTGAGTCAAGTAGAGAATCAAGGGCGTAGCCATGTGGCAGAAGCAAAGGACACGCACCGCGACTGCAGCAGGAGTGAACTCAGAGAGAAGCTTCGAAATCTGCCGTAGCTTCACCTCCGCTTCGCCCCTCATACTCCGTTCTAGCATCTCCTGCTTCAAAAAAAAAGGGAAAGAAAGGAAAATACTTATGGAACAAAACAAAACGTGGAAGGTTTGAAAATGCCAACGATATCAGGGCAGCCTACGCTACTAGCCAATGTTTTGATTACAAACAACAGAAGATTATACACGTGCACACCCACACTCACATTGCATGCCACGAGCTCTGCTGCCACTCCTCGCAGCGCTGCTGCCAGCACTTATGAGGTGTGAGGCCCACGCACCACTGCTGCCTCGTTTTGAATGGGCTCACAAAGGAGCAGCAAACAGACAACACAAAGCACTCACATTGCAGGCAACGAGCCCTGCTGTCACTCTGCTCGCCACTCCTCGCAGCGCTGCTGCGAGTGCTGCAGGTGGGGCCAGGCTCATAGCTTCTGCCATGGCCACTATGAATGATGGGCCCGAGGCAGGGAGTTTGGATGGCTGGTGCGAGCTGCATGCAGGGCGGGGAGCAGAGGGGGATAGGGAGATTGTGAGACCCGGCACTGCTGCCAGAGCTGCAGGCGGGGCCAGGCTCACAGCTTCTGCCATGGCGACCAGAAATGACGGGCCCGAGGTGGGGAGTTTGGACGGCTCACTCCTACGCAGGGAAAGGAGGTAATGGGGAGAGATTGGAAAAGGGAAGGGGGAAGGGGGAAGAGATGGGTGATGTGATGCTGCAGCGTGCCCTTACTCGAACCACCGACTGATGAGTGGATATTCCCGTTCTTTCCATCCCCTCACCGCATTTCCCTCCCCGCTTCCTCACTCACCCATTCCTTACTCAAATCTTCCCCCAACCCCCATCTCCCTCACTAATCGCGCTCACTTCATTTCCCTCACCACCTTCCCCTTCGCCCCATCCCCTTCGCCCCCGTCCCTCCCAGCCCATCTCATCACCCCACCTCACATCTCATCCAACCAACCCATCTCATAAAGTCATCCCCCCTACCTCATGCACTCGTCCAGTGCCAGCTGGACGGCGGCGTTAAACACTATCAGGCGCACAGAGTCCCTCTGAGTGTGCCACGTGTCACCAGATGCTTTCCACGCTGCCCAGATCTGACGGCTCACAGGGGTGGATAGGGAAAGGTGGATTGGTGGATGGGACTTGGCTGAGAAACAGGCAAGTGTGATGCGGCGCAATGTGGTGCAAGGCTATGTGGTGCGGTGCAATGTGGTGCAGAGCAATGCAGTTAGGTGCGGCACACCTGAATCAGAGCCTCTGCCGAGATGTGCCCCTGCGAGTTGAACTGCTCCAAAGCACCTGAGGTATCGAAATTGCACGTCATTAAAGCAAAACACAATCATTCCAACACATGTGAGAATTATGTCGACACCTTTAATCAGCCGATCTATCAAGATTTTCACAGGCCAAATAATCTCACGCCCATGCCATCCCGCCCAATCCAAGGAGCCCCACCCCCTTCAAACTCATGACATCACATCACAAAACCAGACATACATTGTTATAACCACTCCCACCGTAACCCACCGCATCCCACATCATCCGAGCCTGCTTACCCATCACAGCGACCCGTGTGTGCTTCACCGAAGCGCCTGCCGAACTAGCCACTCCGGCTCGGCCACTTTCCGAGCCTGCGCCCGAGCCTGTAACCAGCCTCTGTGTCTGCTGCAAGGCCAATTCGCCCCAGGCATCGCGCCACCAATCAGGAATAAGATCCGATTTGATTCCATTCCTGTCCTTATTCTCATCAACCGTACGATCAAATCTGCTGCCCGTTCTTCTTTGGCTGTGACTAAATTGTCTTCCAGATGAACTGCTGGCTCCACCCATGCCCTTCTGTGCCTTTCCTAGTTTCCATGTGCGTTCACCTGAACTTTCACCTGAGCGCTCTGTTGAACCAGGCTGGCTCATTTCAAGAGCCAGCATCGTTCTGTGAATGTCTTCTGCCTCTTTCCCTGCTGTTTCCACTCCACCATCAACACCATCACCACCAAGACCAGCATAACCACCACTGAACCCAAAGGCAGTTTTCATCACAAAGGAAGAACTACCAGTTTCACCAATCCTGCTACTGCCTGTCTGATCCTGCTGCTGCTGCTGCTGCTGGTGGTGCTGTTGCTTCTGCTGGATATGCTGCTGCTGTTGTTGTTGTTGTTGTTGTTGTTGTTGTTGTTGCTGCTGCTGATGCTGTCGCTGCTGCAGTGCCTTTTGCTCTACCTTCTCCTCCTGCTGCAAAACCTCTTCTGAACCCACAGCCCACAGCACAGGCGCAAAGAATGACCTCACCGCAGCGGCAGCTGCCGTTAATCTGGAATTCTCAGCAGATACAATCCGTTTAGCTTTCTCTTCCTGCTGTAGAGGTGCCTTCCGCTCCAACTTCTCCTCCTCCTGCTGCTGCAAAACCTCTTCGGGACTCACAGCCCACAGCACAGGCGCAAAGAACGACCGTACAGCAGCGGAAACTGCCATTTCTTTAGAACTCTCAACAGATACCTTCCAATCAGCCTCCTTTTCCTTCTCCTCCTCCTGCTGCTGCTGCTGCTGCTGCTGCTGGCTCTGCTGCTGCTGCTGCTGCTGCTGCTGTCGCTGCTGCAGTGCCCTCTTCTCAGCCTCCTCCTCCTGCTGCTGCAATGCCTTGCGCGCAGCCTTCTCCTGCTCCTGCTGCCGCTGCTGTGCCTTCCGCTCAGCCTCCTCCTCCTGCTGCTGCAAAACCTCCTCAGGACTCACAGCCCACAACACAGGAGCAAAGAACGCGCGCACCGCAGCAGAAGCTGCCTGGAAGCTGCGCGCTACGAGGGAGCTGCGGAGGAGAAGGCAGAGGAGGAGGAGGGAGGAGGAGAGGAGGAGGGCGAGGCGGACGGGGAGAGGGAAGGAGCGGGGAGGTAGTATCTGGTGCAGGCGAGAAGGGAGGGCTGCGACCTGGGTGGTGAGAACACGCCTGTCAGTGGTGGGGTGGGTGGAGTGATTAATGGATAGCGGGCAAGTGAGACAACAAGCCTGTCAGTGGGCGGAAACGGGTTTAGAGTGGTGGGAAGATGGGTGGTTGGCGAGTGGGTATCGCAAAAGTGACAAACATCTGGGGGTTGGTTGAGAAGGGAAATTAGCGAGTGGGGAAGTGTGGAGCGGGTGGGTGCTAAGGTGTGTGCCACACACACCATATGTGTGAAGGTGCGGTGAGGGACACACACACACACACCTGGCCTTATCCATTGTTGGTGGAACTGACTCAACCACTGACGCTGATACGTCAGCAACCCTGTCAGACACCGAATCCAAAGCCTTCTCTAGAGGAGACTTCAACAAGTCTCGGCCCCCCCCTCTCCACATCCGCATTCGTCTAGCTTTCCATAACCTTGAAAGTTCATCGTCCCTGTTGTTGCTTATCCAGTTGCGCTGTACTGTAACATTGTAACCAGATGATTCCTGAGTGGACTCAACAGCTGGCTCGAAAACTTCAACCTCCCTGCTGCTACTGCTACTGTCGATGTTGCTACTGCTGCTATTGCCACTGTGCGACATGCTGAATGCAATAAGACGCCTAAAGAAGTTTTCGTGCCAGGGGTCATCCTCCCTGCTGCTGTGAGTGGAATCAGTAGCACTCTGCAACTCACTCAACCGCACAGCATTGTTCTGCAGAGCAGCGACCCGTAGACCACTACCCTGCAAGGGGTTACTAACCGGAATACCCCTCCGCTTTGGTAAACTGGCTAACGTTTCTGCTCCCGCCTGGCTCCTGAATTCTACTACTCGGCTCAGACGATCATCATAATGATTTTTTAGTGGACTCGAAATTACGACTACTCGGCTCATACGATTATCAGTCGAAGTCCGGTTACCACTAAATATGCGAGCAGAATTGGGGTTACCACCAGAACGAAAGCCGGGCGTAGATTCATAGTAGGCTTCAAGCTTCGCGCCTCGGCATGCTCGGAGCTGCATAGCCATGAGAGAGTCACCTTCTGGGAAGGGAACGCTCGTGGTCTGGTGGTGAGCTACCAGGGCCTTTTCATGTTTCAATGCAACGGATCCGAGAGTGATTTGGTATGGGAGTCCTGTAGTATGAGACTTGAAACGCCAACTGCGGTGGCTGGATTGTGGACGTTTTGCCACTCGTCACCACTGAGCTTGCGGGGTGAAAAACTCCCACCGGTGCCTGGCAGGTGCAGGCGCTTAGCTTCTAAGCAAGAGGATCGCCGAGAACAGGCGGATGTTACCTTGAATATGGGCAAACTTGACGGTACCCGGGGCAGTAAAGAAACCTTTCCGCGTTGTGAACCCGAGTTTCGGACTGAAACCCTCGCCATGCCACCCAGGCGAGCGGGAAGTTCATTTTCCCCCTCAGGGTTTCGCCATTGTACTTCCGACGGGTAAGAGTTGCCTAACCTCTCGTTCCGTTTGGGTCCCACACCTGAGGGAGATGGAGCCATCATCATCCTTCATCACGAAGAGGCTCCTCCCATCAGATTGGCACCACCCGATGCACCCGATACCCCTTTGTAGGCACCTTCAGTGTCATGTCACCCTGTCTGCCGTGTCATCTGTGTCGAACACTGTTACAGCTCGCCACTATGATGAACCCCACCCATCGTACGGAAGCGCAAGTTACATGCCACTTTTCGCTCCGCATCCAGTAGCAAGCACCCAGTTGGAAGTGAAGCTTGCGCCATCACCCCACTCAACCCCCTCGAAAGTGGGGGCCAAAAGCAGCTCGCCAGCTAGCGTCAGGGGAAGATTTCGGGATTACCCGTCCCGCTACGGGGCCGTAGCATTTGGTCTTCAGATGCCAGGTTCGTAATGAAACCTCTATAGGTGAGGGGTGATGTGCGTGAAGCGTGTAACGGAATGATGGGAGGAGGGGTAGCGCGATACATGATGGGAAGATGGCAGGCGTGGAGAAGGCGTGAAAAAGGAAACATCACAATAGACTGACTCGGTACGGAAACGGGCTCTGTACCAGCCTGTAACAAAAAGCTCTACGTACACAGAATATAATAAAGTGCAAGTATCCCAAAACATGTTGCCAAAAAAAACACTTGTTAGCCATACCCCTTAATGAAATTTGACAGGATAGAGTGCTTTACATTCAAAATCTCACACTACAAAATTTTCCCTGAAGTAGCGATTGTCTAAATGCAACGAGCAAAAGAAAACACACTCCATTATACCCCGAGTGCAGTCCTCATGAGCACCACATGCTTGGTACCAGCAGCCCTCTCATACATCCATGCCAACTCCTGTCGCTGGCGTTGAGTCAGCATGACACCCAGACGATGGGCTGATGACACTAGCTCATGCTGGTGTGGATGGTGGTGTGGTTGGACAATGGGAGGAAGGGGGGAGGTGCGAACGGGAAAAGACGAGGGGGAAAGGAAACGTGTAGATGTGTACAAGTGTGCGTCAAAGCATGAGTACGTGTGTGTTGATGATTCAGCCGCATAAGGCACGTACCGAGATCGCAGGGGGAGTGAATGCAGAGAGCAGATTCGCTATCTGGCGCAACTTGACGTTTGCATGGCGCCACATGAACGCTTCTATCAAGTCCTGCTTTCCATCCAGCCACACACAACGCACACACCATGCATACACACAACCAAACCATGAAATGCATGGTGCCACATATTTACTTTGTTTTGAAATCCAGATTTCTACTCGCTCACACAAACACCCAGATGATCAAACCAGGGAAAAAGATAGCATGGTAGTTCCAACACACGGTCTCCCTCGCACCGAGACTCACATTGCAAGCAATGAGCTCTGTTTCCAGCCTAGCAGCCACTTGATTGAGGATCGCTGCGAGGGCCACAGACGGCGAGAGGCCCACGGCTGCTGCCATGGCAGCGAGGAATGATGGGCCCGAGGAGGCTGGGAGACGAGGCGACCTGCATTATGGGAGGCAGAGAAGGCAGGGGAGGGAGGAGAGGGAGATAGAGGTCAGGGGTGGTGAGAGCCCCACCGCGACTGCCATGGCAGCGAGGAATGACGGGCCCGAGGAAGCTGGGCGGCGAGGAGACCTGCATTCATGGAAGGCAGGGGACGAGAGGCAAGGATTGGGGGCATGTCATCCCAATCCTTGCCTCTCGTCACATACGGTGAATTGGAAGACAACATTGGAATGTGACACTTTTGAAAAAACAAGGACTAGTCCCGCTCACCCAATGCATTCGTCCAGTGCCAGCTGGACGGCAGCGTTGAACACTATCAGCTGCACAGAGTCCCTGTGGGTGTGCCACGTGTCACCAGATGCTTGCCACGCCACCCAGATCTGACAGCTCACAGAAAGTTGCGGACAACAAATGGCACGGAAAAATGTTTTCAGGTAAATATGGCATGGAGTATTCTACTGAACCATTTTAAGTGCGAAAGTAGGCAGTCTAAAAGGGATAAAGTGGTCTGATGTGGTGGGATGCAGTTTGATGTGGTGCAATGGGGTATCATGTGGTGCGATGTGGTTTGACAGGGTGCAGTGTGGTGTGTGCACCTGCTTGAGAGCCTCTGGTGGGATGTGGCCATGCGAGTTAAAATGTTCCAATGCCCCTGAAAGTGAGAATGAGAATGAGAATGAGAACAAGCAATTACAGTGCACCCAACTGTGTATGAAAATCAATGATAACGCATCCGAATGCTCAGTGCTAACAACAAGATGTGATAATAACGTGGAACACATTTTACAGCCTCATACCCACACCACACACAATCCGTCTCGCCCTATGATTTCACCCTACTCTGCTTCCACCAACCCCCCACCCCCCTTCCACATCCCATCCCACATCAAAACACAGCCATACAGCTCATGGTAGCTGGTGGCTTTTGAGTCGACTCAAAAGTCAGTTTCCTTTTGAGTCAACTCAAAGGTCAGCTTTCTTTTGAGTCAACTCGAAACTGAGCTTTCTTTTGAGTCAACTCAAAAGTAAGCTTTCTTTTGAGTCGACTCAAAAGTCGACTTGCGCATCATCCCATCTCACATCAAAACCACAGCCGTACAGCTCATGGGAGCTTCCCTCCCTCCCCCACCCATCCACATACCCATCACAGCCAGTCGAGTGCCTTTCCCAGAAGCGCCTCCCGAACCTGTCGGTCCGGCTCGGCCCGAGCCTCCAACCAATCCTTGTGCCCGATGCAGGGCCACCTCATCCCAGGCCTTCTGCCACCAATCAGGAACAAGATCCGATTTGATACTCTCCTCCTCAACTTCACCCCTTCCCTTCCTGTAGACGCTCCCTTGGAATTTGTTTCTCCCAACATCTGCTGCTGATCCCAAAGTTTTAGATTCTTCTGAAACAGCAGAACCATTCTTGTCCTGTGCTGTAAAGTCGATGCTCTTTCCTGATTGGTTCTCCTTGTCACCATCTATCCCCCTCGCCTCATGTTCCCCCCTTGCTTCCTCTGCTCCCTTCACTTCCTCTGCTTTGCCCACTTCCCCTGCAACTGCCCCTGATGCCTTCTCTGCCACTTCCTCTACTGCTTTCTCTGCATCTTCCCCTGCTTCTCCCTCTGTTGTTTTGTCTGCTCCCTCCTCTGCTGCCCCCTCTACTTTCCCCTGTGCTACTTCTTCTGCTGCTTCCTCTACTAGCCCCTCTGCTGCTTCCCCTGCTGCTGCCTCCCCTGCTGCTGCTTCCCCTGTTGCGTCTCCTGCCAATTCCTCTGATGCCTCTCGTGCTGCCTCTGCTTCTCTCGCAGCCGCTTTCTCTGCTAATGCTACCCCTGCTGCTTCTCCTGCTGCTTCCTCTGCTGCCTCCTCTGCTGTTGCCTCTGCTGCTACCAATGCTGTTACCTCCGTTGCTCCTTCTGCTTCTTCCTCTGTTGATCCCTCTGCTGCTCCCTCTGCTGCTCCCTCTGCTGCTCCCTCTGCTGCTCCCTCTGCTACTCCCACTGCCATTGCCTCTGCTGTTGCCTCTGCTGCTTCTTCTACTGCTCCCTCTGCTGCTCTCTTTGTTTCTCCGTCTGCTGCTCCCTCTGTTACCTCTTCTGCTTCTTCCTCCACTGCTTCCCCTGCTGCCGCTAGTTCCCCTGCTGCTTCAAAAAGTAAACCACCCGCAAGATCACCTGAATATTCGCCTGAACCTTCTGTTGCATCCACCCAACGCACATCAAGTGCCAGCATCATTGAAAAAATGTCATCTGCCACAATCAGTGACTCAGCTACTACATTAACACCTACACCATCGCCATCACCATCACCATCGCCATCACCATCACCATCGCCATCACCATCACCATCGCCATCACCATCACCATCACCATCACCATCGCCATCACCATCACCATCACCATCACCATCACCATCACCATCACCATCACCATCACCATCACCATCACCACCACTGCTGCTACTACTGGAACCACCATCACCACCAGCAGCACTACAAACAGCAGCAACAATAGTAGCTTCGTCAGCCTCACTGTCACCAATCTGCTGCTTCCGAGACTGCTGAACCTGCTGTTGCTGCTGTTCCGTTCTCCCCTCAGTGCTCACCCCCTCCTCTTCCTCCTCCCCCGACTCCTCCTCCCCTTCCTCCTCCTCCGTCCACCACTCCTCCTCCTCATCCTCCTCCTCCTCCTCCTCCTCCTCCTCCTCCTCCTCCTCCTCCTCCTCCTCCTCCTCCTCCTCCTCCTCCTCCTCCTCCTCCTCCTCCTCCTCCTCCATCTCCATTAAAAGGCTAACCCTGTTCCGCACGTACAGTATGTCTTCAACACTTGAAACAAGCTCCTCCGCTGCTTGCATTGCTGCTGCAGCTTCCGCGTCTGCTGCTTTGGCTCGTTCTGCTGCTACTTCTGTTGCTGCTGCAGCTGGTGATTCCTCCTCCTCCTCCTCCTGCTGCTGCTGCTGCTGCTGCTGCTGCTGCTCCTCATTCCGCTGCTGCTGCTGCTCCTGCCCAACGACAAGCTGAGCCCTGTGCCGCAGCTGCAAGCTGTCTTCTTCCACCCCTACATGCGGCAAAGTCTTTTCAGCCACTTGCGACCTCAGACTCAATAATCGACCAATAGTATGGGGAAGTGCGCCAAACAATTGAAGCGCAGCAGAGAAAGCTGCAAGGAACATGCGAGCGATGGTGCGGCGCAGCAGGAGGAGGAAGAGGAGCAGTAGGGAGGATGCGAGGAGGAGGGCTCGGTGTCGTGAGTGCGGGGAGGCAAGGGGAGGTAGCATCTGGTGCAGGCGAGCAGGGAGAGCTGCCACCTGGGCGGTAACCACCTGTGCAATACCTCCCTCATCCCTTATCCTCTCCATATAGCCACGATCCGTCTTCACATGGTCATCTTTCTGCTTCAAATTCTCACTACCCAGCTTGATATTATCAATATCTCGCTGAAAATCCTTGTCAGATTCTCCTGTATCGCCGAGTTTTTCCCTCTTTAAGTTCTCTTGTACCTGCTTTCCTCCTATTCTCACCCCTCGCCCGCCCTGTCTTCTTCTCTCCAAGCGTCTGGCAGTCCAGGAAAAACCGTCGCCTCTGCCACTGCTGTTGATGCTGCTGGTGATGATTCTGCTGCCGCCGCTGCCGCTGTTGCTGCTGATAGTGATGATTCGGCTCCTGTTGCTTCCGCTGGTGCTGCTGCCGCTGCCACTGCCCCCTATTCGCCTTGGTATTGTCACCCGGGTTCTTCCCCTCACACCTGGTAATGAGCTATCCCCGTGGGAGGGCACGAAAGCTAGGCGCGTGTCGTGTACGGCTGAGGAGAATTGGACCGTCGTTGCGGCAGCAGTAGCCGCCATGGTTGCAATTGCCGCGTTTCAAGCACAAGAAGCGCTTAAACAACGGAAAGAACAAAAAAACTGCAGAGTGAGGGTCAGAGATGTGTCGCCGTGAGCCGCTCTAGAGGGATCTCAGAATGAAGGCGGCGCGGCTTTGATATAGCCGTCTGCAAAAGCAGAAATCCTCGCCTGATCATTTCGTGCCATCGCATCCTTCTCCATCACACCCCATCCCATTCCACCGCATCCAACCCTGCAACCTCATGTCATCATTGCGTTGATCGCCTGGGCCGCCTTGGAAACCCGCAGAACGTCGCTGAAAATTACAATTATGCGGACCGCGTGCGGGTTCCTTCGTCTGCCCCTGCGCCGCGCCTCGTCTCCTCCGCAAACATCAGCTTCCGCCTCCAAGCTAACTGCGCGGATGCGCTCGGTTTTGCGTTCCGCTCCGCCTCTATGCCTTCCGCGCGGAAACGTTCCGTTTGTGCTTTTCTCTCCGCCCCCGCAGGTATGCGATTCCGCCGCTTCGAGGGTTTTCCATTATTCGCGCAAACCGCGATGAGAAAGGGGTAGACGCGGTGCAAGGGAACGACGGTGCGCCACGTCCTGAAAGAGCTCGCGCCACGTGGCTCGCATGAGATTCGGTGTGGTGTTTCTTATACGCGGATGAGAGAGGTGTTGCGCGTGGCAAGTCGCAGGAATCTGCTAGCGGGAATAGGCATGCATGCTAAGGGCGCGTGTCTTTTGGTGTAGATGTTCGGATTTTCGGTTGAACTTATGCTGGTTACCCTATTCGTCAATTTCGTCAAAACGTTCGCCAGGACGTCGTGTGTCCACGTACACTTCCGGCATCGGAAAATGTTGAGCCCCCAAGTTGAACCCTCATCAACAAACAGGTTGGCACGAATGTGCGAGCGTGTGTCCACCTCATCACTGACAGCGACGATGCGAAGTCTGCGACGCTCGCAGCTAGCATCGTGCGCACGAGGGTGCTCGTCAGCGCGAGTCCCGGTGGCGCGATGTCAAGAGCCCAAACCGGGTAACCTACAAGCGTAGGTCGCGGCTCGGCTGGGCTGCAAAAGTTCAACTTCGATAGTTGAACTTTTGTTTGTCGCGTGATTTTCGGGAGGGGTGGAACCGCGGCTCGGTTTGCAGTTGGTGAAAACTCGAGCCTAGCTCGAGCTAGGTTCATATGACTACAGTTCAACAAAAAATTCGAGATTTGCATGTAAAAACCAAAAGACACGCGCCCTAATGAGTGTAAATTAGTAGTCCAAGAAATTTGGGAGGGGCAAATTCTAGCGCCATACGCGTTTGAAGAGGTGCGTAACTTTGCGAGAGTCGATAAGATATCGCTGCGTAATTTCACCGAACACCTTGTACTTCTTTCCTTCTGTTTCGTCCTTTGTGAAGGCTTCCTCCTCTTGTAAAAAGAAAACAATAATGATCTTATCACGTTAGCCCATTGCGGCTAGCAGCTAATTTATAGCGAGCGGCAACGGCTAGATTCGAAACGGAGTAATCTTGAGTCAAGTTGGCATCAATGGTAACATCAGCATTCGGCATGATAATCTCGCAAGTGCTGCGCTCTCGTTCCGAAAGCCCCTTGAAATAGTTTATGCGCACGCTCCCTGTAGGTGCTATGTACCCTCCTGGCTCCGCATTGAGAATTCTGCAACACAAACACAGCACGCAGTAAACGTTGTGAATAAAATAACTAGGAGAATTCATTGCATTGCATGCACCATCTGGTGGTCTGGTGAATCAATGGACAGCCTTGGAAGGTTGAGCTGAGCAGCCCATGGCTGGTTTGCTTGCTATACTCACCGGTTGCTTTGAACCACGAGGGTTTTGCGGGGGTTGACGGCAAATGGAGGTAGAACCTATAAGCCTCATGACTGTTTTTACTCACCGGTTGCTCTGAACCACGAGAGTTTTGCGCGGGTTGATGGCGTATTTACGAAGCCCATCGGCCTTCTGGCACACCGTCTTATCGCTGTAGCTGCTGTTCTCCCTGCAGTAGGGCTCAGGGTCCCGATACACCATGCGCTCCACTGCCCACTCGTCGCCTTCACTGCATGGGTTTTGGTGCACATGGGGTGAATGTCAGATGCGACCAGTAACTGCAACAGGAATGCAGCTTCGGTGCTGCATACACAACGTTTAAGGGAAGGGGCAAGAGTGAGGGCGGAAGCGTCACCTGATGTCAGGCAAAAGAGCACAGCGATTGACGGAGAAGACGAAGCACCCAAAGCTCACCCACGTCCACCCCTCCTCCACCTCGCCTGGCCCCTGCCCCCTTCCCCTGTCCCTGACCCTGACCCTCGCCCTCGCCCTGCCCCTGCCCCTGCCCCTGTCCCCTCTCGTCAGGGCCCAAAATTGGTTTAGGCCTACTCTTCCAAATCAGGGTACCAGGCCCTCCTTGAACAGACCCCTAGGGTAAATTTTTTCGTGCCCTGCTTTTAGCAGGGTAAATCAACCACTAAACTGATTTGAGCAGGGTAGTGTTAGGCTTAGCCTGTTTTGATTACCGGCGACTTCACTATCGCGTTCCAGACGGAAAAGGAATACGGTATGCGTCGCGGGCCACGACGCGCGGTGCAATGGGAAGCAGCGCGGCGCGCTGCGGGAGACTCCTGCAGCGGGGGACGTTAAATGAATTCATGTCGGGAATTGCGCGTCGAAAAGTATGCTCTTTGTGGAAATCGTGTGTCGAAGAGGTGGGAGTGCTTCAATTTGTTTTTCGCTAACTCGCACTGTAACTACTTACCCGTTACCACAGGTTCCGTCCTCGTCCCGCAGTGCTTGAGGTCTCAATCAAGTGGCAACGATGCACGAAAAGTGCCTGGTTTCTCGTTCCGTCAGCACACTCCGTAGGGTATCTCTCACGCTATCTTCTCCTCTCCTCTCGCCCCGTGTGCGCCCCCACAGTGCGGTGTTTGTGGGGGTGTGGTAAATTTTGACACCACGCGGACTGTGATCTGATTCGCGTTAGGAAAGTTTCGGTAAAAGGGTAGTGTACACTATACCCTGATTCCGTCAGGCTAACCTAAAAACCAATCAGGGTGAAATAAAACATGCTCTTTTAAGAGAAGGGTAACTATCTCGCATTCCTGATTTTGGCAGGGTAATCCAAAAAAAACGGCCGACCCCCAGGGTAATCAGGGTGTTTTACCCTGATATTTTGGGCCCTGCCTCTCGTCAAGAGTCTAAGAGAAAGAGTGGGAGCAAGAATCTCACCTGATGTCGGGCAAAGGAGCGCAGCGATCGACAGAGAAGACGAAGCATCCAAAGCTCACCCACGTCCACCCCTCCTCGCCCTGCTTCTGCCCCTGCCCCTCCCCCTCGCCCTGCCCCTGCCCTTGCCCCCTCCCAGCAAGCGTCTCACCTGATGTCGGGCAAAGGGGCGCAGTGATCGACGGAGAAGACGAAGCATCCAAAGCTCACCCACGTCCACCCCTCCTCGCCCTCGCCCTTCCCTTGCCCCTGCCCCCTCGCCCTGCCCCTGCCCTTGCCCCCTCCCAGCAAGCGTCTCACCTGATGTCGGGCAGAGGAGCACAGCGATCGACGGAGAAGACGAAGCATCCAAAGCTCACCCACGTCCACCCCTCCTCGCCCTCCTGCTGCCCTCTCGCGTCAACAGCCTGGCCCTTCCCATCCAGAAAAGCCAGCAAGGAGAGCGCCCTGCTGTTGCTCGGGTCAGCCAGAAGCGTTCTGGGAAGGGCAGTAGCAGCAGTAGCAGCAGGAGCAGCAGTGGTGGCAGTGGTGGCAGTGGTGGCAGTGGTAGTGGTGGTGGTTATGGCGGCGGCGGTGGTAGTGGTGGTGGGAGGGTAGCGATTGGCGATGAGGGCGTTGGGGAGGGTGATGTAGTGATCGAAGTCGAGGAAGAGCGTCCAGCGCGAGAGGTGGCGCGTGCGGAATATGCAATCGTTCATCGCTAGGAGCTGAGGAAGGGGGGAGGAATGAAGGGTGGGAGGGGTAACAAGGAAGCAGTAGGGAAAGTGAGTGTAAGTGAGGGCGTTGAGGAGGGTGATGTAGTGGTCGAAGTCAAGGAAGAGCGTCCAGCGCGAGAGGTGGCGCGTGCGGAATATGCAATCGTTCATCGCTAGGAGCTGGGGGTGGGGGGAGAGGAGGAAGGGGAAGGGAGGTGGGGAAAGGGAGGGAGGGAGATGTGAGTGCAACGGAGGGGATGGAGATGTAGTGATCAAAGTCGAGGAAGAGCGTCCAGCGGGACAGGTGGCGCGCGCGGAATATGCAGTCGTTCATCGCTAGGAGCTGGGGGGGGGGGGGGGGGGTGAGGAAGGGAGGAAGGGAGGGGAGAAAAGGGGAAGGGAAGAAAGGGGAGGGAAAGGGGATTGTTGAGGTGCCATGTGCGGAGTATGCAGAATACGGGATGAGCTGGGGGATGGGGGAAGGAGGGGAAGTGTGCAGCAAGGGGAACGGGAGACAACACATACCAAAGTGTCCGTCCGTGGTGGTAGCTCACCCGCACGCCCACCCACTAGCATGCAAACACGCACATACAGACAAAACATGCCCACCTGTGCGTGGTGGTAGCTCTCAAACCGGGCGGCATCTCTGAGATCCGCGATCTGCACTGTGCCGGCCGCCAGCAGCGGGTGCAGAGCGTGCCGCACCGCTCCGTCCACGCCGCCCGCATCGTAGAGCAGGAAGAGGTCGACGCGGTGAACAGCGCGGTGGAAATCCATCCACTCGCGCAGCCGGCCGGCGTGCATCGGCTTGTACAGCGGCGAGGAGCAGTGCGTCAGGGCGTGGCTGAAAAGGGAGAAGTTGGAGAGAAGGGGGGGAGGAGAGGGGGGCAGGGGGCAGTGGGAGAGAAGGTGGGAGGGTGTGTAGAGGGGCTGAGTGAGGGAGTGGCTGAGAAGAGAGGATCGGGAGGGGGAGAGGTGGGAGGGGGTGTGTGTCATGGAAAGCCATGCGTGGGCACGGCATGTGGCGGGTCACGCCCTTGCTCCTCCTGCAGGGCTACCACCACCATTCACGCATTCTACCACCACCATTCAGTGAAAGCGATGAGTAGACTCACGGGAAATCATGAGTGCGCATGGCGTGAGGAAGATCATGCCCCGACTCCTCCTGCACCACCACCGCCTCGTGCCCATCCACCGCCATCACCAGCCGGCCCCCCGATATCGGCCCCGTGGGCGCCTGCAACGTGCACTGCAGGATCACCGCTTCGTACCGCATCTTGAAGCCCTCGCCTGGGTAATGTGCTGTCACTGTGCCCTGAATTGACCCTGGCGGGTGCTTGGTCTTTGACCCGGCTGCTGCTGCTGCTGCTGCTGCTGCTGCTGCTGCTCCTCCTCCTCCTCCTCCTCCTCCTCCTCCTCCTCCTCCTCCTCCTCCTCCTCCTCCTCCTCCTCCTCCTCCTCCTTTGCTGCCTTCCATTGCTTTCGCTGCTCCTGTCCCTGCTGCTCCTGCAGTGGCTGCTTTACCTTGTGCTCCTGCTGCTGCAGTCCCGTTTGCTGTTGCAGCTACTGCTCCTCCTCCTCCTTTCCCTGCTGTTTTTCCTGCTCCTGTTTCTGCTGCTGCTGCTGCTGCTGCTGCTGCAGTTGCTTTGGCTGTTGCTGTTGTTGCTGCTGCGGCTGTCGCTGCTACTGAAGCTGCTGCTGCTGTTTTTGGAGGCCCCTGCGGCAGTTTTATGCTACCCCCTTCCACAGTCCTACTCCCTCCCTCTGTCGGACCTACCACTCCCCCGCTTCCTGTGCCCACTGTTCCCCTTGCACCTGTACCATCCTTGCCAGAACCACCACCATTTCCCTCTTTCGCTTTTGCGCCTGCCTTCTTCTCCTCCTGCCTCTCCCTTCCCCCTTTCTCTCCTCCTTTCCCTCCCCCCTTCTCTTTCCCCATCACTCCAATCTCCTCTCCTCCCTTCCCTCCTCCCTTCCCCCCGCCCTTGTCTCCTTCTTTCGCTCCTCCCTTGCTTTCTCCCTTTACTCCACCCTTTTCCCCTGCCTTCTCTCCTCCCTTCCCTCCTTCCGTTTCCCGACCACCCCCCCCAACCTCCTTGCCTGTCTGACGCAATGCCTGCTGCTGCTCCTTCAACCCCACTGCACCCCTTTTCACCTCATTCTTCCCCTCCGTCTTCCCCACCTCGCCCTTCTTCCCACTCTCTCTTCTCCCCTCCACCCTTTCACCCCCACTCTTCCCCCCGTGAACCGCATGCGCCCACTTTACCCCGGCCTTCCCCCCATGCCTTACCCTTCCCCCATCCCCCGCTCCTTTGCCCCGTCCATCCCCCTTATCCCTTCCTGCCCCTTTCCCCTGTACCACCACTTTATTTCCCCCATTCCCTTTATCTCGCACCACCCCGTCATCCCGCTTCCCCCGTGGCCCCTCTTTGCCACCTCCCTTGACTTCTAACAAGTGCCGTGAGAATCCTGCGTGTGCTGAGGTGGCTGTGCCACGTGTACCATCACTGCCACGTGGCACATCAGCATGTGATGCTGGCGTCATCGGCTCCCATCTGCCTAAACGCGGGTAATGGGCGAACAAGATTCAGGTGGGAGTGAAGGGGCAGGAGAGGAAAGAAGAGGTGAGTAGAGAGTGAATAGTAGAGAGGTGGGATGGGATGGAGAGAGAGAGAGATGGGCTGGAAGGCGGTCGAGTGGGAGGAGGCGGAGTGGAGAGGAGAGTAGAGAGGTGGATGGGGAACAAGAGGGAAAAAGAAGATGAAAAAAGGACGTGGGAGGCTCTGGAGAAAAACCAAGAGTGGCCCCAACCCTTGCGTCTCACTTCCCTTTTCCTTCTATCCCTTGCTTCCCCAAACAAGCACGGCCAGCAATGCCACTGCCACGTCACCTCCCCATCACGCCACGTCACCTGCATGAGTTGACACGTGGCAGCGAGTGCAGCGCCATGGGGGAGAGCCCGAGCACCACAAAGGACGACAGGTTCAGCCGGTAGCTGCTGTACAGAACGAATCCCTGCAGCCCGTGCCCCGTGCTGACGTGGCGCCGCTTGATTGGCAGGGAGAACCGCTCCGCGTCCTCGTTTAAGAGCTTTCCGATGGTCTGGTTAGGGTTGTGGAGGATGAAACGGGCAGTGGGTTGGAGTGTGGAGGGAGAAAATGGGGTTGGTCGTACCTCATCCCTGTCGTGCATCATCCCGGCCGTACCCTATCCCGGTCGTGCGTCATCTAGGTCGTACCTCATCCCGGTCGCATCTATCTAGGTCGTACCTCATCCCCGCCGCACCTATCCAGGTCGTAACTATCTAGGTCGTACCTCTGCCTGAATGCCGTCCGCTCCGCGCCATCGTTGCGTAGCCGCGTTCCACAAACCCCTTCTTTTCTGCCTCGATCGCCATGCCACGTCAGCAGCGGCTCTCGAGAATGGATCCTGATCGTCGTCGTCACTAATACTGGAAATTGGTGACCTAAATGTCAATAGTGGGTGGAGGAAGAGCAACGCGAGGTTGGTTACGGCTAAGATAAGAACCAGATTCCGGCTGCAGTCCCGCTTATGATCGGATCGCGTCGTCGAGCCGCGGCTTCCCAACGGCACCGTCTTCGGCGGCGCATTGGCGCGCCATCTGCTGACATTTCCACGGAGGCCAGAATTCCGAGTCACATGAGCGAACATGTGACTCTAACGACAGTTTCTCCGAGCTTGATAGAGGGATCGTTCAGCGGACAATAATAGTTAAACTCAATAACCAATTCCAGAACAAATGAACCCAGGAAGGATAACTTCTGCCAGTGATCAGAAAAATGAGGAAATACTTTCAGGCTCATGGCCTCATAGCATACGGCGGCTGGATGAAAGAGGTGGCAGGGCAAGCGTGTGCCACTGGCCCATTTGTGGCGGAAGTAACGCATCAGCGTCGCTACGCTTTCTCCATGCGTCGCTAGGAGCAGAACACATTTCTCACGAACACTGGCGACACTGGTAACCAGCAAAACAGCAGCAAACCACCTGGCCGAAAAGTCGCTCCACCAATTCGTCACAACCCAGCTCAACCAGGATTTATACGATCTAGAGCGGTCTTTTTAGTATTCAGAATGGTTGTTTAGAAATTTTGCAAGAACGCCCACCCACAACTGAACCCCGTGCAACAAACAAGAAACGAATGGGCTGGGAAACCTGCTGGCAGGGTGGGGGTGTGTGGAACACGGGTGGGGCGTACAACTCGTCTTGGCAGTGTGGCATGGTATGGAGATGAAACCTGGGTGTAACGTGGAAGCGAGTGATAAGAATCTTTGTAATAAGCAGGACCCTTATCTTCAAAAAACGATTGAAGGGTGATGAGTGATCTTGTAACGAGTTAGTAAGGACTGTAGTTCTTGTGAATCTCTGGGGTGTGAAGTAACGCGTGGCAGGGTTTCAATGGTCGTTGCTGGCACCTGGCACTCACGAGGGTTTTTTCGCTTTGCCTCCCGTAAAGCTGGCTGCTGAAGCCTGAACTTCTATCGACTGGTGACTGGACCTTCAAGGCTACAGTGACCCCTGCTGGAGCACGCACGCTGTGCTGTGCATGTTGAACACGGAGCGCGACCGAAGCAGAATTCTTAAGACCCGCCCATTTATGCTGCCACAGTATTCCGCCCGTGCCCTGAAATACAGTAACTCTGCTCAACAAACTGTGATTTATGCCTGTGGTAATCGAAGGGGTTTTGCCAAATGAGTGTTCCAAGAACATGCACGGGCTGAAAAGTTGTGTTAGGGTACACATGTCTCAAGTTCACAAACTGTGATGGAAATTACTGTAATCCTTCAAATTACAGTACACATGTCCGGACCAATTTCATGATGCACAAGTCACATCAATGGCGAAATCGCGCGCATCGGCGGAAATCGTGTTTGTCTCAAAAGAATCAACCTAAATTGCTCCCCGCTCGCCACGTGGGCGTTTTTCTCAATTGATTCGACCCGCTTTTCCCCCGCCCCCCCACCCCGTTTTTCCCGCCCTTGCCCTCCGAAATTCGGGCACCCGCTAGAATTTCGTGAATTCAAAAAAAGTCACGAATACATCCTTTTTCGTAACGCTAAGATTTCAACATGCGAGCGACATCTGATTGGACAGAACACCTATGACTTCTAATGATAAATCTAGCAGTCATATGGATTATATTAATCATGTGCCACCGCAGTAACATATTTTTTGAATCTATGTAATACGAGTAAATAGTTTTTTTCTAAAAAAAACTAGAAATACAATCACACAAAATATCTACATATTTCAAAAGAGATTTATGTATATCTACCGTGGAGTTATTTTTACTATAAATTTATGAAACTTTACTCTTATTTTTTAAGTTTTCTGGAAAAAGCTTCATGTAGATATATAGAAACATAAAAAACTATAGGTTGATTTGTCATGTGTTTTTTTTGCGCCCCTATCTACATCACTGGGCTAATCCAAAAAATTACGATACAATCAACGTGCATATGATCCTCCTGAGATTGAGAAGCAACCGCCGAAATTATCGATTGCGAAAGCTGATGTGGCATGCCACAACTACATGGTGGATTTGGCATGATGTAAAAAGCATGTATTCGTGACTTTTTGTGATTTCACGAAATTCCAGCGGGTGCCCGAATTTCGGAGGGCAAGGGCGGGACAAACAGGGTGGGGGGGCAGGGGGAAAGGGGGTCGAATCAATTGAGAAAAACGCCCACGTGGCGAGCGGGGAGCAATTCGGGTCGCTTCTTTTAAGACAAACACGATTTCCGCCGATACGCGCGATTTCGCCCACATCAATCGCGTCGTCTCGTCGTCACTATCACTTGCTGTTTTGTTGGGGTTGCCTACTCCCCATTGGGCAAGGACGAGTCCAAATCTTCAACCCTCTCCATCCAGCACATCCGACCCATGTGTGATCGAACGGCCGCAAAGTCATCGCGTAGCGAACAGCGGAAGGGGGGATCCTCAGGCGGCTTTTGACATGGTGGTGTGGTGACGATGACGACACAGGGGGAGAATGATGAACACCCCAACAGGATAGGAATGCGCTCAATCTGGCTTTGCGGCGACTGTGCGTGGAATTCCTCCGCAATGCTCCGCTCTCCAAACAGGATGGATGTTCCACAGCACACCGCCCCCATGCTGTACCGCTTCCCCCGATCAATATTTGAAACACTCCGCCGCAGCTCCGTTCCCTCCCTCGACCCGTTTTTCACCAGCAGCCAGGATCCAGATCATACGGAACGAGGCGCGAGGGATGAGACGTTTGTCTTTTTTCGCATCAAGCAGCAATGCACTACCGTCCAAAGTCTGCTGATGTGGGGCAAACTGCACGAGGCGGTGGAGGGCGGATGCTCCAAAAGGGTTTCCCGGCGTCCACAGTGACACAACTCCCCTGACCATGCAAAGCTCATCAAGCGAAGAAGCGATCCCTCGACTCCATTTCCGCGCCCGTGGTCGTCGCAAGTGCGGAAACGAAACCGCGTCGCGAGGTTGGGTGGTGGTGGAAAGCTGAGCTCAGCGGGGGACGGCCGTGGCGCCACGGCCTACGTGTACCAGGGCGCAGGGGGGGGATGGTGTGGCGGGGAAAGAACACAAACACCCCAACCATCGGGGCAAAGGGAACATCCACAACTTCGAGGTGCGCCAGCGACGGAACAGTCGAGTGTCGAAACAGGCAGAGCGCACAGAGCAGCAGGAGCTGCAGAAATTTGTAGTGCGGAACTTCTTTCCCCCCCCTCCCCCCAAACCAGCCCGAATGCGGGTGTTGTACAGTAAGGTACAGTGCTGGATGGCAAACACAAATCCAACATCGATGAGTGGAACGGGCAGCTGGTGGAACAAACGAGCGGAGCGAATGGGCAAGCACCACCAGTCCCCTCCCCTCCCCAGCCAAAGATACACGGGGTGGGGGAAAGGGTGGCGGAGCGAGCGCAGGGATGCATGTGGCGGGAGGGATGGTCCAAAGGGAAGACGAAAACTGGTCGAGGGGTTGAAGTGAGCGGATTGAGCGACGCAGATTGATGAAAAGCGAAGCGAGGCGAGGCGAGGCGGGGAAAGGGAAAGGAGAGAGCAGACAGCAACGCGAAGGAGGAGAGAGCGAAGCCGAGCATAGCCGAGCCAAGGGGAGTGGCCATCTGGAAGTTGGGCTTGGCTTGTCTTGCCTTTCTCCCCCCTGACTGATTCCGGAATAACTGGCTTTCAGGGAGGGAAAAGGCAAAGCTCAGATTGAAGCTGCTGGTAATAAACAAGTACAACAGGCACAGTCATAAGTCACAACCAGAATTACAGTACACCTCAGAGAAGCAATCAGCAATTCCAGAACTCACCAGGCCTTGCACTTAGGCCAATCATCCCGCAACTGCCATGTCATGGCAGTAAAATTCAAAAATGCATCTGCCGTGTTAGCTAGATCGCCAGTACCAGCAGTGCGACCGTACGAGTTTTTAATGTGCGGTTTATTAATTTGTTGACCGCATCGCTTTTAATCCTTCCTCATGCACTAGCAACCCCTCTTCCCGCAGTTCTTTTCTTGTACTAGACGTAAACCTCTAGTAGATCCTTAATCTCCGTTCACATCCGTTTATTCCTAGCTCCTTATACATTTCCGCGCTTCTCCTCTCCATTTCTTAGGCTTCAGACGTAGTAGCTGATCCAATTTCTACCTCGTCCCACCACCATCTTCTTGCTAAAATGGCGTCGATTCGCGTCGAATCCTCTCGAGCGAGCAAATCGGAGAAGCCAGCAACGATTGCGACAAAATCCCCTGGACGACCGCGAGCGAATCGCGTCGCCGTATCAAAGAATCGGCCACCGCTGCCCGTCGCGTTGGCGCCTGGCGCTCCACCAGCTAAAAACCCAGCGATCGTTGCGAAGACACCGGAAATCCCGGCGGGCGGGGGGGGAGAGACGAAGCGCGTCCGCACCGCAAAGCGGGAGCGGCCCTCGGCAACGGCTAATGGCGCATCGGCGAGCGGCAAGAAGCACGTGAAAGAGCCGACGACGACCACGGCGATTACGACAACGGCGACGACGATGACGACACAGAAGGCGACGGTTTCGAAGGGAAACAGCGAACCGTCGGCAGCAGCCACGAGTGTCAAAGGGAAGACGCCTCTTACTAAAGCGCAGGGCAAACGGCCTCTTGAAGAATCGCCCGCGGAGACAAAGGCCCAAGCCGCGCGCTGTTCAAAGGTTACGAAGGATCCGGCGACAAAGCTACCAGCGACGAAGCAGCCAGCGACGAAGCAACCAGCGACAAAGCCGTCGGCGACAAAGCTATCAGCGAAGAAGGAGCAGGCGACGAAGCAGCAGGCGACAAAACAGCAGGCGACGAAGCAGCAGACGATGAAGCAGCCGGCGACAAAGCAGCCTGCGACAAAGGAGCAGGCGACGAAGGAGCAAGTCGCGAAGCAGGGACCGTCGTCGTCGTCGTCGCCACCGTGTCAATCGGCTCAAGACCGATCCAAGATCTTGAAAGCAGTACGTCTCTTTGACTGCCATTCACCACCCGCCGCCATTGATTCATCATGAATCCAGGAATTATCTTCCGCCGGTTCCCGCCTTAGCGAATTTTGTTGGTGACCGCCATGTCTCGAATCCCCTAATCAGATTTTGATGTAAGATCTTCCTCCCGTGCCGTAAAGGCCGCGCCACTGCCGTTGCCTCAGTAACGTCATCCTCGCCAGTTTGACGGATAGACAGGAACAGCCTAAAGCAGCGCACTAGTAGCCGGTGTCGTCTCTCCGTCATCTCTAGACCGTGACCTGGCGGATTGCATTAGCACTGCCGTCACGGTCGCCGTCGTCAACGTCGGTTATGCTTCCGGTCCGCTCAGATACGTTTCGAAAGCCACTTTATTCCAAGTGGTTTACACGAGTAGTACCGTCGTCATGGTCGCGGACTATAGAATCGCACAGTCAGTCGTTGGAGCTCTGGCACAATCGCTGCTGGTCTCACGTACGAGGAACTAGAATTCCCTTCTTGATCCGTACAGGAAACATATATGTCACGACTCTCGTTAGCTCGACGGACCTCGGAAGTCGAAACGACTAAGTCAACTGACAGATGCGCCACCAGGACTGACTGAAATAGAGTCGAAACGACGGATTGAGTCGCTGAGCTCCCTGCTTGGCTTTTTCCTCTAGATCTGGCACTCCGCCTAGTCCCGCTGCTCTGCGTATCTCTGGCGTCGGTCCGTCACTGCGTCGTACTTTATGCTTCAACTGATCAGCCATTTCTTGCACTTTGTCCCGTCGCCGTCGCACGGGCTACTGAACACGGCGAAGCGGCAGCTCATTTTTTTAACGTGCCATTCGTTTCCCTCACTTGTCTTGCCCCGTGGCAGGCGCTGCTGAACATGGCGAAGCGGCAGCCCAAGAGCCCCGAGGTGCATTTCTTCCTCGCGCTGCACTTTCTCCGCGAGCACCAACCCGCCAAGGTACGCGCGCGCGCGCGCACGCGTCCGCGGAGTATGAGCGGACGATTGGTGAAGTGGCGAGGCTTTCCCGCAAAGATTCCCTGACTTGCACGCGCGGCTTTCTGGCAGGCTTCTGTCCGCAATTTCGTACGCGCGCGTTTCCGCGATTCGCAAACGCATGCGTGCGCGCAAGCTCCGCCTGCTGTCCGCCAGGGTGCGCGCGAAAGGTTCCGCGAGCACCAATTTCCCAAGCGATGCGCGCTATTCCACTGGCGATTTTCTCTCGCGGACACAATCCATCCACGAAATGTGATGGCGGTAGCAAATGCTTGCTATTCCGTCACCAAGGGAGTGGATATCGTAGAAAACGTATACATTCGTGTTTTGGATTTTTTTTTCCCTTCGAGGCGTTGAGCGCATTTGAAGCCGCAATGGCAGCAGCATAGGCGTTGCCAGAGGAGACAGATGTTGTACCCCATATGTGCGTGTCTGCATTTTTCCACATCCTCCCTCTTTTTTAAGCTAAATTTCCTGTCCTTGCCCTTGCTTCTTCACTTTCTCGGCCAGGCGTTGAGCGCGTTTGAGGCCGCAGCAGCAGCAGTGGCAGCGCTGCCGGAGGAGAGGATGTCTCAGCCCAGGAGAGACCTGCACTCTGCCGCTCACCGCCACATGGCGCAGGTCTGTTGGTTGGCTTTCGTTTGCATCCGTCGCACCGCATGGATCTTGTGGCACCTAGCGCCGTTTCTTTCTAACTATTTCTGAAGTAGTCCAATGGCTGGTCCCTCTCTGCCCTATGTGTGCTTTTCGTTTGAAAAGGTTTTCATCAACCCCACATCTCTTCCCGTCTCTTGCCCCCGTGCGTGCCTGCCCCGCTGCAGTGTCATCTAGAACTGGCTATGCTCGCTGCCCCTGCTGCTGCTGACGCTGACCACCACCATCATCACCATCATCACCAGCACCTCAATACTTCGCTGCAGCAGCAACATCAGCAGAAGCAGCAGAAGCAGCATCAGCAGAATCATCAGCAGCAGCAGCAACAACAGCATACAGCACATGCAAACGATGCTGACGTGGCTGGTGGTGCCACTGTCACTGGGCACAAGCAAAGCAGCTCCAAGGCGCAAGGCAAAGCACAGGGGAAAGATCAGGCGAACACACAGGAAAAATCTCAGGGAAAGGTACAGGCAAAAGTGCAGCTCAAGGGGCCGAGGAGGGGAGTGAAGAAGCAGGAGGAAACACAAAAGAAGGGGGAGAAGCGGGGAAAGCGAGCGAGGGAGAAGGAAGGGGCAGGGCTTAGTTGCCATATAAAAATGCATGGAGAGGAGCGGAGCCTGCCTGACATAGCCCCGGGGGGTGGTAATAATACTGAGAAGAGGAAGTTTGAGGGGGAGGGAGAGGAAGAGTGCGGTACGGATGGGTTGGATGGGTTACTCGGACTGGCTGGGTTGGCGGAGGAGGAAGTGGAGGGGAGGGAGGCGAAGCGAGTGTGCAGTGCTCTGGACATGTTTGCTGCTGTGGCTGACCTTGAACTGAGGAGGGAGGAGAGGTTGAGGGAGGAGGCGGCATGCAAGTTGCGTGAAGAGAGTTTGGAACAGGCGGGTGAGGTTAAGGGTGAGGGTGAGAGGGAGGGTGAATGGGAGCTGAAGCAGGAGGGGGAGGGGCAGGGTGAAGGGGAAGGTGAGGGGGAGAGGAAGCGGAGGCGGAGTGTTTTTCCCAAGCAAGAAGAGTGTGGGGTAGAGATGGAAGGGGAGGTAGAGGGGGAAGGTGCTGGTGTGCAGATGGGTGGAGAGGTGCGGGTGGAGGTGGGATGCGGTGGAGATATGTTTGAAGGTAAATGTGACGATGCAGACGGGGTTGGATGGGAGGAAGCGCATGTGGCAGAAGGGACTGCGAGGGAAGAGGAAAGAGAGAAAGGGGAATGGGGTGGGGCGGTTGAGGAGGAAGGGGGGGAGGAGGGGGAGGAGGAAGAAGAGAAGGAGCAGGAGGAAGATACGGTGATTCGCAATGTGATTCGCCATTTGACTCTGGCCGCTGCAAGCGATCCGTCTGCTGCTGCCACTGGTGCTGCTGCTTCTGCGAATGCTGCTGCTGCTGCTGCTGCTGGTGATCCAGGTGCTACTGTTGATGCTCCGATTGGCACCGCTATGGAGGCTACGGACGTTGCAGAGCAGTCACTGGGAATACCACCTGCTGCTGCTGCTTCTCCGCCCGGCGTCGCCATTGCTGCGATTGACGGGAGCAACTGCAGTGGTGCTGGTGATGATGGTGCTGCTGGTGCTGGTACTGCTGGTAACCACCTGGAGGAGCAGCAAGTGGGGGAATCCCCAGCAGGAGGAGAGGGAGCTGAGCTTACCCCATGCTCTGGTGACGTTGAAGGCAGTGGAGCTCTGGATGCGACTGGGGCTCTGAAGAAAGCAGCGGAAAGAGGGGGGATGGCTGCCACCAATCACCTCGCTGTCATGCTCCTGCTGTATGGGCGAACAGAGGTGCGTGCATTGTGCAGCGTGTATGGACGCTGTTTTATTCGTTAGTCAACATCTCAATCAGCTCAAGCAAAAAGCCATCCATCCATCCATCTGTTGCAGAAAGCCATTGAAGTCCAATCAGTGCAGTTGGCATGCTTCGCCATAGGCACAAGTGGTGATGTTGCTGGCAGCATTCGAGATGTCTTGAAGCCCCTTCTCTCCATGGCCCTCTGGCTTGTGCCTTGCAGAATGCCCTCGAAGTTCTGTCACAACAGCTGGCAAGCGTTGAAGCTGGCACAGGCAGTGACGGTGTTCGCAGCACTGTCAGCACAGCAAGCCCTACCGCTCCCGTTGACACAGACACTCTCGCCAACCTAGGAGCTGCCCTGCTGCATGTGTAAGTGTCTTCCTGTGCCGTCTTTCTGTCCTGCTGCATCTGTAGACTGTATGTGTCTTTGTGTGATGCATGTGTGTAGCATCTGAGCCGTTTCTGTCCTGTCCTCTTCACGCCTGCTCGCCTTCCCTGAAAAAGGTTTCCACCTGCCTGCTTCCCTGTTCTTCGTTGTTTCAGGGGGAGGTACGAGCAGGCTGCGGCATGCCTGCAGGCAGTGCTGCAGAGGGAGCCGCAGCACCCTGCTGCTCTCTGCTCCTACTCCGCCTTGCTGCTTGCCACACAGCGGCACCACAGCAGAGGACCCAGCCATTTGTGGCAGCAGGAGCAATTGCAGCAGCGGCAAGACGAAGAGGAGGGTACTGTGGTTGTTGGTGCTGTGACTGATGTGACGAAGACAGAAGGAGGGGTGTTGACTCCAACGGGAGCAGCAACGGGCACAGCAGGAGGAGAGGCAAGCACAGAGGAAGGAGATGGAACTGTAGCAGTATCAGCGGCTGCAGTAGACGCAGCAGGGGTGTCAGCGCAGCAGTGTGCAGCAGCAGCAGTGCAGCTGCTACCGAGTTGTGCCTTCCTGTGGTGCAACCTTGCCCACGCCGCCACCCGCACAGGCAGCTGGAAGCAGGCCGCAAAATGCATGACCCAGGTACCCTTTTGGCATTGCTTTTACCCTTCCTTCTTCTTTCTTCCTTTCAGCATCTTGTTCTCTCCGGTACGAGGGGGTGACCTCCGCGGTCGTGTTGTTTTGGTTGATGCTAAGCCTGGCCGTGCTGGTTTGATTGGATTTGATTCGATTCTATGCAGGCTTTGAAGCTGCAGCCATCCAGTGCGCCTCTGCGCTTCGCAGCAGCGGCCCACCGCATCGCCACTGCTACCGCTGCCCCTCTGCCTCTCGCCCTCGCCTCCCAGCACATCCGCTGCGGCGTTGCAGAGATGGCAGATGCGGTGGGACTTCCGGAACTGGCTTATAGGTCAAATGGTGATGGTTCTGCGATCGTGTTTGGATCTCGTGCTGCTGCCGGTGCTGCTGGTGGTGATGCAGTTGGTGCTGCTGCTGGTGCTGCTGGTGCTGCTGGTGCTGGTGGTGCCTTAGGTGGTCGTGGTCGCAAATGCATGCTGGGCCATGTGCCTGAGTGGATGGCGTGGGATGCAGTCGCTCATGCACACGCAGCCCTTGAATGGAGAGCGCTCCGGGAGATTGTGACTAAATCGGGCGCGTTTGTGGTGGAAGAGGAGGCGCGGTTGACTGTAACAGGGTGTTCTGACGGAGGGAGTGCACAGGAGGGGTTGGGGGTTGAGGGGGAGTTTGAGAGGGGGGAGACAGGAAATCGGTTTGTGGCGCTGGTTGGTGTGGCCTCAGGGGGTGAGGGTGGGGATGGGAAGGAGGACGAGGAGAAGAGGTGCCAAGAAGAGGAGGAGGAGGGATTTGGGAGCGGGGATGGGAATGGGAGTGGGGAGGTGGTAGACCAGGAGCTGGCATGTGTAGTGGTGCAGGCAGAGGAACTAAAGATTGCAGCGTGGAAGAAACAGGTGAGAGCAAGAGCGAGAGAGAGGGGCTGCAGAGTAGGCGGCCAGTTACGTTTTTCTCCGCAGGTGCATGAGAGCCTTTGTTGCCGCAGCAGAATGGCCTTCTTTACCATCTCATCCTCTAATCCCGTACTCTCCCGTCCTGCCTTCCTGTCACACGTTTCGTTGCCACTGATTCTGCAGTTTTGCATTTTTTTTGCCCTTACCCTCGTCCGTCCCCCCTCCCTCCTTTGCTGCGTCCAGTCGCTGATGGCAGCAGCAGGGCTGGGAACTGGAGCCCATCAGCTGGGCGTGCATGCACTGCACTCTGCCATTCCCTCACTTGGTTCTGACATGGGAGATGGCACCACAATGGGCGGTGCTGCTGTGGGGATGGGAGATGCTACTGGTACAATTGAGCTGTCTTCCACGGGGCACTTTGCTGCTGCTCGCTCGCACTTCCTCAGAGCTCTCTCACGCCACCAGCAATCCGCTGCCACGTGGACCTCCCTTGGTGAGTCACAGTCACGTGGATTTCTTTGTGCCCAGCTTTGTCATAAGTTAGAAAGCCTCTGCTTCAAGTTTCTGAGATGTCTCAAACACGACTGAGTCCCTCTTTTCCCGTTTCCCTATGCAGGCCTGTGCCTCCAGCTTTCCGGCCGTCTAGACGAATCTGAAGCAGCATATACCCGCGCACTGCACTGCCAATCATTGCTGCCTCCTCACCACTCCACCGACCCATCTTCTCCTCCTCCTCCTCCCCCTCCTCCTCCTGCATCTGCTCCCCACGTGACCTGTTCCAACCTCTCCCTCCTCCTGCGGGCCCAGGGCCGACTCTCTGATGCCCTCTCAGCAGCACACAACGCGCTCCTCCTCGCCCCCGCGCACGGCCCCTCCCTCTGCAGCTTCGCCCTGCTCTCTGCCGCTGCTGGCCGCTGGAACGATGCCGTGGACGCGTTTCAGCGGGCAAGAGAGGTTTTGGGAGGAGTTCGGGGAGGTGTACAGAGAGGTGAGGTGGTGGGGGAGGGTGAGGGGGAGATGGAGGGACGGGGTGAGGTGGGAGAGGAGTGTGGGACTGGTGTTGGTGAGGTGGTGGGAGTGGGTGAGGCGGTCAGAGAGGCTGTGAGGGTGAATCTGCAGGTGGCTTTGAAATGGCAAGCACGGGCTGAGGAGGAAAGGCACAAGGTTGAGAGAAAAAGGCAGGAGAGGGAGAGGAAAAGGCAGGAAAAGGAGGAGCGGGAGAGGCAAAAGGCCGAGAGGTTGGCAAGGAAGGAAGCTAAACGGGTTCGGAAACAGGAGAGGCTGGAAAGGCGGGCAAAGAAGGAGCAGGAGAGGAGAGAAAGGGCGGAAAAGCGGGAGGCGAGGAGATTGCGGAGAGAGCGGAGGAGGCATGAGCAAGAAGCGCTGCTGCGGAGCAAACAGGCGCAGCCGAAGCTTCAGCCTGCAGCTCCTTCCGAGCCTCTTGATTCCTTGGGTGCTTCTTCTGCTGCTGCTCCTACTGTCATTCCTGCTGCCGTCCCTGCAGCTGTGTCTTCTCCTGCTGCTTCCCCTGCTGCTTCTCCAGCTGCTGCGGCTGCCGCAGCCTCAAATGCTGCTGTTCCCAAGGCAGCGCTTATGGATCTGAATGAGATGTGCGACGATGAACCAGACGCTCCCTCCTTGGGCACAATACCTGCCGAAGCTGCTGCACGTGGTCCTGAGAATCCAAAGAATCATGAGGATGCCGCTGCTGCCGCCTTGCATCTGCGGGAGGTGCAAGGAGCAGCGGTGGCAGTTACGGGCGAACCAGCTGGGGGAGTTCCCCACCAGATTGCTGCTCCCAAGGCAGCGTCTCAGAGCAAGGACTACCAGTCCTTTGCACACAACGTTGCTGCGTCTGGATTCTCCTGGGAGGTGTTTAAGCTCCCACGGCCTGTCACGCTTCCGTCGAATGGTGCCACGCTCCCTGCTGCTGCCACCGCCATGCCTCCTTTCAACTCAGGGCCTAACAGTCACCAGCAGCAGCAGCTCCCGCAGCACTGGCAGCACCAGCTGCAGCAACCACATCAGGCTTGGCACGGGCGGCAGCAACAGCAGCAGCAGCAGCATCAGCAGCAGCAACAGCAGCAGCAGCATCAGCAGCAGCAACAGCAGCAGCAGCAGCAACAGCAGCAAGTGGCGCATAGATCCAGCCATGCTTTGGGTGGGATTCAGCAACTGAGTCATGTGCTTGAGGCTGAAAAGAGGAAGCAGGAGGCTAATGGGACCCCTCAGATTCTTGGATCAGTATTGGACGCGTCCAAGGGTAAGGAGGCTGGGAAGGCAGCCAGTGGTTCAGTTCAGGGCCTGCATATCCCAGGCAGGTTGAATGGTACTGTGCTGAGTGTTTTAAGAAGGCATTGCGAGGCGAATGGGCGGAAGGAGATGGTTGGTGCGGTAGCAGAGAGGGTCTCTCAGAATGGTGCTGGTGAAATCCCTGCCGCTGCTGCTGCTGCTGCTGCTGCTGGCGCTGCCACTGCTACTAATGCCACCAATGGCACCAGTGGCACTTGGCATCCAACATCTGGTCACAGGAATGGGATGATAGAAGCAGCACAAATGGCTGTGAAGTCCTCAGCCAACCCAACATGGCTGAATTCACCCAACTCTGCGCTACCCCTCGCCAACTCAGCAATGGCCAATGCATCTTCAGGTGCCAGCATGACGCCGAAGCGGAGAGTTCTGCTGGACTTGGAAATGCCAGCTTGTGAGCTCTCAGAAACAGAGAGCGGAGGGAACACTCCTCTGGGAGCAAGCACTCCTTGCAGTAATTTCCCTGGCGGAGGTAATGCACTTGCCGGTGGGAACGGTTTTATTGGAAGTGGTAATGCAGCAGCAGGCCAAGTGGGTGGAGTTAGGTCACAACAACCAGAGGCTGGTGTATTGGAGCATGCTGCTGAGCGTGCAGTGAATGGGTTCCACATGGCACCGCGCAGTGCAGGAGGCAGGGATGCAGGGTCGGATCGGAACCGTCTTCCGGACCTCAATGATTGGCTGACGGCATCTTGAAAATTTCATCATGATTGACCGGCATAACAGCCAGGGTTGACATGATTTTCCATGCTGCTGTATAGTGAAGGTTGGTGTCAGGTCTTTGAATTACATGCCATGTACTCTGACACCATAGTGAAAATTTTATGACAGCTGGTTGGTTGTCAACTTGTCATCTTGTACCAACTCCAACAATTATGACTTGCAGTCAATTCAGCTGACATTGAGCAGATCCATTTTATGCTGGCAGAAAGAATCCAGTGGGTCCCTTGCTTGTTTATGCTGTTGAAATATGCTCGCTCTGTTATGAAAAATGCAGTCTCCCTGCAATGTGCACAATTATCAGTCGCAACCTAGAGAGCTGGTAGTATGCATTAGCTGAAATAGGGAAGCCCCACTTTGTCTATGTGCTGTGTAGGTCACCCGTAGGGAAAGAGATAGTAACCCAAATCCTCAAATTCCATGACTTGTAGGATGCGAGATCTAGTGCAGGTAGCCAGGCATCTTGATACGCAGGAACACCATGCTCATGGTGTAGCTCATAACCACCATGGACAGCCCAGTACCCAGATACACCAGCCGCATGTTCTTCGTCTGCAGCTTGTCGCAAGCCCAGTCGATCAAGACAATCCCAAGGCCTCCCATCACGAGCATAAATCCGGACGAAAGGCCTTCGATAATGTACTGCTGGTTCAATCTTCCCGCCATAATGACCTCGGGAACGAATTTTCCCGTGGCTTCGTCCTGATGGCCGCCGATGCCGGGAGGCTCGACAATCATATCGAAGACGATTCCGGAGACGACGAGGAAATAGCTGAAAACTACGAAGCAGTAGACGACCATAGGATTGGGGAAGGAGAAAGTCGGGAGCTTTAGGCGGAGCTTCGGCGGGCGAAGAATGGCGTAGGGAAGGCTGGTCAGGTGGAAGAACGGGTCTAGGGACGCCATGGCGACTGATGCCGTCAAGTAACAAATCACGAGGACCTCAGCTAAAATGCCTGGGCTGAATTGGGTAGACTCAAAGGGATGAAGTGGGAATGGAAGAAAGGGGGGGGGAGGGGGGAGATCTTGGAGTTGCCGAACACAAATCCCCGCTACACCGTACTGTTCGAAAAATACGATGAAACGTGTACATCCGAATTCGTTATCACTGATGTGATCATGTGTTCACCCATGTTTTACAGTACAGGTGTTATATTTGGCCCTTGCTCTAAGATAGCAGCAATTGCAGCTGGTGGCTTCACTTCAATCAGCAATACATTTACAATGAAAAACGCACAAACCAAACAAACCATATCTAGAAATGTACAACAAGGCTATTTGCTGCCATGTGGAAAACATCTTATTTATTGGCAATCATCGAGTTTGCAGCGAGCCGTGTCACGGGGATCTTGGGTCGCTTGAAAAGCTCGTGGAAGACGGTCCGTTGCTGACATTGAACGTGGAGAGGTGGTGATGATGCTCTGGCCGATGTGACACCTCGTAATCCAAATGAACAAACGCTCTCTCAATCTCCGGCAACCGCTCCAGCTTGTTCTGAAGCGCCTCGCCAACATCATGTGCCATTCATAGGGATGACCTAGTTTGCAACAAGTGACTGCATCACGGAGACCTCGGATCGCTGGAAAGGCTATTGGCCGAGGGTCCATCACCGACATTGAACGTGGAGAGGTGGTGATGATGCTCTGGCCGATGTGACACCTCGTAATCCAAATGAACAAACGCTCTTTCAATCTCTGGTAACCGCTCCAGCTTGTTCTGTAGCGCCTCGCCAATGTCATGCGCCTCCTGGGAAAACCATGAGCGTGATTGAGAGTCAAGCCATAATGTGGCATCGAGGAGAAAAATAGAGGGAGATGTGCCAGGCGCGTATCATCATTCGGGGTATAAACCACGGAAAGAGAATTGGGAACAACGAGAGGCATGAAAACATTCATAGCAGTACCTTAAGCAGCATTACAAAATAGAATCAGTGGTGTACCTTGAGCGGCATGTCTTCTGGCAATACAACATCCACTTCAGTGAAATAGGACGCGCCAAACGTATACGCCCGCACGGTATCAATGGCCAGGATCGCCCGGTGGTGTCATCGTGCAGCATTCCCAGAAGTAAATCACGGGCGTACCTTCAGCGGCATGTCTTCAGGCAGCACAACGTCCACTTCAGTGAAATAGGACGCGCCAAACGTGTATGCCCGCACGGTATCAATGGCCAGGATCGCCCGGTGGTGGTTCCAGCACAGGTACGTGAGCTTCTGCAGGAAGGCGGGTGGTGCCGTTCGTCCCGTTAGAGAGCGCACGTTCTCCCGCACAGTGTTGCCCCAGTTGAACATGGTGTACAGGGCGAGCTGCATTGGAGCAGGGGGGAGGGAAAGGGGAGACGGTGGGGGGCATCTTGAGTTAACTGAACAGTCAAGGAGCGCACGTTCTCCCGCACGGAGTTGCCCCAGTTGAACATGGTGTACAGGGCGAGCTGCATTGGAGCAGGGGGGAGGGAAAGGGGAGACGGTGGGGGGCATCTTGAGTTAACTGAACAGTCAAGGAGCGCACGTTCTCCCGCACGGAGTTGCCCCAGTTGAACATGGTGTACAGGGCGAGCTGGGGGGTGGGGAGGGAGGGAGGTGTGGTTGGGGGAAGGGGTGGTGCGATGGCCTTTGAATTGGACTCGGCAGTCAAGCAGCGCACGTTCTCGCGCACGGTGTTGCCCCAGTTGAACATGGTGTACAGGGCGAGCTGGGGAAGGAGGAAGGGGTGGAGGGGAGCGAGGGGGAGGGGGAAGGGGTGGAGGGGAGCGAGGGGGAGGGGGAAGGGGTGGAGGGGAGCGAGGGGGAGGGGGAAGGGGTGGAGGGGAACGGGGGGCTTGGGGGAGGGAGGGCACGTTGTTCTAAGCTAAATCAACAGTCAGGGAGCGCACGTTCTCGTCCACGGGGTTGCCCCAGTTGAACATGGTGTAGAGGACGAGCTGGTGGGTGGCAGGTGGAGTGAGGGAAAGCCAGGGGGTTCAACCAGCAATCTCGAGGCCCGCTGTGGAAGTAGTTAGGGAGCCGAGCAGGATAAGCTGGGGATTAATGAAGGATCAATAAGATGAGGAAAGATGAGGAGCAGCTGATAGGGGTACGAGAGAGAAGAGGAGAGTGGGAGGGACGGACGTATGAAGATGGCTGCAACAGGGTCGATCCACCAGGCATACTCCCCCGCCAGCACTGCTGCTGCGAGGCTGCTTTTGAGTCGACTCAAGACGAGGAGTAGCAAGGATAAAGGGAGAAGAGAGTAGAGGAGAGAAGGGGTGCGGGACGTACGAAGATGGCTCCAACAGGGTCGATCCACCAGGCATATTCCCCTGCCAGCACTGCTGCCATCAGGCCCACTGTGTTGGTTACCACATCCATCATGTGATCCTGGTGGGAAGATGCAAGTGATGCGTCATGGGAGGTGGGGGTGGTATGTGTGTGTGTGGTAAGATAAGGGGCAGTGCACCGCTCCTGCTGCTCCGAGGCCCACGGTGCTGGTTACCACATCCATCATGTGATCCTGGTGGGCGGGTGAGTGCATGGGGTGGGGAGTCAGCAACATAAAATAGGTGTCACATGTAGCTCTTGTTGCTGCACGTGTTGGTACAAAGAGCAGAGGCCTCTCAAATTGTGTCACGTCGAATGCGGAAACACACGCACGCGCGCGCGCGCACACACACACACACACACACACTCAGGAAAAGTTTGGCTTTCTCTGAGAGTAGTTTTCTCTTTCAGTTTCCTCTATTCCTTTCAAGGTTCTTGCAAAGATGGTGAAAAATACTACATATGGGGTGGAACATGGAACTCACGAGAGCATAGGCCTGAACAGTATTGTCTGAGAAGAGGCGGCAGTAGAGGAAGAGGATGAACTTGGTGAGAATGAGGTGCTTCCTTCATACATGGGGACACATACAGCACGCACAATGGCACATGGGCCTCACGAGAGCGTATGCTTGAACAATGTCATCGGAGAAGAGGCGGCAGTAGAGGAAGAGGATGAACTTGGTGAGAATGACCAGCAACATGATGCCCACATACACTTGCCACTTCTCGCCCAGGCCTGCTGAGTGGCTCTGATGGGGTGAATGGGAGGTGGTTGGGGGTAAGGGGCATGGGGCAGGCAGCACGCAGGGGGCATGGGGCAAGCAGTAGAGGAAGAGGATGAGCTAACCCCATCATGCCCACATACACTTCCCACTTCTCCCCTAGGCCTGCTGAGTGGCTCTGATGGGAGAGTGGAGGGTGCGCGGCAGGATGATACATGGGTAGAGCTCCTCATAAGAACAGGCCTGTATGAGCCACATGCACCCGCCGCTCTCCCCGCATTTCCCTCTCCTCTCCCCCCCTCCCCCCACCACTCACTTCGACTGCGAATCACCCAGCCAATAAATCATAGAGCCCGCAACTCACCGAGCCTGCATCCCACCGAGCCTGCAACTCACCGGGCCTGCGACTCACCGGGCCTGCGACTCACCGAGCCTGCAACTCACCGAGCCTGCAATTCACCGAGCCTGCATCTCACCGGGCCTGCGACTCACCGAGTCTGTGAGCTTGCGAACTGCTTCAAGAAGGATCTGAAATCCGAGAGATGCCATGATGCATGCAAACACTATGATGCCCTGTGGGGGGTAAGAGAGGGGGTGGAAAGGGGGGGTTGAGGTTTGGTATGGGACGGTGGGGTAAGATGGGAGGGGGTTGGGGAGGGGCTCTGGGATCCGAGGGATGCCATGATGCATGCAAACACTATGGTGCCAGTGGATAACGTAACAATGGCTGCATGCGCCTCTTCCCAATGGGGTACTTGTAGGGGTTGGTACAGCACATGGTGCGGGCTGTGTACCAGAGGATGAATGAAGGCACACAGCAGGTCCAACAGCAATGCAGTGCGGCACAAAATGGCCAGTTTGGTGCGGTCCTGTGCGGTGCCATGTGGTGCCAGTGGACAACGTACCAATGGCTGCATCCTGCGTTTCCCAATGGGGTACTTGTAGGGGTTGGTACAGCACATGGTGCGGGCTGTGTACCAGAGGATGAATGAAGGCACACGGCAGGTCCAACAGCAAAGACAGGGAAGGCAGGGGAAGACAGCGCGGTGCAGATCGGTGCTAACAGAAAGCTTACCAGGGGCTGCATACGGCGCTTCCCAATAGGGTATTTGTAGGGGTTGGTGCGGCGCATGGTGCGCGCGGTATATCAAAGAATGAACCCGCACAGCAGGTCCAACAGCGAGTTGAGCGTTGACGCGAGGATGGTGAGACTGCCGCTGACAATGGAAGCGATGATCTTGACAATGAAGAGGCACACGCACACTCACCAGTGGCTGCATGCGCCTCTTCCCAATGGGGTACTTGTAGGGGTTGGTACGGCGCATAGTACGAGCTGTATACCAGAGGATGAACCCACACAGCAGGTCCAACAGCGAGTCGAGAGTTGAAGCCAGGATGGCGAGGCTGCCGCTGACAATGGAAGCGATGATCTTGACAATGAAGAGGCACACGTTGGCGCCGTTGGATATCTGCACCGCCATGAACTCGTTCCGGTGCTGCCGCCGCGCCTCCCTCACCTCCTGCCAACGCACCACCAACGGAGAGGAGAGGAGAACAAACAAGGAAAAAACGGGAAATCCAGAGTCTCTTTCCTATTTCATTTGTCACACGCAAGACGGGCAAACAAGTTGGTAGCCTGATGCAAGCTAGTGGTGCAAGTTTCTGGTTGCAGGTGATGCAACGTACGAAGGGAGTGGGCGGCAGCAGCTGCTCACTGAGCGCGTCCATCTCACTGAATCCGTCACTGAGTTGACGCTGAGTGCATTAAATGATAAAAAGCCGGTGCAAAGCGGTGCACAGCGGTGAAAATGGGTGCACATTGATGCAAAGCGGTGCAAGGCGTTCACAGCACGTGGAGCTTACACTGGGAGTGGGCGGCAGCAGCTGCTCACTAAGCGCGTCCATCTCACTGAAACCGTCAATCATCTCGTTCTGCTGCCGGTAATACCCGTCCACAGGGTTCCGCCCCGCCACTGCAGCGCGCGCGCGCGGGAAATATGGGGGCGAGGGGAGGGGAAAGGTGGGGGAGAGGAAGGGCGCGGCAGGAGGCAGTAGACACAGATGTGCGGGGGGGGGGGTACTACCCATCTCACTGAATCCGTCAATCATCTCGTTCTGCTGCCGATAGTATCCGTCCACGGGGTTCCGCCCCGCCACTGCCGCGCGCGATAACAGGGAGAAACGGGGGGGAAATGGGGGCGGCAAAATGCAGGAAACCCTCACGTGTGGGTACTACCCATGTCAATGAATCTGTCAATCATCTCGTTCTGCTGCCGATAGTATCCGTCCACGGGGTTACGCCCCGCCACTGCAACGCGCGTGCGCGGGGAGAAGTGGAGGGGAAAATGCGCGCGGCAGAGGCGCGCGTGCGCGAAAAGGGAGAATCGCAGAAAGCGGGAGCGGAGTGGGGGAAGAGGAACAGGATATGCTCTTCTAACGGAAAGCAGAAGCAGACCGCGGCGCCTTTAGAATACATGCTCCGCTTAAGGCGGTGTGCATCTCTTTGAACCGGTGGAGAAAAAACAACGACGAAATATCGGTGTTACTTTTGAAATTTCTCAAAAGCAACACGAAAAAACGACAGCAAAATAAGGGGGGGTTCAACCGCCGAACCTCCTAGGGCAAGCGTTAGCTCGCAGCAGCGCAACTCACGTCGCTTGAGTATTCGCGGCAGTCGGCCGTGTCCGTCGTCGAGGTCGCGTCGTGCCGCCTCGAATTGGCTGTAGTCCAGCTGCCACTCCTCGCGCTCCCGCTGACTCCCCGTGCGGCTCATCGACTCGAGCGAAATTCCCTCCGACGATGCGTCATCCGCCGACGTTTGCTCGTTCAATTCCCTGGATCCGCCGCCTCTTCCCCCGCCTCTTCCGCCTCCGCCGCCTCGGCCTCCGCCTCGGCCTCCGCTTTCCCCGCCCCCACCGGCATCTCCGCTTCCGCCCGGCTCCACGTCATCGTCTTCTGCGAAGCGGACGGAGCTGGCGCGCTTGTTCGCGCTCTCTAATGTCCCGCTCTCCAATGCGCGCTGGTGCTTGCGCTCCGGAGACGTGGATTGCGTCGCGCTGCGCGCCGGGATCGCGGCAGCGAGCGGGTTTGTGACGGTACATGACGTGACTGTAGGGGGAGGAATGGCTATGATAGTAGAGGCGGGTGCTTGAGTGAGCGAAGGCGTACGCGGACCGTCCATGTTGACTGAAATCTCACCCGTGTTCTCTGAGGGGGCACTTACAACTTCTGGCGCAGAGTTAGGAATTCCTGCAGCGACTGATGTTCCGGCTGCTATCCCGGTTGATGCCATTCTGACCGTTCGTTTAATGTTCCTATATTATGTCGCCTTGTTTCAGTAACAGAGAGCACGACTTATGTGCTGTTGATTTCTTATCTCCACGGTGTCTTGCGACAAGCTTTGGTTTGGGAATCGACAGCTACGTCCTGCTCGGCAAGACCTTCCTGCAAGTCCAGTTCGGTACTAGTGAGGTCAGATATTTTGCCGGTGGATTAGAGGACGGGAGGAATGAAGGGTTGGCATGCGAATTTGTGCGAATTATGTATTCTACTTTGCGAATGTGAGAACAACTCATCACGACCTCGCGTCAACTGTTACGCTAGCTGGCGAAGACAGGGAAGCCTGTTCGCTAGTCTATTCTTCCCCTCCATGTTCCTCGCGGTTCCAACTCAGCCTGAGCGTGCCCTTGCGTGGTTCCCGCATGCCCACCTGTAAATCTGTGCCTGAACGCTGCGCTCTCGCTTTTTGGACAAGCTTTGCCCGCATTGATTCGCCCGGCTGCTGCTGTGCTGGCATTGTGGAGCACGCCCATTGCATACGCGTTGCAGCCTTTTTCCTGTCGCCAGATTGACGGATAAGATTTCTGCTTGGGCAGTGTACTACTCGCCCTGTGATCTAGATTTTGTTGTGGGTGGTTGGGTTTCCGTTTTCGCGAGAAAAACATTTTCGGTCAGCACCTGGTGTGGCAGGTCAGCGAAAGCAGCAAGATGGTTTACAGGGAGGTTCTTTTGTGTCATTGTCGTTTGATATTCATTGGTTTTTTAAAGCGTTTGTTTTATGTTAACGCAATAACAATGCCCCTAACTTACCAAAACAGGAGCATTACTCGAGTCCAGTGTTACCGTAATATGTCTAAATGTGGATCTGTCTGATATAATTTTCATGCCATCTCATCTATATATTTTTTTGTATCCATACCAAGGTTGTTTACAGACTTTGATGTATGTATTGGCTGTATGGACATTTTACGTGCGCTGTAAACGAGCTCGTTTTGCCGTGCCTTGCTCCAACCACCCCTGCTTCGCTTTCGGCAACACCAAGATGCATCAGAAAGCAGGAATTCCCGCCTACGGTTTTGGGAACTCCACCACCCGATTCACACACCCCCCACGCATCTTCCTCACGCATCTTTCTGGTGTGTATGCTAGTGCTCGTTTTTAGGTACTCAGAAGCAAGGCAGTTGCTCGCAACAGGCGTCAGCAACCTCAATTCGACAGCCGAGGTTGGCTGGCGATGACGGCAGCAGGTGTTCTGAAACAGCGTTCCAGGGTAATCTGAGCAGACGCCGTGTGTCAGTGTCAGGCGAGAGAACGGAGTCCGAAAATGCAATTTACGCAGCTTTACATCAGTTGCTGAACCTCGACCGAATTTTCCGTTAGCCGTGGAAATGTGGGGTTTCGCGCTTGAACCGACGAAGCGCATCGGAGGCGTGTCGCCTCCTCGCCGTCCGATCAGGCATCGACCCGGAGCCTCCAGGAAAGCCAGCGGAATTCTGGGCTGGATTCCCGGCGGAGCTGGTAACAGTTGGCGAGCGATATGTTCGCCTGTGATCGCTCTCGTGGTGATCTGGCTGCTGGGAATGATCATCTGGAACAGCGGGATCATCAGGTACGATCTCGTGAAGAAATTCAGGCATGTATGAAGATTCGCCTTTTAGCATTTGAAATTTGAGTCAAGGCTGGAATTTTACGACATTGGTTTCGCATTCCGTTCTCTGTTCCTCGCTTTACCTTCTCGTCCCCTTTCTTTCAGCTGAATGAATGTCCTCTTCTCTGTCCTGCACTGCAGCCTTAAGAAGCAAACCACGGCTCCATCCGACTCACCTACCGGTCTGGACGCGTCATCTGAGTATGGCAACGATGCTTCTTCCATAGATGATGGCACCAGCACCGACGACAGCTCAGATATCACATTTTCTTCCCTCTCCTTCGATTGGATGCCGTGTTCTCTGTCCTGCCTGCCTGCAGCCTTAAGAAGCAAACCACGGCTCCATCCGACTCACCTACGGGCCTGGACTCATCATCTGAGTATGGCGACGACGCTTCTTCCACGGATGATGGCACCGCCACCGATGAAAGCTCGGATTTCACCCCCTCCCTCACCAATAAGATGTCGTCCGGTGGAGGATTCGGGGGAGGCTTGGGAACAGGCTCGAGAGCAGGCTCGGGAGCAGGGTTCGGTGCAGGTTCGGGTGCAGGTTCGGGAGCAGGGTTCGGGGCAGTGGATGAGGGTCTGGATCCTGAGGATGGGGATGGGGAGACAGGCCTAGCGTCGGAATTCCCAAGGTCCGCTGGCACCACTGGTGCTGGTCGGATGGGGGGGTTGAACTCGGGGGATGTTTCCAGAACTTCCACCTGGAATGCCGCTGGTGGGGCCAATAGGGGCGGGTTGGGGGCCGATGGAGGGGAGGATGAGGATGGAATGATGGGAAGTGGTGCAAGTGGTGGGTTGAGGGATGGATTTGCCACCAGCAGCAGCAGAGGCGGTATGTGGGGTAGTAGCAGCAGTGGTGGTGGTGCTGCAGGAGGAGGTAGATTCGGGGGAGGCGGTGCTGGTGCAGGCGGAAGCAGGTGGGGAGGGGGAGGCGCGGCTACGTGGGGAGGGAGAGGGGGGGTGGCGGGTATGTCAGGGGAGGATGAGGATGAGGAAGGAATGAGGAGCGCTGGTGGCGGTGGGCTTGGGGTTTCCAGCAGCCGTGTGCCTAAATTGGGATCGAGTTCATGGGGAATGGACGATGATGAGGGGGATATGGAGACTGGCGTCGGTGGGAATAGGGGTGGGTTGGGGTCCCGAGGTGGGGCGGGTGGGTTTGGTAGAGGGGGAAGGGGCGGAGGGAGGGCAAGAGGAGGTGAGGAGGAAGAGGAAGGGGAGGAGGAAGAGGAGGAAGGGGAGGAGGAGGAGGAGGAGGAGGAGGAGGAAGAAGAGGAAGAGAGCGAGGAGGGAGAGGAGGTGGATGAGGATGAGGAGGAGGAAAGTGATCGGGGACGGGGCAGGGGTAGGTCCAAAAGGAAGAAAGGAGGGCGGCGGGGGAAAGGAGCTGCGGCAGATGAAGATGAGGAAGAGGAGGAGGAGGAGGAGGAAGGAGAAGGAGAGGGAGGAGACGAAGAGGAGGAAGATGAGGAGGAAGTATCTAGTAGTAAGAAGGGGAGGAAGGGCCGTGGTGGTGCTAGGAAGAAAGCAGGGAAAAAAACGAGGAAGAGAAAAGGAAGCTATGAGGATGAGGAGGAGGAGGAAGAGGAAAAGGAGGAGGTGGAAGAAGCAGAAGAGGAGGAGGACGACGGAGGCAGAAGCAAGAAGAAGAAGCGAGGTGGCGCATCTAAGAAAGGGCGGAAGGGGAATAAGGGGAGGAAAGGGAAGAAGAAGAAGGGGAAGCGGGATGCAGGGGAGGAGGATCTCGATTCAGCCAATCTTGATTCTTCCAATCTAGATTCAGTGGATATAGAAGGGAAGAAAGCGGTCAACGAGGCTGAGAGAGCAGAGGAGGAGGCAGAGCGGGCAGTGGCAGAAGCAGATGGGGAGACAGGCGCTAAAACAGCTGTGGATAGCGCAATTCAGAGCATGCCAGAGAGTGATGTGGCTCAGATTTACTACTCTGTGAAGACTGCCCAACGAGGTGCGTCAGTGAGGCTCCGTGTGTGAGTGAGTATGGTGAGTAAGTCAAACTAACAGTGTTTGTGGAAGCTGGATTGGATAGTGCGGTTCAGAAGAGAATGATGTGGCACAGAGGTTTCACTCTGTGAAGACTGCCCAGCGAGGTGAGTCAGTCAGGATTTGAGTGGAGTCGGCTCAAATGGACGAGGAGGAGGAGGAAGAAGACGGCATGTCGACGCACCGGCTGCGCAACGTGGCGTTCCTGCGCATTCCAGGGACGCCCGTCACGGGGTAGCGCATGTTGCTGGACTCAAATCCTCTGCACTCTTCTCCTTTGTATGACTATTGCAGGTGTGGAGTCGTCTCAACTAGATGACGAGGAGGAGGAAGAAGACGGCATGTCGACGCACCGGCTGCGCAACGTGGCGTTCCTGCGCATTCCAGGGACGCCCGTCACGGGGTAGCGCATGTTGCTGGACTCAAATCCTCTGCACTCTTCTCCTGTGTATGACTATTGCAGGTGTGGAGTCGGCTCAACTAGATGACGAGGAGGAGGAAGAAGACGGCATGTCGACGCACCGCCTGCGCAACGTGGCATTCCTGCGCATCCCAGGGACACCCGTCACGGGGCAGCAAGTGCTGGACTTTGAGCGCCAGCTGGCGTGTGTGTCCCGCGACGGGCTGTGGGCGCTCAACTCCACGCCGCGGTGGATGCCGTGGGACCTTAACCCGCTGACTGTTGATCGCCAGCCCAACTACCGCTCCTGCGACCTGCTCTTTGCCAAGAGGTGCGGGCCACGAGGTTCGGTGTGGTGTGGTACGGTGTGGTCCAGTGTGATATGGTATGGTCTGGTACAGTGTGGTACGGTGTTATACAGTGTGGTACAGTGTGGTACAGTGTGGTGTTGTGCATGCTGGACTTTGAGCGCCAGCTGGCGTGTGTGTCCCGTGATGGGCTGTGGGCGCTCAACTCAACGCCAAGGTGGATGCCGTGGGACCTTAACCCGCTGACTGTTGATCGCCAGCCCAACTATCGGTCCTGTGACCTTCTCTTTGCCAAGAGGTGCGGTGCGGTGTGGTGTTGTGTGGTGTGGTACGGTTTGGTCCAGTGTGGTGTGGTACAGTGTGGTGGTGCGAATGTTGCTGGCTTTGAACGCCAGCTGGAGTGCGAATTTCGCGAGAGACCCTGTGAGCCCCCAACGCAAGAGCAGCATGGCGGGTGCGCCGGGAACTGCTGTACCAATGGCGCCCTGCCAGGCCCCTCTGCTGCCCCTTTCCCCACCCGTTCCATCACACTTGTAGCCGATTCTCGAACCGCCTCAAAACAGCATGCTTGCTTCCTGCTCCGTCTGTCCCCCTTCCCCACCTCCCGCCTGCCCAACCCTCCCCTGTGTGTCCTGTTCTATCTCAGGAAAGGTGGTGTATTTGGAGCAGCAGCAGAGAGGGCACGGAGGTTGCCCAATGCGAGGGCCGCATGGCGGGTGCGCAAGGAGCTGCTGTACCAGTGGCGCCCCTCCAGGCCCCTCCGCTGCCCCTTCCAGCAGTTCGATCGCGCGGGGTTCTGCCGCGCTGTGAGGGGGCGCAACGTGGTGGTGGTGGGGGACGCATTTAGCCTTGACTGGCACGACGCCCTTCTGAACCACCTTGTGACTGCGGGGACTAAGAACAGGGCGGGGCAGCTGGGCGATGCCTGGTAAGTGTTAAGTAGGCGCCTGAGCAGTGACTGTGAGGGGGCGCAACGTGGTGGTGGTGGGCGACACGTTTACTCTCGACTGGCACGACGCGCTGCTGAACCACCTTGTCACTGCACAAACCAAGCACAGAGCGGGGCAGCTGGGCGGCGCCTGGTGAGTTCTAGGTGGCTTGAGGGGTGCTAGAGGGTCATTGAGACGCCCTCAGGAGTGGGTGTGAGGGGGCGCAATGTGGTGGTGGGGGGGGACGCGTTTAGTCTCGACTGGCATGACCCTCTGCTCAACCACCTTGTGACTGTGTAGACAAAGCACAGGGCTGGAGAGTTGGGAGACGCCTAGTAAGTGCTAGATAGGTACTTCCTGAGTTGCCCTCAGGAGTGACTGTGAGGGGCGCAACGTGGTGGTGGTGGGGATGCGTTTAGTCTTGACTGGCATGCTGCTCCGCTCAACTTCTCATGCACCTTTCCCTCCCCCCGCCCACCCACTAGGGCCAATGTCACGGAAGGGGCCTGCTTCGAAAGGGGTCACCGCCTCTGCACCGACGTCCCCCTCATTCCTCCACCCCCACCCACCACCACCACCGCTGCTGCTACTGACTCCTCAGCACTTGATGACGCAGACGCTGATCCCGCCACTGCTAGTGCTACTACTGGTGCTAGTGGCTTCACTGCTGGTGGTTCGGCTGCTGCTGCTGGTAGTGGTGCTGGTGGCAGTGCTGGTCGTCGTTCTCGCTTCGGGACTGCTGCTGCTGATGCAGCCGCGGACGACACAGGGGGAGAGGAGGGCAGTGGTGAGGAGGAGAGCGCAAAGGGGGTGCAGGTGCAGGCTAGTGGCGAGACGGGTTTTGGTGGACTCAGAAGTGGGTTTCAGAGGAAGGGCTGGGGAAGAGGCAGAGGCCTGGCAGGGAGAGTGAGGGCTGGCGACTGGGATGGGGAGGCGAGGAGTGGGGAGGCTGACGGGCTGGGAAGCAGAGAACGGAGTGAGAGTGGGGAGGGAGAAGAAGCAGAGTCAACGGGGTTTACTGCAGTGAAGGAAGAGGAAGGGGAGGGAGTGGGCATTGGGGGTGGGCGAGCAGGGAGGACCGGGAGAAAGAGGCGGGCAGTGGGAAGGCAGGGGAGTGAGGGAGATGTGCTGAACCAAGGTCTTGGGGGCCAGGGTGTGAGCAGCCAGGGCTTTAACAGCCAGGGACTTAGCAAGGAGGGAGGGGGTGGTGTGGTGGTGAGGCGGAGGAGAATGGCGGGGTTCAACCTGCGGGTGGTGCTGAACGCCTTTGCAGCGCCCGACACGGGGCGCCCCACGCGGCTCAACAACCGCTGGCTCAAGCGCCTCAAGAGGTGGAAGACCAGCATCCTCGTGCTCTCCCGCACCCCGGCCTTTGGTGACAGTGAGTGGGGGGGAAGGGAGGGAAGAATGTTCCCTAGACTCTGGTAATCTGCAGCAGCTCAGCGCAGTGGGCGGCCATCCCAGCTGCCAGCACTTCACTCGGCCAACCCTCTTCCTTCCTTCCTCTCTCCCTTGTCCCCGTCTCCCCATCCAATCAGAGGAGTTGATGCTGCAGGAGGCGAGGGACACCCTAGAAGCAGTGAGGGACCTGTATCCAGACATGCTTGTCCCTTATTAGTGAGGGACCTGTATCCAGACATGCTTGTCCCTTATTAGTGAGGGACCTGTATCCAGACATGCTTGTCCCTTATTAGTGAGGGACCTGTATCCAGACATGCTTGTCCCTTATTAGTGAGGGACCTGTATCCAGACATGCTTGTCCCTTATTAGTGAGGGACCTGTATCCAGACATGCTTGTCCCTTATTAGTGAGGGACCTGTATCCAGACATGCTTGTCCCTTATTAGTGAGGGACCTGTATCCAGACATGCTTGTCCCTTATTAGTGAGGGACCTGTATCCAGACATGCTTGTCCCTTATTAGTGAGGGACCTGTATCCAGACATGCTTGTCCCTTATTAGTGAGGGACCTGTATCCAGACATGCTTGTCCCTTATTAGTGAGGGACCTGTATCCAGACATGCTTGTCCCTTATTAGTGAGGGACCTGTATCCAGACATGCTTGTCCCTTATTAGTGAGGGAACTGTATCCAGACATGCTTGTCCCTTATTAATGAGGGACCTGTATCCAGACATGCTTGTCCCTTATTAGTGAGGGACCTGTATCCAGACATGCTTGTCCCTTATTTGTTTGTGCCCCTTGCCTCTTCATGTCTACAGAGGAGTTGATGCTGCAGAAGGTGCGAGACACGCCAGAGACATTGAGGGACCTGTACCCGGACATGCTCGTCATGTAATGGTCTCTCTCCTCTCCCTCGACCCTGCCCCCCATCCCCCAATCCGTCAGAGGAGCTGATGCTGCAGGAGGTGAGGGATACCCTCGAAGCAGTGAGGGACCTGTACCCAGACATGCTTGTCATCTGGCGCAACGCGGTGGTCGGCCATCCATCCCAGCTGCCAGCACAGGCCAATCTCTCCACCTCCTTTACTCCCCTCCCTTGCCCCTACCCCCTATCTTTCAGAGGAGCTTATGCTGCAGGAAGTGCGAGATACCCTCGAAGCAGTGAGGGACCTGTACCCAGACATGCTTGTCATCTGGCGCAACGCGGTGGTCGGCCATCCATCCCAGCTGCCAGCACAGGCCAATCTCTCCACCTCCTTTACTCCCCTCCCTTGCCCCTACCCCCTATCTTTCAGAGGAGCTTATGCTGCAGGAAGTGCGAGATACCCTAGAAGCAGTGAGGGACCTGTACCCAGACATGCTTGTCATCTGGCGCAATGCGGTGGTCGGCCATCCATCCCAGCTGCCAGCACAGGCCAATCTCTCCACCTCCTTTACTCCCCTCCCTTGCCCCTACCCCCTATCTTTCAGAGGAGCTTATGCTGCAGGAAGTGCGAGATACCCTAGAAGCAGTGAGGGACCTGTACCCAGACATGCTTGTCATCTGGCGCAACGCGGTGGTCGGCCATCCATCCCAGCTGCCAGCACAGGCCAATCTCTCCACCTCCTTTACTCCCCTCCCTTGCCCCTACCCCCTATCCTTCAGAGGAGCTTATGCTGCAGGAAGTGCGAGATACCCTAGAAGCTGTGAGGGACCTGTATCCGGACATGCTTGTCATCTGGCGCAGCGCGGTGGGCGGCCATCCCAGCTGCCAGCACTTCACTCGCCCGCTCAGGACCCGCCCCGCCCTGCTGGCCGCCAAGGGGAAGATTCCCGACGTGTGGCTCCGGCACGCCGAGATGAACGCCGCTATCAAGCCGCTGCTCAAGGTACGGTTTTGAGTTTATTCTGAATCTAAAATCAGGCTACTGCTCAAAGTGTGCTTTAGAAGTGTGCTTTACATAGGGGTTACCTCCGTGCATGCATAGGGATTGCCCCCCTGCCCTGCTGCCAGCCAAGGGGAAGATTCCCGACGTGTGGCTTCGGCACGCAGAGATGAACGCTGCTATCAGGCCGCTGCTCAAGGTATGAGCACAACTCAGCCCCTGGTCTTGGCGAGGTTAGGTGCATTCATGCCACAGCCCCTTTTGCTCAAACGCCCTACTCTCCTGAACTCCCTACCCCTCCTCTTCACAAACCACACCAGGAGTATGGAGTAGTTTATATGGACGTTGATTCAACCAACCTTAGCGGCGCTTCCCCTCCCTAACTCCCTCCCGCCTCCCCAAAACCCCACCAGGAGTATGGAGTAGTCTACATGGACGTGGATTCAGCCACCTCGTTGCGTCCCGACGGGCATCACTCGCGCATGGACGGCAGCATCAACTGCCACTACTACTGCATGCCCGGCCCGCTCGACCACTGCTTGCCTTACTGCTGCTGGTGGTGGTGGCGGTGGTGCTGCTGCTGCTGCTGCTGCTCCTCCTCCTGACCTCTATCCTCTCTCAACCCCCGTCCCCACTATCCCAACTCAAACCCCACCAGGAGTATGGAGTGGTCTATATGGACGTGGATTCAGCCACCTCCCTTCGCCCCGACGGGCATCACTCCCGCATGGACGGCAGCATCAACTGCCACCACTACTGCATGCCCGGCCCGCTCGACCACTGGGTGGCTCTCTTCCACAACCTGCTGTTGCTGCTCGACCAGCACTCCCCACAGCCCGCCCTCCCTGCTTCTGCTTCTGTTGCTGCCTCTCCTACTGACCTCTGTCCTCTCTCAACCCCTTCCTCCCTCCCCCCGTCCCCAACCTCCCCCCGTCCCCCTCCCCCCCAGGAGTATGGAGTAGTCTACATGGATGTGGATTCAGCCACCTCGCTGCGCCCCGACGGGCATCACTCGCGCATGGACGGCAGCATCAACTGCCACCACTACTGCATGCCCGGCCCGCTCGACCACTGGGTGTCTCTCTTCCACAACCTGCTGCTGCTGCTCGACCAACACTCTCCACAGAGTACCCTCCCTGCTTCCGCCGCTGCTGCTGCTGGTGGTGGCGGTGGTGCTGCTGTTGCTGGCGGTGCTGCTGGTGCGGCTGGTGCTGGTGGTTTTGGTGGTGGCGACGGTTTCTCTGGTTCTGGTTTCGGTGGTGCTGCCGGGGGTTCTGGGTCTGGTGGTGGTGCCGCTGGTGGGGTGCCAGCGGTGAAGGTGAGTGGGGTGGTGGGCGAGGGGGGAGTGGTGGTGGAAGAGGAGGATTTGTCTGATGTGCCTAGAGGAGGGAGGTGGAGGAGTAAGGAGGAAATAGAGGAGGAGGAGAGTGGGAGGGAGGATGGGGGAGGAGGAGGAGGGATGGTAGGGGTGGGAGGTGCGGGAGGGTTTGAAGGAGCCGGGACGGTGGGAGGGGGGATGGGAGTGGGAGGAGGGTTGGGTGAGGGGCAAGTGGAAGGAAGCGGTGGAGATGGGCGTGGAGGGGTGGAGAGCTCTCAAGAGACAAATGGGGCCAGTGCAGGACCAGGGACAGGTGGTGCTCCTGATGGTGCTGCTGCTGTTGCTAGTGCTGCTGCTGGCACAGCTGATGGTGCTGCTGATGCTGGTTCAGGGGTGCCTGTGGGTGGTGAAGCAGCAGGAGGGGTTGCAGGGGCGGGAGAAGGAACAACAGCTGCAGCTGCTGCAGAAAAGGAGGCAACAGCTTCTGCTGAAGCTGGTGCTGCTGGCTCTGTCACTGCTACTGGGACCATCACTCCTGCTGCTGGGGCTGGCACTGTCAGTGGTGCCGACGCTGCAGGGGCTGGAACTGGAGCCGGGCAAGTGCCAGCCACTGCCACTGCCACTGCGGCCACAGCTGCGGCTGCTACTCCTGCCACTGCCACTCCCGTTTTGGAGCGTAAGTCCTGCCTTGATTTCCTCTTCCGCGTCCTGCCTGCTTCCCTCCTCCTGTCTTTCACACCCCCCTCTTCACCTCACTTCACCCCTCCCCCCTCCCTTCCCCCTCCACCCCACCCAGCCTGCACCAACTTCTCAGCATGCATCCCAGGGACACGCATTCGGGGCGAAGCAGCAGTGGCGGAGGCGCAGCAGGAGGTGTCGTGTGTGGCGGAGGATGGCAAGTGGGTGCGCTTCAACACGCCCACAACACACACCCCTCTTTACTCTCTCTCCCTCACAACCCCCTCTCCCACTTCCCTCCACTCCCTTTTTGCCCCTCCTCTTGTCTCCCATTTCTCCCCTTTCTCCGTCCACCACCCCAGCCTGCACCAACTTCTCGGCGTGCATCCCAGGGACGCGCATCCGGGGAGAAGCAGCCGTGTTAGAGGCGCAGCAGGAGGTGTCGTGTGTGGCGGAGGATGGCAAGTGGGTGCGCTTCAACACGCCCCGCTGGCTGCCCTGGTCCCGCGACCCTCACACCAACCCACGCGCGCCTCACTACGGCACTTGCGATCTCCTGCACGTTAACGAGTGAGTGCTTCCTTTGTGGTGCCTGAAAGTAGTGAGTGCATCGCATGCGTGCTGGTCCCGCGACCCCCACACCAACCCGCGCGCGCCTCACTACGGCACTTGCGACCTGCTACATGTGAACGAATGAGTGCCTCCTTTCAGATGCCTCCTTTCAGGTGCCTCACATGTGACCTGCTACACGTGAACGAGTGAGTGTTGCTGAGAAGTGAGGAGCATATATATCAAGGGCTTGTGGTTCCGTTCAACCCCAGTTCTTCACCATTGGGACTGGGATGAACATTCTTTCTTCGCCAGAAAGTACATTCTCTCCTTCCTTTCCTCGTCGCTCGTTTCCCCACCTCCCTAAGCACTAACTTCCGTGTTTTCCCTGACTGATAGGACTGGCGGCAAGGGCATGTACGGGTTTGCAGCGGACAAGTTCCGGAAGAACCCGGGAGACCGGGAGTGGCACGTGCGGGCGGAGCTCAAGTACCAGTGGAAGGCCAGCCGCTTCTGCCCGCCCTTCATGGGGTTCAACCGACGCCTCTTCCTCTTCCCCTCCCATCCTTCTCTTCCTTCCCTACTTCCGTTTCTCATCTTCTGTTCCGCCTCCCACCTCCCGAATTCCCTACCTCCAATTCTCTTCCCACTTTCTGCTGTCAGGACGGGGGGCAAGGGCATGTACGGCTTCGCAGCGGACAAGTTCCGGAAGAACCCGGGAGACAGGGAGTGGCACGTGCGGGCGGAGCTCAAGTACCAGTGGAAGGCCAGCCGCTTCTGCCCGCCCTTCATGGGGTTCAACCGACGCCTCTTCCTCTTCCCCTCCCATCCTTCTCTTCCTTCCCTACTTCCGTTTCTCATCTTCTGTTCCGCCTCCCACCTCCCGAATTCCCTACCTCCAACCCTCTTCCCACTTTCTGCTGTCAGGACGGGGGGCAAGGGCATGTACGGCTTCGCAGCGGACAAGTTCCGGAAGAACCCGGGAGACAGGGAGTGGCACGTGCGGGCGGAGCTCAAGTACCAGTGGAAGGCCAGCCGCTTCTGCCCGCCCTTCATGGGGTTCAACCGGCACAAGTTCTGTGCGGCGGTGGGGCAGCGCAACGTGCTGCTTGTGGGGGACACCACTCAGCTGGCGCTGCACGATGTTTTCCTCAACCATGTGACCACCATCGCGACGCAGAAGGAGATCGGAGACATTGCTGACGCATGGTGAGTGATGGAGGTGCTCTCCATGCGGTGGGGGCTGGCTGGGGTGTATGCTAGTGGGGGTTTGGCATGCCTGCCGGTGGGCCAGCGCAACGTGCTGTTTGCGGGGGACACCACTCAGCTGGCGCTGCACAATGTTTTCCTCAACCATGTGACTACGATTGCCACTCAGAAGGAGATTGGGGACATCGCTGATGCTTGGTGAGGATTGAGGGAGGTGCTGTCCCTGCGGTGGGGGTTGTGATGCCTGCTACTGGGGGGTTGGAATGCATGGTAGTCGGGGTTTCGGGGTCTCTTTTGAGAATTCTCAAAAGTGGTCTCCTGTGTCTCTTCTGCCCTTCTGTGCGCCGGTGGGGCAGCGCAACGTGCTGCTTGTGGGGGACACGACTCAGCTGGCGCTGCACGATGTGTTTCTCAACCATGTGACTACGATTGCCACTCAGAAGGAGATCGGGGATATCGCTGACGCCTGGTGAGGGGTTATGGGGTGTGTGTGTTATGCGTGATGTGCGCAGTGGGGTTTGGGGCGCTGCACGACGTGTTTCTCAACCCTGTGACTACCATTGCCACGCAGAAGGAGATTGGCGATATTGCTGACGCCTGGTGAGGGGTGCACTATACGTGGTGAGGGTTGGAATGTGGGGGTGGGGCTTGGTGCTTGGTATGCATGGTGAGGTTTGCCACATCGCTCGTTCCCTCCGTTTCTCAGCCATGTCACCACCATCACCACGCAGAAGGGCATCGGGGACTTCGCTGATGCCTGGTGAGGTGTGATTGAGGGAGGTGCTGTCTTTGCGGTGGGGCTGTCACCACGCAGAAGGACATCGGGGACATCGCTCATGCCTGGTGAGGTGTGTGCTGTGCTGTCGTACGCGTGGTGTGCGCAATGGGGTTTTGGCCGCTGCACGATGTGTTCCTCAACCATGTCACCACCATCACCACGCAGAAGGAGATCGGGGACTTCGCTGATGCCTGGTGAGGTGTGCCCTGTGCGCGGTGCGGGTTGGGATCCCTGCTTATGATATTGAGCATTCCTAGAGTCCCTGATGTGCTCATCCTTTCTGCTCTTCTTCCCCTCCCACATGGCAGGACGGCGCCCAACAACCAGCCGGCATGTGCCACCAACAACCCCCACGTGGTGTGTTTCGACATTGTCCCAGGGGACTTCACCTTCCGTGCCGCGCACAACAACCTGCCCCCCAAGGCCCTCTCCCATGTCTCCACAACAGGACGGCACCCAACAACCAGCCAGCGTGTGCCACCAACAACCCCCATGTGGTGTGTTCAGACATCGTCCCAGGTGGCTTCACCTTCCTTGTCTCTGACCCCAATGCCCTCATCATCCCCCTCCCACATGGCAGGACGGCGCCCAACAACCAGCCGGCATGTGCCACCAACAACCCCCACGTGGTGTGTTCAGACATCGTCCCAGGGGGCTTCACCTTCCGTGTCGCGCACAACAACCTGCTCACACCTGACTCGCCGGGGGGGGGGGCGTTCAACCAGCGGTGGCTGGGACATTTGAGAAAATGGAACGTGTCCATTGTGGTTCTCAACAAAGGCTTTGAGCGCCGCCCTAGTGAGTGCTGGGTGAAGTGGGGACAGTGTCTAGGGATTGCCATTACCATTACCATTACCATTACCATTACTATTACCATTACCATTACCATTACCATTACCACTACCATTACCATTACCATTATCATTACCATTACCATTTCCATTTCCATTTCCATTTCCATTACCATTACCATCGACATTACCATTGTCATTGCCATAACCATTACCACTATTACCATTACCATTGCCATTATCATTACCGTTACCATTTCCATTGCCGTTACCATGACCATTATCATTATTATTACCATTACCATTACCATTGTCATTGCCATCACCATCGTTATTATCATTATTATTACCATTACCATTGCCATTACCATTACCATTAGCATTGCCATGACCATTACCATTACCATTTTCATTACCATTAATATTACCATTGCCATTGCCATTACCAATACCATTTTAATTTCTATTACCATTACCATTAACATCGTCATTCGCGTCGCCATTACCATTTCCATTGCTATTACCATTACCATTGCCATTACCATCGCTATATACCATTACCATTACCATTATCATTGCCATCACCATTATCATTATTATTTTTATAACTACTGCTATTACCATTACCATTACCATCACCGTGACCTTTATCATTACCATTACCATTACCATTACCGTTGCCATCGCCATCAATGCCATCGCCATCTCATCGCCATTGGCATTGGCATTGCAATTACCATCGCCATTACTATTACCATTGCCATTGCCATTACCATCACCATCTCCATTGACATTGCTATTATCAGTGACATTGCTATTACCATTACCATTGCCATTACCATTGCTTTTACTATTACCATTACCATGATAATTACCATCGTCATCGTTACCGTTACCATTACCATCGTCATTACCATTACCATTTCCATCGTCATTTTCATTACCATTTGCATTTCCATTGTCATTACCACTGCCATTACCATTACCATTGTCATCAGCATTACCATTACCATTACCGTCACCAATTCCATTACCATTACCATTTCTATTGCCATTACCCTTACCATTAATATCACCATTACCATTGCCATTACATTGACATTCACATTATCATTGCCATTAACATTATCATTACCATTACAGTTTCCATTACCATTACCATTATCATTGCCATTGCCATTGCCATTATTATCACCACTACCATCGCCATTACCATTACCACTACCATTTCCATTTCCATAGCCACTACCATTATTAATTGCCATTACCATTACCACTGCTGTCCGAAGAGGGGGGAGGGGGGGGGGGAGGAGGGGTTCAACCAGCGGTAGTTGGGACCCCTGCAGCACCGGAACGTGTCCGTTGTGGTTCTCAACAAAGGCTTCAAGCCCCGCCCCAGTGAGTGTTGCTAGCAGGGCAGTGACTGAGGGGACGGTGGTCAACAAGACAGTGGTTGGGGCAGCGTTCAACTAGCGGTGGGTGGAGCATTGGAGGATATGGAATGTTTTCATTGTGGTTTTCAACAAAGGCTTTGAACGCCGCCCCAGTGAGTACTGCTGCTACTGCTGCTTCAAGTCCGATAATCGATTATCATCCTTTACAAATCCTATCCACCTCCGATTGTTTTTCTCCAACCATTCCCGTGACTAAATGTCTCTTCCTCCCCCTCTCCCCCCTAATTGCCAGCCCCGGTGTACCTCAAGACGCTTCGTCAGACGCTCACGAAGTTCCGCCAGGTGGCGCCTGATACCCTGCTGATCTGGCGGTCCACGTGGCGCGGCCACGAGGGCTGTGAGAATGCCACGGAGCCGCTGGCAGCGCCGCCCGATAATGCCACCCGGGCTGGTCCATGGGCGTTTGTACTGGAACAGAACGAGGCGGTGCGGGATGTGATTCGGGTAAGTTGGAGTTCATGGGTAAGAGCGCCATGCTCAAATATATTGACATGACGGTGCTGTTTTCCAGTTGCTCTCTTCTCTGTATGGTCTAAAAAGTGCTTCATGGTTGACCATACATCGCTGAATAAAATGTCAGTGTTCCTAAATACGCCCACCCTTCTCCTGTCTTCTGTTTTACCCACGTTCTTTGCAGGAATTCGGTGGTGTGTACATGAATCTGGATGCATCCTTGTCAATGCGGCCTGATGGACACCTACGGCAACTGAATGGCCTCACAGATTGCTACTACTACTGCTTGCCAGGTCCTGTGGACCACTTCATGCGGCTCTTTTACAACTACCTCATCATTCTTGATAGCAAAGGGCCAGTTCCCTCGGATCAAGGAGGGCCTAGAAGATAACAAGACAATTTGGACAATTTGGAGGTTCTGAAGGAGTTTTTTGTTTATTGTATAAACGTTCTACGTCGTTTCTGTTAGTTGGTGGGATGGCTCGGGCTTGTACATTAGCGAACTGTCTGCCGAGGAATATCTTGTTTGGTCGTGCACTTGAAAAGGGGCGCGAAGGCATCTTTGCACCAATCAAATTGTACCATCGTGATGCAGGTTTCTTGACGATCCTGCCGTTCGTACTACCTAGGGCCTGCTGAACGGTCTCGATTGCGAGATCTTGAGCCGGGCCCGTATCATCTTTGCTGGACCAATCCATCCAGCTGGTTTCCAGTCCATCCCCATCGTCCAAGACTTCCGCATCGACGGCTGTGTGCAGTTAGCGCCTGGGGAGTAGGCAGATCTGTTTTCGGGGTTGTGCTTCGCTGCTGAGGGAACAACGCCAATGGCATCCTGGACAGACAGAACCAAAGAGACGAGCGGTCAGGCCAGCAATGGATGAGAGTCTAGCCTAAGGCCCGAGTGTTCTGGCGTAGTCTAGTTCATTAGATCCTTGCACAGGGACTGCGCTCCACAATAAAGCCGTGCAGTTTCTACAATCCAGTCTTGTTTCCTGCCGTGTTAGACTTAAACAACGATTTTCCGGGATTCACCCGTACGGTGAATCCTGTCAAAGAGCATTGACCACAGCTCACACTATCCTGACCAGCATTTTTCCTCCCCTCTGTTGATACTCGCGTTGCTTATAACTTATATATAACGGATTTTCAGCATTCACCCATACGGTGAATCCTGTCATCAGCAGTGACCACGTTTCGCTGTTTCCTGATCGGCATTTCCCCCTGTCTGTTGACACTTGCTATTCCAGCAATCTCCGCGCGACTACCGCGCAATCGCACTAACAAACTTCATTTTCTTTCCTTAAAACCGGGGTCTCAAGTTTCCCGAAGTTGCCTCATCCTTCCTACCTTTGGTTTTGTCACAAAGTCCAACCAACCTTCCTACCTTTGAAACCTGTGGACCCTGGGTTTTGAAAGTGATAGCACGTGAGTTGAATTCGTCATAAATGGCATCAGTCGCGTTGGACCCTCCCCGCCATTGCTGGCGCGTCGCTCGGCCTCTTCCCGCCGTGATTCGCGCGTCCGCGTGTCGAAAGGGCGGAGTCAGTCAGCTCAAGAGCAGCCACCGGCGGCTCCTAGTTCTGACCGCCAAGCCGAAATGGCGACACGGTACGGTCCTAACCCGCTCTTCTGTTTCGTCATTTGAGGTGTCTCGAAAGGTTTCAGTCAGCTCAAGAGCAGGCTCCTAGTTTTCACCGCCAAGCCGAAATGGCGATACGGTACGGAACCTAGTCATGTTTCTGTTTCAAATTGTTAGAGAAGTCTCAAACGGTATCAGTCAGCTCAAGAGCAGCCACCGGCGGTTCAGTCAGTTTTGAACGCCAAGCCGAAATGGCGATAGGGTACGGACCTAATCGCTCTTCTGTTTCGATTTTCGTTATCCAGTGTCTGACCGTTTGCCAGATTCTGTATCGTCAATGTTTTGAATTCCTCTTTCTACCAAATAACGTCACTCTGCTTTCTTGAATCCAGCAATGTAGGCGTTTCCAATCACCATTCTCAGGCTGTTTCAATGACTTGATTTTTCTCGCCGAGCCTCGTCCCCTGCTTATCCCCCGGCTTTCAGTTACCTAAACGAACAACCCCTGCTTGTCCCCTGAATTTCTGTTACTTCGCTGTTCCCGTGTTCCCACATTCCTGCAACCAGTGACATTCAAGCGTACCAGCCATAAATGCCACGCGTCTCATTCAGAGTTCAACGGAAAGTAAGACTATGCTTCCACTTCCCTTTCCTGCTCCACTTCCTCCTCTGCTCCACTTTTGCCCTCTGATTCTACTTTGCAATGTCCCCCGCTTCTTATGTCACCATCCCATCCCAGTTCCACTTTCAGGGTAACTTTCCTGAACCAATTTCGTATCTCTTCCCCCCTCGTCTCACACACAAGTAGGTCTCACTTCCCTCGCAACGGGCACGGCAACGGCTACTCCCGCTGGGCCCGCGACGCGTCAGGTGCTTCACCCCCACCTTCAGCGTCCGGCCCCAACCGAGCGAGTCACCACCACGATGGAGCAAGCCATGGGAAGGGATATGACGGGCGATATGAGGGGCGATTTGAGGGGGCCCGGTGTGAAGGACGGTATGAGGGGCGGTATGGGAGAGGGTATGGGAGAGGAGACTTTAGAGGGTACGCTCAGAGTGGGTCCGAACGGCCCGCTTCCCCTGGTTCATCCCCTTCCCCCTCCTCGTCCGCCTCCCCTTTCGCTTCCTCCTCTCCTCCCTTCGGCCAGTCCGCCGCTGCAAACTCCCCCTCTTCGCCTGCCAACGCAACTTCTTCGCCAGATTCAAATGCCGCCGCTGGTGGGGCTGCTTCTGGGGAGTTTCCGTTCCAATCGCATCACACGATCCTGGACGTTGATCCGGTTGATCCGACGGCTGGCGACGCTGCGTGGGGTGGGCTGGACGCCGCTGCAGCTGCAGCGGCGTGGAAGAGGAGCTTTCTGAAGCGGGTGGTTGACACCATTACTGATTCCAAGTACTTCAATGTAAGCACGAGGTGATGTAAGCACAGGGCATGGTTTGAGGTGCTTCATTTGACTATCTTTCTGAAGCGGGTGGTTGACACGATCACGGACTCCAAGTACTTCAATGTTAGCGCAGAAAACCGCGTGTATAGGCAAATTGTGAGGCGCCTAAAATTTCGGCAGCGGCGTGGAAGAGGAGCTTTCTGAAGCGGGTGGTTGACACGATCACCGATTCTAAATACTTCAATGTAAGCACGTGGGGTTGTGAGCACAGAAAACAGCGTGCACTGAGACAATCTTAGGCGCCTCAAAAAGCTGCAGCGGCGTGGAAGAGGAGCTTTCTGAAGCGGGTGGTTGACACCATCACTGATTCCAAGTACTTCAATGTAAGCACATGGCGATATAAGCACGTGGTAATGCAGAAACACGGATACACATAAGGCACTTTAAAAAGCTTTCTGAATAGGGTGGGTGTTTGACACGATCACTGATTCTAAATACTTCAATGTAAGCACAGGGCATATGCACACTGGCTTTTTCCACAGCGAGTGTAATGCCACAACCTGACTTTGATGCCCACGGCTTGAAATGCAGAGACGTATCTCACAGTTATCCTCTTACTCGTTCTCGTTTTTTCATTGTTTCCCCCTCCCACCTTCCGCTCCCACCCCTCCCCCCCCCCTCCATCCTCTCCCATCCACTCATATCATCCTCCCCCACCCCCTTCCTATATTGCCTTGCTCCACCGCACAACCCCTCTCCTCTCCGCCAATCAGCTGCAGACAGCTGGATGGCTCATGGCGGGGGCTGCCACGGCGGCAGTGGGCGTGCAGGTCACAGCACACATCATCAAGGTGAGATGAAACGTGTGCATCGTTCAGTACTGGTGAGTCAGATGAAACGCGCGCGTCTTTCAGGTGAGTGAAATGAAACTCGCAGGTTTTTTGATCAGCAGTTCATCCGTCCCCTCCCCTCCCCTCCCCTCCCCTCCCCTCCCCTCCCCTCTCTCCCCCTCCCCTCCCCCTCCTCTCTCCTCCCCTCTCCTCCCCTCCCCTCCCCTTCCTCTCCCTCCCTGCTCAGGCCATCGAGTCCGTCCCTCTGCTTGCTTCTCTTGAGATTCTCATCGGTGCGGCTGTCACAACCAACGTCGCCACCACCATCGCTGGAGGGAGGGAAGGTGGGTGGGGAGGTTTTCGAGCAGGCATGGGGAGAGATGAACGGGGGGTTGAAACTGGGAGAGGGAGGGTCGGTGAGGAGGGTTGGGTTTGACAAGCAATCAGGAGGGTGTGGAGGTAGGGGTTGGGGGAAAGGGGGACTGGGAAGTATGGCATGGTGGATTCTCCGGATGGAAAGAAGTGCGTTGGAAGTGGTGAGGGGTGGTTACAGTATAAGGGAAAGCGGTAGCGAAAAGTTGAAAGGCTGATGTGTGCTGCCTTAAAAACCGAATCCTTCTTGAATCCTTCTTGCTGCAGCGTCGCCCTTTGCACTGACGCCTCTTGAAGGCCTTTCTTTTCCCGCTCCACCCCTCCTCTCTCCTCCCCTCCCCCTTTCCTCCTCCCCCCTCCTCGTGCGCCGCTCCTCCCCCCTCCTCCCTTTTTCTTTCCTCCTCCTCTCCCCCGTGTGCCCCCCTGCCACCCTCATTTCCACGCCCCCATCAGCCCGCGAGCGTCTGGAGCAGCAGTGGGACGAGTTCGTGAGGCGAGTCAGCGGCACGTATGGGCTGTCGGACCCTGTATTTGACGAGATGGAGAGTGGCAAGGACCTTGAGGTGCGTTCACTGAGAGTGCGGTGGTTTGTGCATGTGGATGGCTCATGTGTGCATATGTGCATTGAGTCAGCGGCACGTATGGGCTGTCGGACCCTGTATTTGATGAGATGCAGGGGGGCAAGGACCTTGAGGTGCGTTCCCCGTGGTTATGGTCTGTGCGTGTGGATGGCTCATGTGCCATGTGCATCTTGAGTGAGCGGCACGTATGGGCTGTTGGATCCGGTGTTTGATGAGATGGAGGCGGGCCGTCCCTCGAGGTGGGCTCCCTGGTGAACCTTGCATGTGGCTGGTTCTTTGGCTGCTTGATTGAATTGGCATTTGACAAAACAAATTCCTCCTCTTCCCTCAATCACATGCACCCAGCCGTCCAAAGCCACCACTCCGCGCCTCCCTCCTCCCCTGATTTTCCACTCAAACACACCCTCCCTCCTCCCCTGATTTTCCACTCAAACACACCCTCCCTCCTCCCCTGATTTTCCACTCAAACACACCCTCCCTCCTCCCCTGATTTTCCACTCAAACACCCCACTCCTGCTATTCTTCTACACACAACACACGCGCACACACAACAGGCCCAGATACAGGACCTGCTGGTGCAGTGCAGTGCACTTGCTGACGCAGCACTGCAGCAGAGCGAGCAGCGGGTGTCTATATTCATGCCTCCTTCCTCCTTCCTCCTCCATTCCCACGTACACCACACACACACACATGCACACACACACACATGCACACACTACAGGCTCAGATACAGGACCTTCTGGCGCAGTGCAGTGCGCTTATAGCCGATGCAGCACTGCAGCAGAGCGAGCAGAGGCCCTCACACCTCGAAGGCGACACATCAGGAGAAACCCAGCAGCAGAGGGAGGTGTGGGCAGCAGAGGGATTGCGGAGGGCCGCTGAGGGACTGGGTCTTAAGGCAGAAGGCAAGGCAGAGAGCAAGGCAGAGGTCAACACAGGAAAGGAGACAGAGGGGGAGGAGCTGAAGGAAACGGGAGGGAAGCAGGGTGCAGAGGCTGATTCGGAGGCGCCTCAGAGAAAGGCTGAGAGGGAGGAGGGGGAGGAAGCGGTGGTGGCGGTGAGGAAGGCGGAGCTGGTGCGGGTGTTATCTGAGTTCGTGGAGAGGAGGGAGGGCCGGGCGAGGCGGGTGAATCGCATGCTGCAGCAGGAAGTGCAGGCGGGCAGGGGGCTGGAGGAACGACTGGGAGACCTCACCAAGGTGAGAGTGTGGGGGGTGAGGAGCGGCAGTGGAATAAGAAGGGGGAACACCGACTGGAGGATCTCATCAAGGTGCTTGCATGGGGGAGCAAGGGGGGGATGCCATGCCATGCCATGCCATGCCATGCCATCCCATCCCATGCCATGCCATGCCATGCCATCCCATCCCATGCCATGCCATGCCATCCCATCCCATGCCATGCCATGCCATGCCATGCCATGCCACACTCTGCCGTTCACATGCCCGCGTCGCTGTCACTTCTGTCAATGCTATCAGGCTCTGGAGGTACGCACGTTGGCGTCCGTGGCAGCAGCACAGAACGTGGCTCGCCTGCAGGCACTCAATGACTCGCTGCAGGTGAGACGACGAGCGGGCTGAGTGGGCTGAGTGGGCTGTGTGGGCTGTGTGCGCTAACCCACTTGGAGATGTGAGAGTGTGGAGAGAATGTGGTGATGTGATGTGAGTGAGGGTGTCACTCGTAGCAGCGGCACAGAACGTGGCTCTCTCGCAAGCTCTCAACGACTCGCTGCAGGTGAGGTGAGCAGTCTGTAAGGGACAGTAGGGGCTGATGGGCATGGCCATACCCCTCCGTACCCCTCCATACCCCTCCATACCCCTCTCATGCCCCGCCCACTCTTTCATTTCTTGTGCCCCATCTTCTGTTCTCCCTCTATAACACCCCCTCCCTCTCCCCTTCCCACAACCCCTCACTCGCCTGCCTCAAAATTCTGCCTTCTCGCTAACCACCTCCTCTCTGCCCGTGTGGTGGCAGGCGGAGCGCAACAGTGTGACCAGTCAGCTATCCGCGTTGACCAATCAGATCACAGGGCTGTCCACGTCACTGGACGTGCTGACGAGGCAGCAGGACTCCGTGTCCCAGTCCAACACGGTGGTGAGTGGTGATGTGCGGTGTGTGTGAGTGGGTGTGAGGGGAGAAAGGAAGAGGTGCGGGTTGTGGATGAGGTTGAGGGGGTTTTGTATGCCCCAGTCCAACGCGGTGGTGCGCGGTGATGCATGGTCTGTATTGTTACTGCTTAACCATTTCCCTCAACCAAAAGCCCTTTACTTCTATACCCGGTGTTTTCTAACGTCCCCTTTCCCCCCTCCTTCCCCCCCTCCGGCTCTTCCCCCACTTCTTCCCCCCATCCTTCCCCCCCCTCTCCCCCTTCTTCCCCCCTTCCCCCCTGCCAGCTGCGCGCTCGCCTGCGCAAGGCCCTGCTGGAGAAGCGCCAGCTGGCGCAATCATTGCGGGCGGCGCACCGCGTGCAGAGCGAGCGGGCGAGCGACGTGGAGGGGCGGCTGAGAGCAGTGGGGGCGCAGCTGAAAGCCAGCGAGGGGGCGATGCTGCAGCAGAGGAGAGAGGAGGAGGTGAATCTGCAGACGTACCTGTCCCAGCATGCTGCTATCAAGGTGAGTTGTAACTTGCAAAGGGCGGAGGTCAAGGTATATGTTACTAGCGAATGAGATAGTACATAGGAGTGAAGTGAGGGTGATGGGAACGCAGCTGAGGGCGAGCGAGGGGGCGAATGGTGGAGCAGCGGAGGGAGGACGAGGCTAATCTGCAGATGTACCTATCCAAGTTTTTTGAGGCGCCTCAAAAGGCGAATGGTGGAGCAGCGGAGGGAGGACGAGGCTAATCTGTAGATGTACCAACCCAAGAATTCTGCTATTGAACTGTGTGGAGGGCCCTCGTTGAGGACCACTATAGACCGCTTTGAACCGCAGAGCAGAGCAGAAAATTGTCATGCTCTGTTTTCTCGACTTGCTATCCTCGTCGTCCTCAACTTGCCTCCTCCCCTTCCACCTGTCGCCTCCCCCGTTTTCCCTTCCAGTCGGAGCGGAATGCAGCGGTGGTGCAGGCGAGTGACTTGGAGCGCCGAGTGGCATCTGTGCATCAAGCACCCACCCTTTTCCTCATCCTCCAATCGTCATCCTCCCCTTTCGCTTCACACCCCTCCCCCCTATCTCCCTCCCCTTTCCAGTCAGAGCGCAATGCAGCGGTGGTGCAGGCGAGTGACTTGGAGTGCCGAGTGGCATCTGTGCATCAAGCACCCACTCCCTCCTCGTCCTGTCCTCCTCTCTCCTCCCCTATCCCCATCCCTCCCCCCTTGTCCCTTCCAGTCAGAGCGCAATGCAGCGGTGGTGCAGGCAAGTGACCTGGAGCGCCGGGTGGCATCGGCAGAAGCTCAGCTGAAGGAGGTGACTCGCTCGCGCGACCAGCTCTTTATCACCAACCATGAGGTAGGGATTGCCTGCTACAAACGTGGGTGCATGCATGGAACAGGCGTGAGGCACACATGTCGGCGGAAGCTCAGCTGAAGGAGGTCACTCGCTCGCGCGACCAGCTCTTCATCACCAACCATGAGGTAGGGATTGCCTGCTGCTGGCACATGTGTGGGCACACATGGGCGGTTTCGCACTTGTCCGATCGCCCATGGTGACTCGCTCCCGCGACAACCTCTTCATCACCAACCATGAGGTAGGGATTGCCTGCTGCTGGCACATGTGTGGGCACACATGGGCGGTTTCGCACTTGTCCGATCGCCCATGTTGACTCGCTCCCGCGACAACCTCTTCATCACCAACCATGAGGTAGGGATTGCCTGCTGCTGGCACATGTGTGGGCACACATGGGCGGTGCGCACTTGTCCGATCGCCCATGTTGACTCGCTCGCGCGACCAGCTCTTCATCACCAACCATGAGGTAGGGATTGCCTGCTGTGGCCACCATGTGTGGGGCGGGAACGTGTGGGGCACATGTGGGTGGGGCACATGTGGGTGGGGCACAATTGTCCTATCACGCATGGTCTCATTTGCTGCAGAGGCTCAGTTGCCGCCACTCTGCTGCCGCCTTCAGAGACAGGGAGGCCAAGACACTGAGGAGATCTTCCTCGCTTGCATCCCTGTTATCCCCGTTTCAACCCCTTTTTTCATCCTCTTCCATCCAATTTCACCCCTAAACACCGTATACCCCTGAAACACATTTGTTTCGCAGTTAAACACGCGCTTGACAGCAGCAATGAGTGAGAACCGCCTCCTGCAGCAGCGGGTGGATCAGCCGCAGCGCACCAGCCGCCATTCTGCTGCCCGCCTTTAGAGACAGGGGGACAAAGACACTCAAGGGTCTCTCTCTGCTTACACCCTTCTCCACCCCTTTTCACCCGCTTTCAACCTCTTACACCCCTGTCTACCGCCCTGAACATCCCTGTCACAGCTGAACACGCGCCTGACAGCAGCAATGACTGAGAACCGCCTCCTGCAGCAGCGGGTGGACCAGCTGCAGCGCACCAGCCGCCACTCTGCTGCCGCCTTCAGAGACCGCGAGGCCACCCTCAAGCAACACCTGGCGGAGCGCCATGCTGAGCTGGCAGCCTCCCGCCAGCAGGCGGCCGCTGAGCTGGCACGAGTGACATCCAGCCTGGAAGCCAAAGTGGTAAGCAATTCTCCTATTCCTTTTTGAAAATTCTCAACAGTGGTAAGCGTTTTCCAACTCTTAATGCATATCCAGGGACATTTGTTATTGGACTCGAATGAGGTCGTTCCTTTTCCTCCCTGTCTACAATTCTCCTCCCTCATCACTCACGCATAGTACCCTCAATTTCGGTACCATGAATTGCAGCAAGCAGCGCAGGGGGGGGTGGCAAAGAGCAAGGGGGAGGTGAGGTGGCTGGAGGAACAGGTGGAGAAGACCGAAACTTGATTCTCCTTTCCACCACTTTGATTATCCCTCCCGGCTGGTTTGGTTTGTCACAGCGAGCAACGCAGGAGGATTTGGAGGAGAGCAAGGGGGAGGTGAGGTGGCTGGAGGAGCAGGTGGAGTGAACCTAGACTTGATTCTCCTCCACCCCGTGTTTGTCTGCCGTCACATGTGTTTGGTTTTGCACTGCAGCGAGCGGCGCAGGAGGAGGTGGAGGAGAGCAAGGGCGAGGTGAAGTGGCAGGAGGAACAGGTGGAGTCAAACTAGACTTGTTTCCCGTTTCCACCCCTCTGTCTCTCGTTTTCACCCCTTTGTTCCTGGTTGTTCACAGAGAGCGGCACGGGAGGAGGAGGAGGAGAGCAAGGGCGAGGTGAGGTGGCTGGAGGAACAGGTGGAGCCAACCTAGACTTGCTTCCCTTTTCCACCCCTTTGTTCCTGGTTGATCACAGAGAGCAGCACAGGAGGAGGTGGATGAGAGCAAGGGGGAGGTGAGGTGGCTGGAGGAGCAGGTGGAAGCGTTGCGGGAAGAGGGGCAGCTGCACACGACACGGCTCAGGGCTGCTGTGGCTGCTGCTGAGAAGCGGGCACAAGAGGTGAGAGAGAGGAGAGGGAGGCGATGTGCGAGTGAGTTTGCTGGTTTTTTGTTCTGATAAATTTTGAAAACACGTTTTCGAAAAGAGGGTTTGCCTGGGCTTGACTTGTCATTTTAAGCTGCACTGTGTGCCATGTGTCGCTGCCTGATTGCAGGAAGCCGAACGAGCCAATGAGCTGCAGGCGTTGCTTGCAGAGAGAAAGGAGGCATCAGACAGGGAGACGAGGCTTCTCGAGGAGAAGGTTTCCTCACTAGAGTCCAAACTGAGCGAGACAGAATTGAAACTCGCAGCTACAGTGAACAGTGCCATAGCAACTGCCAGGTCAGCACTCCTGCCGCCCACCCCTGCCTCGCCAGTAGACGCCTCGTTACTCTCGTTTGAGGGCTTTGGAGCAAGCATTGGAAGCAGCAAGATCACTGAAAGCAGTACTCCTTCTGGTTCACCCAACAGCAGTGACATTGCCAGCAGCACAAGCAGCAGCAGCAGTGGCGGCAGGAGAGGGAGGAGGAAGGGGGAGAAGAGCAGGAGCAGCAGCCCTGCCAGGCGCCTATGCAAGGAGGTGAGCATGGAGGGAAGCGTGGAGGGGACTGGGCTCGCCAAAAGGACCAGCGTAGAGGGGAGAGCGTTGGGTCAAGAGGGAAGCACAGAGGCAGAGGGGCTGGGCGAAGGGAGAAGTGCAGAGTTGACAGCATTGGGTGAAGAAGGGGGCGCAGAGGTAGCGGAGATGGAAGCAGGTGAGGCGAGCAATGAAGAGGCGATTGGAGCAGGCGAGGCGAGCAGCACGAAGGAAGGAGCTGGAGTCACTAACAAGATCAACACTGCTGCTAAGACTGCTGCTGCTGAGGCTGAAGCCGAAGCTGAGGCTGCCGCAGAGTCTGAAGCGTCTGCTGTTGCTACAGACGCTGAGCTTGCTGCTGCTGGTGCTGTTCCTCTTGGAAGCCAGGGTGATTGCAACGGTGAGGAGGGTGTTGGTGCCGTGGATACCCCTGCTACAGTAGCGGTGCGTGCAGAGGAGGAAGAAGCTGCCGCAGTCAGTGCTGATGCCGAATCAGTTGCTGTTGGGGCAGATGCTGGGGCGGATGCTGGGGTGGCTGCAGGTGCGGCTGCAGGCCCAACTGTTGGTGCGGAGGGTTCTGCTCTTGGAACGCCAAACGAAGCTGCTGGATCGCCGAACAAGCCTCTTGGACCGCCGAACGAGAATGACTTGAAGGTGCGGTATCAGAATGACAAGGTGATGCATGAATGCAGCATAATGAGGATGCATCCTGCATGGTGTGGCTTCATCCCTCCAACAGCATCCCAGCTCCTGCTAACGTTGTTCTTTCCTGTCTCCGTATCCTGCTGTCCCCTCTCCTGCTTATGGTCGTTGCCCTCCTCCCATCCCATCCCAACGCTGTCAGGTGTATGCGCGGGCCATCTTCCCTGCGTATGTGGCCCTTGATGCCTCCATTATGGAGTTATGAGACGTCTCAGCAACCTTACCTCCTTATCGCCATCATCCTTCTCCCAATCCCTATGCCGACATCAGGTGTATGCGCGGGCCATCTTCCCTGCGTATGTGGCCCTTGATGCCTCCATTATGGAGTTATGAGACGTCTCAGCAACCTTACCTCCTTCTCGCCATCATCCCCCTCTCAATTCCTATGCCGACATCAGGTGTATGCGCGGGCCATCTTCCCTGCGTATGTGGCCCTTGATGCCTCCATTATGGAGTTATGAGACGTCTCAGCAACCTTACCTCCTTCTCGCCATCATCCCCCTCCCAATCCCAATGCCGCCATCAGGTGTATGCGCGGGCCATCTTCCCTGCGTATGTGGCCCTTGATGCCTCCATTATGGAGTTATGAGACGTCTCAGCAACCTTACCTCCTTCTCGCCATCATCCCCCTCTCAATTCCTATGCCGACATCAGGTGTATGCGCGGGCCATCTTCCCTGCGTATGTGGCCCTTGATGCCTCCATTATGGAGTTATGAGACGTCTCAGCAACCTTACCTCCTTCTCGCCATCATCCCCCTCCCAATCCCAATGCCGCCATCAGGTGTATGCGCGGGCCATCTTCCCTGCGTATGTGGCCCTTGATGCCTCCATTATGGAGTTATGAGACGTCTCAGCAACCTTACCTCCTTCTCGCCATCATCCCCCTCCCAATCCCAATGCCGCCATCAGGTGTATGCGCGGGCCATCTTCCCTGCGTATGTGGCCCTTGATGCCTCCATTATGGAGTTATGAGACGTCTCAGCAACCTTACCTCCTTCTCGCCATCATCCCCCTCCCAATCCCAATGCCGCCATCAGGTGTATGCGCGGGCCATCTTCCCTGCGTATGTGGCCCTTGATGCCTCCATTATGGAGTTATGAGACGTCTCAGCAACCTTACCTCCTTCTCGCCATCATCCCCCTCCCAATCCCAATGCCGCCATCAGGTGTATGCGCGGGCCATCTTCCCTGCGTATGTGGCCCTTGATGCCTCCATTATGGAGTTATGAGACGTCTCAGCAACCTTACCTCCTTCTCGCCATCATCCTCCTCCCATTCCCAATGCCGCCATCAGGTGTATGCGCGGGCCATCTTCCCTGCGTATGTGGCCCTTGATGCCTCCATTATGGAGTTATGAGACGTCTCAGCAACCTTACCTCCTTCTTGCCATCATCCCCCTCCCAATCCCAATGCCGCCATCAGGTGTATGCGCGGGCCATCTTCCCTGCGTATGTGGCCCTTGATGCCTCCATTATGGAGTTATGAGACGTCTCAGCAACCTTACCTCCTTCTCGCCATCATCCCCCTCCCAATCCCAATGCCGCCATCAGGTGTATGCGCGGGCCATCTTCCCTGCGTATGTGGCCCTTGATGCCTCCATTATGGAGTTATGAGACGTCTCAGCAACCTTACCTCCTTCTCGCCATCATCCCCCTCCCAATCCCAATGCTGCCATCAGGTGTATGCGCGGGCCATCTTCCCTGCGTATGTGGCCCTTGATGCCTCCATTATGGAGTTATGAGACGTCTCAGCAACCTTACCTCCTTCTCGCCATCATCCTCCTCCCAATCCCAATGCCGCCATCAGGTGTATGCGCGGGCCATCTTCCCTGCGTATGTGGCCCTTGATGCCTCCATTATGGAGTTATGAGACGTCTCAGCAACCTTACCTCCTTCTCGCCATCATCCCCCTCCCAATCCCAATGCCGCCATCAGGTGTATGCGCGGGCCATCTTCCCTGCGTATGTGGCCCTTGATGCCTCCATTATGGAGTTATGAGACGTCTCAGCAACCTTACCTCCTTCTCGCCATCATCCTCCTCCCAATCCCAATGCCACCATCAGGTGTATGCGCGGGCCATCTTCCCTGCGTATGTGGCCCTTGATGCCTCCATTATGGAGTTATGAGACGTCTCAGCAACCTTACCTCCTTCTCGCCATCATCCCCCTCCCAATCCCAATGCCGCCATCAGGTGTATGCGCGGGCCATCTTCCCTGCGTATTTGGCCCTTGATGCCTCCATTATGGAGTTATGAGACGTCTCAGCAACCTTACCTCCTTCTCGCCATCATCCTCCTCCCAATCCCAATGCCGCCATCAGGTGTATGCGCGGGCCATCTTCCCTGCGTATGTGGCCCTTGATGCCTCCATTATGGAGTTATGAGACGTCTCAGCAACCTTACCTCCTTCTCGCCATCATCCCCCTCCCAATCCCAATGCCGCCATCAGGTGTATGCGCGGGCCATCTTCCCTGCGTATGTGGCCCTTGATGCCTCCATTATGGAGTTATGAGACGTCTCAGCAACCTTACCTCCTTCTCGCCATCATCCTCCTCCCAATCCCAATGCCGCCATCAGGTGTATGCGCGGGCCATCTTCCCTGCATATGTGGCCCTTGACGCCTCCATCATGGAGCAGAGCCGAGGCGTGACAGCCATGGTGCAGGTATGGGCTGGCAGACATGTATGGTGGCAGTGCATGTATGCAGGTATGGTATGCATGCAGGTGTATTTGCAGGTCATCTTCCCTGCATATGTGGCACTTGACGCCTCCATCATGGAGCAGAGCCGAGGGGTGACAGCCATGGTGCAGGTACGGGAGCTTGTGGTATGGTGACAGTGTGTGTGTGCAGGTATGGTAGTGCATGCAGGTATGGGGATGTGGTGCATGTAGGTATGGCACTCGATTCATGTAAGGTACTTCATGCATGTAGTGCTCCATGCATGTATGGTACCCCACGCTTTCCGTTCTCCACGCATGTATGGTATCCTGTGCATGGATAGTGCTGCATGCATGCCTTCATGCACAATGTCATGTCCATCCATGTGTTATCCATGCATTCATTGCTATGGTATCCCAGGATATGGTCAAGATGGGAGCTGACAAATCATGGGCGAAACGTTATGTGGAAGAGGAGCTATTGAAACCTGCGCTGACACAACAAGTAGCTGTTGCTGCTGCTCGCGCGGTGGGCACTCGCACTCGGAGGAAGCAAGGAAGACAAGCCAAGGCAATTAACAATAACACTGACAAATCAACTGAAGAAGAATCAAACGCAGGAGATTTGGATGGAAAGGTGGTTTTGAAGTAGACTTCGAAGCTTTGACAATGAGCTATCATGATGCTGGTTTGATTTTCAGCTTGTGAAGTGGATTGTATGGAGGTTGCTCCGCTTTTTCTTGCACATTGTAAGTGGTTGATGGTGTGTGTGATCTTTCTAGACTTACACAGCGGAAAGGTTTCTAACACAGCGGGCTTGCATATGTGCTGGAGCTATCGGAACCCTTGATGGCTCGCTAGTTCATCGTGGCCGTTGCGTAGAAAACGGGGGCATCTTGAAAGTATTTTGTTATTCTGGAACCAGTCGAACGTTGTCTACTCGGGAGGCGATTGGCCCAGAAATTGCCGCTGGGCAGGCAAATCAACCTTACCTTACCTCAGCGCCTGCTTCGGGCAAAGGAGGCGTATCGTGTCGCATTCGAACAAGTCCCGCGCCGTACCGTACGTCCCTGACCAGGTGCGGGAGAGACTATTGGTTGAATCTGAACCTGGACAGTTTGTGAGCCATTCGTGGACTTCGCGAACCGACTGAACAGGCGCGGAAGGGCGCCCAACCTTGCAGGACGTTCGCCTAGACAGATCCTTCTTGACTACCCTTGCTTAATTCGGTTTGGCTCGGCTCGGTCTGGCATGGCGTGGTTTGCTTCGGCTTATCTTGGTTCGGTTCGGTAACTCCCAGCCTCATCCCTTCCGCCTTTTTTCCAGCAGACCCTCCCAAGTTATCCAAATCCACCCACCATTCATTCCTGCCCCCAAGACCCACCAGAGATTTTCTGTTTCTCGTGTTTCCTTGAGAACTCCAGCGCCCTGGACTGTGGGATCAGTGATAGCCAGTTTTAGGTTCGTCTGATCAGCTTGTTTTCTGCGTTAGGTCGGCTTCGGGCTTGCGTGTTAGGTCGGCTTCGGGCCGTTTGATGCGGAATCGTGGACGAGGATCGATCGTCAGAACCTAAGATGTAGATTCCTCTTGTTTCCGAGCATGGTTAATCAAATGTAGGTCCGTGATCTGAAACCCTAGGACCTGTCTTAGTCTCGATACTCATCGACCTTATCACGTTGCTCATGGATGTTCCGCCTTCCACGCCGTGCTGTGCGGTCAGCCATCCGGACCGACACAGCAGCGGGCATTCCTCATGCCTAAGCTCCTCCGCTTGCACAGAAGCCGCCTCGCCGGACGGCGAGTGGAACCTTCGCGAAGCGGGGGGTGGCGCAGGCAGAGGTCCTTCCGCGCGCGGGGGATCTTCCGCGAATCTTCCGCAGAAGCGGCGGGAGCCGCCATCCGCTCAGAGGGACCGCGCGGAGTGCCGGTGGTGCGGACGGCGCGTTCTGCTGAAGCGACGGTGCAGCTGCAAAGCGTGCTTGGAGTCAGGACCACCCATGGATCGACGAATAATGCGATGCCGCGATTGCACCATTCACTCCGTACGTTACATTTGGGACATTTGCGATAACAAATGTGAGCAAAAAGAAAACAGAAAAAGAAAAAGATAACAAAGAAGAATATAACGGGAAAGCTTTTATTGGTTGAAGATAGGAAAGGGGATCACCATGGATCAGCAATAAATCCAGGGCTCAGGGCACCAGTCGTTCCGCAAAGCATTCGTGAGACTTGATACATTTCAATGCGAATTTAACAGCAAACTGATGCAATGTAGCATAATGTATGCATTCGTCCCTGGCATTGGGATATGCCACATTAAGTCGAACCCTGGATTTAGTAGAACGCATATCTGTAGCTACTCAGGAAACACACGCCATGCCTCTGGCATCCCATATTCCCTTTGGCACCACAGGTACTCTGCAATGCGTATCTCTGTCGTTTGGGAATAAGTATGTGGTGAACCGAACCCTCAGATATTCTCCTCACTCCCGAGCTTGCCTCTCAGGCTATCTACATGGTTTACGATGGGATGAACGGATTCTTTACCACCCTTCCCTTACTCTATCATTGTGCTTGCACCCCAGGCGCGCTGCATGGTGTGTCTGTGCCTGTGCCGCGTGTATGAGGTCGTGGAGCGGTGCTGTGAGCCGGGGTGTGTGAATCTGCTACACCATCGCTGCGCCAAGCCACAGATGGGGCTCTCCTGGACCTCCCACGGCCTGCACTGCATGCACCACAAGCTCTCCCCCTCGCCCTCCTCCTCCTCTTCCTCTTCCTTGTCTAACGCCGCCGCTGCTGCTGTTGCTACTGTCACCCCTGCCGCCACTGCCAACGCTGCCACTGCCGCCACAGGCGCCGCAGCCACTGCTGCCACCATTGGCAATGGGAGTGGCAGCGGCAGCGGCAGTGGGGGTGGTGGCGGTGGTGATGCTGCTGGCATCATGGATGGCAGTGGCAGTGGCACTGGTAATGGCAACGGTGGTAGCGGCGGGAACGAGAATGGGGGGCTGAGCAGGGACGGCAAGGCTGGCGGGGTTGAGAAAGAGCAAGCAAACGGCAGCAACGTCAGTAGCAGCAATAGCAGCAGCGGTGGCGGCGATGGTAGCAATGCTGGTGGTGCTGCTAGAGGTGGTGATAAAGCTGGGAATGGCGATGCTGGTGGTACAAACGGCGGCAATGCTGATGGCGGCCGTAGTGGAGGTGGTAATGGTGATGGCCATGGCAGCAGCAGCAAGGACTCGTGTCATTTCTGCAGCCTGCTGGAAGAGAGGTCCACGCTGCCTCCCTGCCTACTCCCTCCATTCTCAACTGGGTGCGTCTCAGGCAGGCTGTGAGGTCTTAGGCTATGGGCCGTTGGTAGCTCTGTGCATTTGTGGTCATTCTGCCTGGCTGTGGTTCTGTCCTTTCGCAATGGCAGCCTCACATGCCTCTCGCCTCACATGCCTCTCGCCTCACATGCCTCTCGCCTCACATGCCTCTCGCCTCACATGCCTCTCGCCTCACATGCCTCTCGCCTCATATGCCTTTCACGTTCATGCAGCCTCGCTCACCCACCCACTCTCTCTCCCCATTTGCACCTTCTCTTTTTTCTCTGTGCATGTGCATGTGTGCATGTGTGCATGCGTGCGTGTGTGCGTATATGAATGTATGCGTGCATGTGTGTGCGTCTTTTCTGCTGCATGTGCAATGTGCATGTCTGCTTCTAATCTCACCTGCTGTGCCCAACAGTACTGTGAGCCCGTGCAAACTGCAGAGGTGAGCTGCATCCTCCCTGCCGCTGCATCCCTCTTGAGGCGCATACAATTTTTTTAGGCGATTTTTGAGGTGCCTCAAATATCATGTTTTTAGTACTGTGAGCCCGTGCAAACTGCAGAGGTGATCTGCATCCGCCCTGCCGCTGCATCCCTCTACCGCTCTAACTTTCCCTTCCACCCTTGACTCCCACCTTCCCCAATTCCCAGTTTCTCTTATGCCCAGTTTCCCTGATTTCCAGTTTCCCTGATTCCCCTTTTTCCCGATTCCTACTTTCCCCGATTCCCACCTCCGCCTGCCCCCTGGCATCCCCCTCTTATCTCTCCCTCCCGGAACCAACTCCCCCAACCCCACTCCCCTCTCCTCTCTCCCCCTTCCCCCATCCCCCTTCCCCCTCTTTCTCCCACTGCAGCAAGGCATGTGCGCGCTGCCTCTGCCCCACGTGGCAGTGGACTTCCGCCTGCCCGCCGCCATCCCCCTCTCGGTGGATCTAGAGGAACGTGAGGAGGGTGCTGCACTCATGCCGCCCTCTCAGCAGTTGAAGCCGCGATATATACACATCAACTCCAGTAAGTGAGGATATAGGGCGTGCAGGCGTTGCAGGCTGACTGACTGCCCTCCGCCATCCCCCTCGTTGTGGATATAGAGGAGAGGGACGAGGGCGCTGCACTCGTGCCGCCATCTCAGCAGTTGAAGCCACGATACATACACATCAACTCCAGTAAGTGAGGATATAGGGCGTGCATGCGTTGCAGGCTGACTGACTGCCCTCCGCCATCCCCCTCGTTGTGGATATAGAGGAGAGGGACGAGGGCGCTGCACTCGTGCCACCATCTCAGCAGTTGAAGCCACGATACATACACATCAACTCCAGTAAGTGAGGATATAGGGCGTGCAGGCGTTGCAGGCTGACTGACTGCCCTCCGCCATCCCCCTTGTTGTGGATATAGAGGAGAGGGACGAGGGCGCTGCACTCGTGCCACCATCTCAGCAGTTGAAGCCGCGATACATACACATCAACTCCAGTAAGTGAGTGCGGATATAGGGCGTGCAGTGCAGGCGTGGCAGGCTGACTGGCTTCCCCCCGCCAACCCCCTCGTTGTGGATATAGAGGAGACGAGGGCGCTGCATTGAATGCAACTCGGCATGCAAAACCGCGATACATACACATAGCCATGTTGTCAGCTTGCCCTTTTCTGTCCTCGGTTGCTTGCTATGCAGACATACACCTGCGCCCGCCACCAGTGATGGATGACGAAGACATGGGGTGCGACTGTAAAGGGGGGAGCAACACGGCGTGTGGGGACAACTGCATGTGTCGGTGAGCTGAGCCCAGCACTATCTCTTATGCATTCCATTTCGTTTATTTTCTTTCTTTTAAGTTCATTCCATCTCAATTCATTTCATTTCATTCGTTTCTGCT